GTCCTGTCCTGTTCCTCGATGCTGCCGCTGTGCTAGGTGTTCGTAGCCCTAGCCGCTGCCTCTCTGGGTGGTGTTGGTGGTGTTGTTGTCAGTATCAACCAGAAACGCGTTCTCGATTCCCGATCTGCTGGACAGGCCTCTGTGCGTTGTTGCACGTGCACGCCAAACCCTGAAGTGCTCTGTTACAATACAAATCTGGACAAAGGGAGAAGTGGTGACCTCGCTATCAAGTACCTATTCTGTGCCTTTTCCCGCGAGCAGTGGCATTGACTCGAACGGCCTGGTGTGCAAGGTCGCTCTAAGTCTCATTACACTACATAGCGCGTTTCTCCCCACGGAGAAACAAAATCCGGGGTGGGCGGAATTGGTTGTCATCTGCCAACGCAATATATGTATGATCTCAAATACTCTAGCCGTTTTGGATATAGCATTGTTTTCCCAAAAGAACGTAAGCCAGCTCCTAGAGCCTATGAGGAAATGTTCGGTCTAAAAGTAATCCCCATAACGGTAATTATTACTGCTCCGATGCAGCTTCTCTTTCCTGATCCTCATCTCTGTGTTGTACCTCAGTGGAGGACACCAAAAGACAGAAGACGCCGACGTGGGCTGCGACGTTTGATCTCGTAATCTGCCTCACATCAGCTAAGCTGTCTCAGGCACTCTGCGCTGAGTTTTGTCTCTTCTCTGCTCCGACTACCTCTCCGCCAACGGCATAATGAGTGGGATTTGCTTTCCATTCCATTTAGAATCATTTTGCACCCATTTAACAGAGTTTATTTTGGCAGGGAGGCCGAAAGGGAATAGTTTGTATTGAACATCACTTACGCTCCTCCTCCTCCCCGCTACCTGAGAGAGGGCTTCCAGCATGGAGGATCTTCAAGAATAAACTCTTTCAAGATCTGGAAGCAGGAAGATGTATGCCAATAATTTTTGGGCATGAGATCAATAAATTCTGCTATGCTCTCAGGGTGGTATCTTTGGCCCCGATTGAAAGCTGAGACAGATTTTCCATGGTAACGGCTCCTCAAGGTTTTCCTCAATATCTTCTTCTCGCCCCGATCTCGTGAGAGTCGAAATTCTTGTGGGACTTATGGGCAGCCCTGGAGTTCCTCTGATGCGGCAATTGAGAAAGCTGACTAGACCTAACTTTGGCCCCTGTCAGATTCTCTGAAATTCCCAAACATTTCCCGCGTAGTTGAAGCATAAAAGAGGGAGAACTGCTCAGTGTCCATCTGTTTCGCCTTCTTTTCTGCCTCGACGAAAGCCTTGTTAAAATTGAAATAACTGTTTCGGTACTATGGACGGATTTGTTCCAGTCAATACGGACATCCTCATCGCCGGAGGTACGTTTTCATGATCTCTCCTCGTTGACTCTCATAGCACTCGACATTCAAACTGACCTCGAAGCCCGTCAGGGGGTACCACTGGCCTCGTGGTTGCCACTCGACTCGCGAAAGCTAACCCTCATCTCTCCATCACGGTTCTTGAATCCGGTATCGGCGTCCGTGATGACCCGTCAATTGTGCATCCCGCCCTCTATCTCTCAAACATTTTGCCAGGCTCCAAAACTGCGACATTCTACACGTCTAAAAGCAGTGAATCACTCGCAGGAAGGGAGTTGGTCATTCCTACAGGCGGCTGCCTTGGAGGCGGAAGTTCGATCAATTTCATGGTTTATTCACGGCCTCAGATGATTGATTTTGACGACTGGAAAACGGAAGGTTGGAGGGGAGAAGATATGGTTCCCTTTCTTAAGGTCGTACGTCTGCCTCGATCAGGATGACAACTACGACGAGAATGCTAATCTAGCTCTCTTTCGCTGGTCAGTATGAGAATTTCCAGGATCACGATCCTGGGATCGATAAAAGTTTGCACGGATATGGTGGCGAATTCAGCATATCTCCCGGAACAAATGCTCAAACCACTTTCCAGGAAGACTATTTCGAAGCCTGCAGACAGATTGGTATTCCACAAGTACCGGATGTACAAAACTTGAAGACTTCACATGCTGTCGGGGTGAGTGGATATTCTCCTATATTCTGGTTGACCGGCGCGTTGACTTCAGGCAAGCGGTGGAACATGTGGGTAGATCAGAAGACCGGCCGGAGACAGGACGTGCCTCATCGACTTCTCTACCCGCTCTTAGACGCGTACAAAACCGGACTCCAGGTGTTTACCAATATTAAAGTTGTGCGGGTCTTGTTCAACGAGCAGAAAAGGGCCACAGGTGTTGAGTACGTTCCGGTTGGACCTGATTCTCACGCAAAGCCGTCTGTCATTAACGCTACAAAACTCGTCGTCCTCGCTAGTGGGACGTTCGGCACTCCGCAGATTTTACAACGTTCTGGGGTTGGCGATGCCCATCGGCTTTCAAAACTCGGCATTAACGTTGTCTCCAATCTGCCCGGCGTTGGTCAGAACTATCAAGATCACCATGTGATATTCTACCCATACAGATCTGCTGCTGGTCCCTCAGAAACAATCGACGGAATTATCAGCGGCCGTTTCACTCTTGAATCGGCACTCGAGCAAAAGAAGGCTCAGCCCACTCGCTACCTGCTGGGCTGGAACGGGCTCGATTGTGTTGGTAAAATCCGACCCTCTGCCGGTGATGAAGAGCTTCTGGGACCCGAACTCAGGGAACTTTGGGAACGTGATTACCGACCTCGCCCGACACGGCCCCTGATGCTAATGTCTTCCCTGGCAGCGTTCGTTGGAGATCACACTGGTATCCCCCCTGGTCAACATTTCAGTCTAGGACCTTACACGCCGTACCCTTACTCCCGTGGGTCAATACATATTACGGGCCCCACGGTTTCAGATCCGCCTGACTTTGATTGTGGGTTCCTGAACCATCCAGCTGATATCCAGAAGCTCCTGTGGGGATACAAGAAGCAGAGAGAGATTGCACGGCTCATGACGCATTATCGCGGTGCCCTAGAAGTTGGACATCCCGTCTTCTCTAAGGAGTCGAAGGCAGGATTCAAATTTGTCGACGACCAAGACCGGAAGACCGGGCGCTATCAGCCAATCGAATATTCCGAGAAAGATGACCAGGCGATTGAGCTATTTATTCGGCAGAATGTCAGCACCGCATGGCACAGTATGGGAACATGTGCGATGAAGACAAAGGAGCAAGGTGGGGTGGTGGACCCGGGACTGAACGTCTTTGGAGTCCAGGGACTGAAGGTTGTTGGTGAGTGTTCTCTTCTGGTTGGACTAGTTGGAAACTAATGAAAACCTGCACAGATCTATCAATTTGCCCGTCCAACGTCTCCGCCAACACGTATGCGACCGCACTTACGGTCGGCCACAAGGCCGCCTCTATTATTGCGGAAGAATTGGGCCTGTCTTATCCTATCTAAACCAATTTCTGTGGTCACCAGCATAGCGCGTTTTCGCATCCAGCTACGATGGACCGTACAGTACTCGGCCAAGTGGATTTTGCACGAAAGCCTAAAAAGGTAGATAGATGTTGGAACAAAATACTCATTGTTACCGAAGTTGACGATGCTCAACACGTAGCTGAAGAGAGACTGGCCTTCAAGTTCTGGAACTTCGTATGTGCATTGAAAACCAACCTTGTTGTATACACACCTTTCGTTTAGACCTCGTTTTTGATCATCCCTTGGTGGTGCAACCTACCTGTTCGCTTCCACAGTTTCTCGATCGCTAGGTTCTTCAACGCCAACAAAGATTCCGAGTCTCCCTCTTCCTCAATCAAGGCATTCAGAATCACTCTCATGGGTCCAGAGAAAGAGAGCCAACACGACTGTTTAGGAATGGCTTTTTTCAATATGCCAAATGTCTATATCAACAGGAAATGAGTCGCCGCTACGGCAGATAGACAGACATCTCGAAGGATAGATCGATGCTATCAACCATCTGGACAGGTCTCAGTGTTACACATCTCCGTTCATGTCACTAGCCAGTCAAATAGCCATCTGATTTAATGCGGGCCTCTGGATGGATAAGCCCACATTGGGTCAGACCGAACGCTCGGAATCGGGGAGTCGATTCATCGGACTTGATATACCTCGTATTAAAGCAGCAGATCCAGCTGGTTAGTGCGGTCCCACTCCCTCATCCTGGGCTCTGTCTTAAGCCAATGGAATTGCTTGGGCAGAGAAAGTGGTGAGATACTTCTCAAAAAAGGCGGATCTGTACTCGATAACTGTCGTTCTGTCGCACCTGGTCCTAACGCGGTGGTCAAAGCAGCTTGCGCGGAGATGTATGAGGTAGACACAGCAATATCTCCTGAGAGCTGGCGTTGATTGGCTGTCACGACTGATCTATTTGTTAGCCTAGGTAATTTCAAAATGGTGGGTGTTAGAAATGTATACCTTGTCGTAATATTGGTAAATAGTCGCTGTGGTATATGCTATCGGTCTAGCCCTAACCCTCTACGGTAGACATCTTCCTTTATATCCTTGGTGATTTTGCTCCTGTAGAACCAAAAGAGTTCCATCCTCTTCTGGCTGGACCCTGAAGGGTTCAACGTGTGCCAGGGCATTGGGAAACGGCGAGGATTATTGCAGATGATTAACTCACGACATTTGAAGAAATGACGATGCAGCCCTTTGCTCTGTATTATACTAGTCACGACAGCAAGGTGCACCACCTACGTATCGAACCCTTGACATGGCGCACATAAAGTAGCCCGGGCACTGGAATCCCTTGCATCTGCATAGAAACTTGAAATTTTGAGGAGACAATAGTTTCGACATCACAGAAGCATGCTTGGGTGGCCCCTTACAGCCATCCCTGATGGAGCGGAAGCGATAAAAGTTTGAGTATCTCTCGCTTGCTTCACCACACAAGGAACTTCACCAAACTGGGTGTCGATTTGTTATAACGGACATTCCAAATCCTCCCAAATTGATTCCACTTCCGTTGGGCGGGTTCCATTTTGAGGGCGAGGTCAAGGTCCCTGCTTCTCCCAATAGTGAAACAGTCTTGCCTCCCCGCAAAAGGTCTTCACATGCGCCTCGGAAATTTCCAAGATGCTGAGGTGTTAGCTGATATTGCCAGAATTCATCCGTTTCCGACCCCAGATAAACCAGCAGAATGTATAAAGATGCTTACGTTTGTCATTAAACTCGTTCCTTACGTTTGTGAGCAGGATCTGAACCTCCGCTTCTGACCAGCCAAGCGCCCGAGTTAGATATCCTAGTGTGACGGCTTCGACAGCCTCATTCATCTGTGCTTGGAGGAATACTCCTATCCGACGAAGTTTCTGATCTTTCGGCCATGCGCCTATCGGAGTCTGGGCTCCATGATCTCAGTCAGAACGTGAACTATGTTTCTGCCACCGGAGAAAAGAAAGGCTCGTTGTGGATTGATAAAGAAACAGGGCGGTAATCGCACTCACCTTGATTACTTGGGTCTGTATGTCGACAAATCCAGCTTCTTCGAGGTGGGCCTTGAACCGAGATGCATAATTTAGGCGTCGGCCGAGCGCGAGACTGCCCTCGTCGATCAATTTCTGCCATTTGGCGATGGCCGAGTCTTCCGATAAGCCCTCAGGCGACTGGGAGTAGAACCATACTTCGAATTCCTGTATCTCGAGCCAGCCGCCGGGATCGAGAGATGCTAATGCTTGCTTGTACATCGTCGACCAGTCTCCGATGCTGCCAGACATGCTGCGCTGGTGGATGTAGTCGAACTTGCGACTGGGTGGGTAGACCCATTCTTGCTCCAGGTCATCGATCATGAAGGAACAATTCGGAGCAGTCCTGTTCGATTTCAGTCAGACTTGGTTTACCCAAATGTATGTGATGTGACAAGATTACATTTGCGGCTGAATAGGACTAATATCAACCCCTGAAGTAATCAGTAAGGAGTTTTGCTCGTGTTTACGGCAAAGCGCGTACCGAGAACTATTGCCGCGGGAAACTCACTGAAACCCGTCAGTATACGCTGCTGAGCGCCAATGAGGTAGAGAACCCTACTCCGCGCACTCTAGCGCCCAGAGTCCCGTCCCAGTACCGATATCCAGCACCCGCTGTGGGTTCCCAATTGGGGCGACGTGTAGCCGGCCATCTTGCACGAGGCGATAAATATGGTGGAGCATATCCAGTCGATCTTGTTCTCGCATATCGTTGGGCTGAAACAGGTTAGCATAGTCTACGTTTGCTTACTGAGCGATCGCACAAAGATGTAGGAACTGCCAGCCATTTGCTGATATCTTCTGCCATTCTATTCCATGTCGTCAATGGACCATGAAGCCATGGCCGAGCATTGCGGAGGACTTGCCTCGTATCTGCATCATAATTAGTAGATAAAAAAAAATTAGTCCGGAATGGGCGTAAACTTCCACATAATTCAACATAGACGAATGGAGTGATGTTGTTATGGAGGCTGCGTCGCTGGATCTCCATCAGCTCCTGTACACATTTACACATTCCAAGTGCGCGGACATACCTTCCCCCATATCCTGAATCGCCATCATCTGCGCTATCTTCGGCTATCTGCCCGAATCTTTAGCACTCGCACTGACCGCCTTGCTGCTCGCCCACTTGCCTGGGCATCAATGTGCGCGGCTTCCTCCATGGAGGCAATTTTTCTAGACCCTGAGCGTGGGTGCAAGTCGAGAACATCACAAGCAACCTCCAAAATGGATAGCACAGATGGAAGAAATGTCAATTTGCAGATGTTGGTGCTGTTCGCGAGGGCTTAACTAGCACGGAGGGAGTCTACTTAGGTCAAGTGGGTGGTCCCGCGTGTCTACCTTGTTGACCCGGGGAGAACGGACACCTACATCCGTAGCCGCCGGCGCGACCACGTACTGCAAGTGCAAGTAGGTGAAGACCAATTATTTAAGTAGACGCCAGGCGGAGCTCGCGGCGGGCGGGTAGATGAAGCCTAGTTGCCGTAGTGGGGTTACACTCGGTGGCTTTTATGTCCCACGTACTTACTTGTACTGGTAGTGGAGGACCATTCCAGGTGTACTAACAGGTAGTACTTGTTAAGTCCACCAGTCCGACCGGGAACAATATTTGTCTTGCAGATGGCAGCCGTTAGGTGCCCCTCTTCCGGGACAGGGGACCTCGTCGTTCCCGGCATCTTTATCTTCAACCACGTGCCTGACAGTCCCCTCCTCACCGCGCTGCATTACATGAAGCGTATCCCCTCTGCAGACCTGTCTTCGTACATATACGGCTATGGCTCATCGGTGTTATTCCAAGTAACGAGTAGCAAGCTGCCTAATAAATCGTACCACAAACAGGAGCCATGGCCTGGCTTGAGAGCCCGAGTGCCTTCCCTACTGAATTGTTGTACGTGTTTGGGCCCGTATTAGCGACGACTTATCTTCTTGCCCTGGCGAGCTGGCGTTTGTATCTCTGCCCTGCAGCGGAAATTCCTGGACCGACATTGGCAAAACTCACGTACTGGTAAGACGACGTTCACAGATTCCATTAGCCACAGTCCCTCAGCCGACTCACCACCTACATAGGTACGAATTCTACTACGATGTCATTCTCAGCGGTCAATACATCTGGAAGATCCGGGCAATGCACGAGCAATATGGCCCGATTGTGCGCATCAACCCGGAGGAAGTCCACATCCAGGACGCCGACTACTATGACCAAGTGTATGCGGGATCAACACACAAACGGAACAAATGGACCTTTTTCACAAACCAAAGTGGGCTGCCTCAGTCGGCGTTTGGGACTCCAGACCACAATCTCCACCGTATGCGCAGGGCAGCGTTGAACCCGTACTTCTCCAAGGCCAAAGTGCGGAGCCTACAACCTCGCATCGAGTCTCGACTGAACAATCTGCTGACTCGGTTTCGCGAGTTCCAAGAGTCCGGGGAGCCTATGACGGTGTCGTTGGCCTATGCGGCCCTCACCAACGGTTGGTTGGTCCCGCTCATTGTCAAAACGTCCTAACGAGGCCGGACAGACGTCGTCATGGAGTATGCATTTGGGCGCAGTGACAATCGACTGCTGGCCCCCGACTTCGACCCGAGTTTCAAGGAAGCTGGCGAGGCTGGGGCCAAATTGGGTCATTTTGTCAAGCAGATGCCATGGGTGTTGACTCTGATGAAATTTCTTCCCGACTCGGTGCAGATTGCTTTGAACCCGGTCATGGCAAGTTATATCAAACTCAACAAGGTATGGTCTTCCAGGATTGAGACGTCAACGTCTTGGGATCAACTGTGAACAGGGAAGTTGATACAGCTAAACAGGACATTATCCGCCATGTTTCCGAGATCTACTCGCATCGCGGCGATACCCACAGTAAATATAACTCGCAAACGACCATCTTCCATGCGATTCTCCAAGGTGATTTGCCCGAGAAGGAAAAGTCTCCCGACCGCCTTTGGCAGGACGGGCAGGTGGTGGTAATTGCCGGTACATTGACGACCGCCGCGGCGCTCTCGGAACTCACATACCATCTCCTACGACAACCCATCGAACTGAAGGCTCTCAAAGATGAATTGGCAATGGCCATGCCGGACCCAGCAGCTGTCCCGGACATTGCCAGGTTGGAGCAACTCCCTTACCTCACGGCCGTCATCAAAGAGAGTCTCCGTTTAAGCAGCGGCATCAGCACGCGGTTGCAGCGCATCGCCCCAGACGAGACGCTCATCTACAAGGCCAAGGTCTGGGACAACAAGAAGAAGACCGCCAGGGACAAGGAATACATCCTTCGTCCGGGGATCCCTCTCTCCATGACCGGCCTGCTCATCCACCACTCGCCGATCTATTTTGAAAATCCCATGGCGTTCCGTCCGCAACGATGGATTGACGATCCGACTCTCGAAAGATATCTCGTCCCATTCTCTCGTGGAACCCGAGCCTGCGTCGGCATGAACCTGGCGTATGCGGAGCTCTACCTCACGGTGGCAGGCTTGTTTAGAGAGTATGGGAGCCGAGAGGTCCGCTTCCCGGAGGACCAGGGATTTCTGGAGTTATACGATACAAGCTACAAGGACATCGAGATCATTGGTGATGGGGTGACCCCGTTGTACCAGCCGGATAGTAATGGAGTCAGGATCGTGGTGCGTTCAGTGTGACCTTTCTGCCGTAAGCTGAGCGGATGACCTGCTTGCTCAATGGGGGGTGGCTGTATCGAAAGCCTATACAAGATATTATTCCATCTATTGTGATCTATCTGGCGCAGGCTGGCTGCATAAGAGGCAGGTAGTTAACTCCGAACGTGGGTACCAGATGCTAGTGAGGTAATAGGTTTCAAATGTTTCCGTCCTTTCGCTCTTTCGTGCCAAGATTGCCCACGCCCCATGTGGGTGGTGATTTTCGCTTCAGCTGGTCACACTTTTTCACTGCTCTCCGGCTGGGTCAGCCATTGCATTTGCCACAGCAATAGGCAGAGGAACCGGGGCTGAGACCTGGGTCGGAGCCGACATAGGGGTCGGGGTCGGGCTAGGGGCAGGCGTAGGAATAGGAGCTCCCTGCGACGCGCCACCCTCTCCCGGCACCGGTACTCTCGGCCCTGGGCTCACTGAGGGCGGTCTGCTGGCGACGGGTTTTCTCTGGGGAGGAGAATGGGCCATGTTCATGCCGTTGGCGGTGCTTGGTTGGAGAGTGTTATTTGCGTTATTAGGGGGAGGGGCATTATTCATGTTGTTAGGGTTGGCAGGGTTGCTGGCGCCGTTGACGCCGTTAACGTTGTTGGCGGGCACGCCATTTGACTGAGACTGTGGTCCCGGTCCCGGTCCCGCGCCCGGGGGCTTCTGCAGCATATTTGGGTTCGGGTTTGGCCTTGGACCGCCGGCCTGAGGGTTGACGGCACCCGCAGGTCTAGTCATCCCGCCTCCTGGGTGTCCATGGAGGCCTTGAGGATTGCTAGGGCCGCTGGGTCTCGGCGGTCCACCAGCTAGATTGCCATTAACACCCTGAGGATTGGTAGGACCGCTAGGTCTCGGCGTTCCACCTGCCGGATTGCCATTGACGCCCTGAGGATTGCTGGGACCGCTCGGTCTGGCCGGCCCGGCCTGGATATTCCCATTGACGCCTTGGGTATTGCCAGGGCCGCTAGGTCTGACCATTGCGCTCCCCATACCGGGAGCCGCCGTAGCTCCTGATGCGTCCTTCTCATTGACCCATTTAAACACAAAATACATTCCGATGCCGCAAAGCCAGACAAACACCCCTACCCCTGTGGTGAAGAACAGGGTCGGTAAGAGAATGATTAAGGCAAACCCCGCCGCGACGGTCACAAACAATAGAACTCCGAGCAGGACCACAAGTACGCCTGCCAGCAAGGCGAATGTAAAGACCGTCACGGTCATGAGCCCGAAGAGAAGGAGCGGAAGGCCGCTGATGGCAGTTTGACTGAGCAGGAAACTTGCAAGGTACGGTCGTTCGGTGGCGAACTTGATCAGCGCTGCCTTCCACTGTTGGCGTTGCCGGGGCGGGAAGAAGCGATCGAGATAGCTGCCAGACAGGTTCGCCAGGTTGTTGACGCCGCCTTGCACGATGGCGGTTGCAGCGCCCATGCTGGGGCCTGCTGTGCCACCGCTGGCGCCAACGTTAGGCTTTGGAGGAGCGGCGGACATCAAGTCTGTGATTCTCAATGATTGTCAATGAAGGACAAGGTGAGGTGGTCTTAAGACGCCTTAGAGACCAGGCGTGTCAGATCAGATAGATGAGGACCGGCTTATTCGTAGAGGGCACGCTTTGTTGTGATGGAGTTGAACGGCGCCAAGGCTTCACGCGTGGTCTCCTCTGGCGTCTATATCTTGAGGAGGCAATGAGGAGATGGATATTGTATTTGCGTTTTGTAGGTGCCTTAAGTGAGGATGCTGCTGTTGTAGGTAGTTGTAGTCGTGGTTGTTGATGGTGTTGATGTTGTGGCTGGTGAGATCAAAGGGGGGCGGCAGGGGGCTGATACTCGGGACTTTTTAACTCGGCGCATAAGACCACCAAGACATAAGATAGTGATAGCGTAATGTCTAAGTTTATATCCAACTCTGACTTTGTTGATCCTTCGGCCTCCATTTGTTTCAAAGATAGATATTGATTACATGCGGCGGTGGGCCTCGTTAAACCCTGAAAGGAAAAGGCAATAGGAACTGGTGGACATGTACAGAGTAGGACTGCATTCTTCGCCCTCCTTCTGGTAAGCGGCAATGCTCACCCATGAATTATAATGATGGACCGATTCATTATCAGCGGGCACAAATTTAATCGCTCTGCTCGTCAATTGTATCAGGGATTAAGAATCAAGCTACCGGTACAATACTACTCGATTAATTCCTCATTTAATCACCGAAACCAAAGCACGCATCCTTGCTCTTACTGGCACAACAATCTCAACATCGCGACGTTGAATTCGTCAATGGACTGCAGTCCACGGCGGTGGAAAGTATCCTAGATCATTCAAAATGGCTCGGCCAGCACCTGGGTCGCCCCCGCGTGTGCGAGGATTGTTCGGCAAGCATCCATCATGGCTGGGATGCCACAGAGATAGAAGTCGGTCGTGGCGGGATCGAATTTGAGTTCGGCCAGTATATCTGTCACACGTCCATGAAACACACCCTCTGCCAACGGATCATCGTCAACACAAACCGTAGTTCGTGGCAGAGGCTTGAAGAGGCGTGTGATGTCATCTTCCCGATGATAGCAGCCGAAGAGAAGCTCGGCCGAGTCGAGTTCGCCAGAAGCCGCCAGCGCTACAAACATTGGCAGAAATGGCGCGATGCCCGTGCCCGTGGCGACGAAAACCCGACGATGGGAGTTGCGTCGCAGTTGAAAAGCCCCGAATGGCAACTCAACCTCTGTTTCCTCGCCCGACTGGACGCTATTGGCAAAGGCCGACCCGTCACCACCGGTGCGAGTACTGACAAGCAACGTCAAGCTTTTACTCTTAGAGTTGGCGATCGAATAGTTCCGCCATTCGAAGGGTGCAACGCGTAGCAGAACGTATTGACCGGGTGCACAGGAAACCAGCTCGTCGAGTTCAAATTCAAGTTGCCAAATGAATGGTGTCAGTGCGGTTTTGTTAACGAGCATGGCGCGTTCCTTCTCCGGCGAGCGTATCGCCGCCGTCAATGGGAGTTCAACCGCTGGTGTGACATGACGGGACGCCCACATGATGCGTAGAAAGCCGAAGGGACCAAGCACTCGACTCGCCGCCAGCACACCACCGAACAGTGCCCCAGCCACTCCAAGACTCGATGCATCGGTCCCACTAATCTGCAGGCCGGCGACTGGTGAAGGCTTCGATAGCACAGACGAAGCGTAGGTCTGCGTTGTCCCCTTAAATCCGTAGATGGCGCCAGCAGAATGCGAGGTGTAGTCCTCCACTGAAAGCGGCGTCGACAACTCGGAGTAGTGCAGCAGTCCCTTGAGCCCCGGCGTGGCACTCTCAGCGAGATCCAAAAGCCCCCGAGAGATCCGATTCTTGAGTTCGATGTACTCCTTTCCTCGCGCGCCATGGCTTGTCCCACGCCAGGCCGAAAAAGCGTCTGCCTTGACCAGAGCGAGGATTTCGGCGGTATGGAAACGGTCGTCACCAGACTTGGCTGAGGGAAATGACATGAACACATGTTGAGGCTTGCCCGCTAGCACCGCCTCCGTCTGGGCATTGATGTCGTCATGATCGAAGGTGGTGTTAATCCAGTAGTTCTCGCCCTTGACGCCGAGAGTTGAGATGGGCTCATTAAGTCGAAGATAGAGAGTGACGGCAGAGAACCCGCCCTCGAGCTGGCCCAACTGCTTTCGTATTGTCGCGGTCTGTCTGCCAATCACGCCGTCTGTGGGCAGCAGCTGATTATACGTCGCTCCTGCGCCAACGTCTGAAATGACAATAGGTGAGAGGTAGATGACCTCGGTCGGCTCAGCTCCGCGTCCGTCAATGGCTTTCACGCCCACGACGCGCGTGCCTTCAGTGAGGATCGCGGTGACATTTTGACACACTTTCACGGCGCCACCGTTTGCTTCGATTCCTACCTCAAATGTTCGCGCGATGCGGCTGGCTCCCCCTTTCGGAAACCAAGCTCCTTGCAAATAGCTTCTAACGACAAGCGAATGCAGTGCGAAGGCACTTTCGCTCGGCGGCAAGCCGTAATCCATCCATTGGCTGGCGAGCAAAGCCTTGAGTTCTGTCGATTTGAAATGCTGATTGAGATAATCGCCAGTAGTTTGCAACGCATGGTGTGAACTTAGTCGGCGCCACCGCTCCAGCAGAAAGTTAAGCGGCCAGGGCAATATGGATTGCATGGTTCCGCGCGTATGCCAATCGGCGGCTTTGTTGACATCGACAAAGTAGCGGCGAATTGCAGCGGCTTCCTCGGGAAAGCGTTGGATCAGCCGCTCCTCGTAGCGAGCCTTGTCTGAAGGTTCAGCGAAGCTCAATCCTGGGTACAGGAATCGTTCGAAGTCATCATCCATAGGATTCCAGTCAAGAGACTTGCCTGACATAAAGTCAAACAACCCGCGGATCGGGGAACCAGGCTGCACGCCGCCAATATAGTGGACTCCGACATCCCAACTGGCCCCGTCACGACGAAATACGTGCGTTAAACCTCCTCGTTCAGAATGTTTTTCGAGCACCAATACCCTCATTCTACCAACCTTTGCCAGAAGCGCAGCCGCCGCCATGCCACCAATCCCCGAGCCAATGACGATCGCATCCCATTTCTGAGACATGACCCTCTTCTTGTTGTTCAAAGGAAGATGTGATGAGAAATGGTCGCACAGAGACGATTCAAAGATAGGGTTTAAGGAGATTTGGAGAGCAAATAATGTGAACGCCCCGTGTGGGGATCTGCTAAGCAACTGTGGAAATTATTGCAATAGGATATGAGCAGTTATTGTCCCAAAGGTGTGATGGTGAGGGAAGTCTGATACCCACCTTTGCCATGAATATATACCTCCTGCATTCAATCCGACATCTTGTTCGGACGTAGCAAATCACCACTTACGGACGTGTGCCAGAAAACGTGGGCATATTAAGCACTTCCAGGCATGGAGAATCAGGATCTCTCATGATAATTGCGCGAGCATGGCCGAGTGAGGACACCCAAAAAAGCCCATCATAACACCGCGGGCAAGCAAGAGCTGCAAAACGTCTGGCAAGCGGCCAAGGATACATGTAGCAAGGTTAGTTTAACGGCCGCAAGAGACAAGCAGACCATGGGAGCAGGCTGGTCGACCCGGGGGATGGTCGAATTCTCGCCCGTCCGTCACCGGTCACTCCACACTAGAATCTCACGCCACATGTGCATCAAATAGCCAGATCTCCCATGAGGCTCGATGGTTGGCGGAGGCGTGGTGCCCGTTGGGGAAGCGCAGGAAGGGATTCTTGGAGAATTTCATTGGTCAGAAGAGTGGAAGGGCTGGATTTCAACCTTGTTGTTCGAGAAGACGGCGGCGAGAATCTCAAGTTGGTACCTATTCTGCCGGACGCACGTGATTTCGCGAATGGCTCAGCCTTGGCGCGTTTCTCAGACGCGTCGCGTCTGCGAAGCTCTACTTGTAGGAGTCTCATCAAATTCTACCAAATCATTTCAGGCAATTGCAGGACAGACAAATTTCTCTCTTGCACGTAATTTTGATTCCGACTACGCCATCACAACTTCTCTATCTTCCACTGAAACCACCTCCGCAGAGCTTTCGCGTGTGCCTCTGCACTACTATCACCAATCTTCCGAGGGACCTCCCCAACACCATGAAGAGGTAGAGGATGATGCAGAGACCGATAAGGCCACTTGTTGTCAAGATTCTCCTTCCCACCCAGTCGATCGTGATTATGTTGCCGATACTTCCGAAGATTGCCAGCATTTGGAAGACGCAGGTCGTGGGAAGAAATTTGCTGGTGTTGTACCCGAGACTGGCGAAAAGAACGGATTGTCGCAGCACGGTCGGACGAAATATCAACCGTGACAAGGAAGAAGAGCTGAGAGTGCCCCCGTTCCTGAAGATGAAATGATCTGGGCGCCATTGATCTGTAAACTGGTCTACCCGACTACGGCGAACTGCTCGGTATAACTCTTTTTTGTCGGTGAACATGTCAAAGACATTAGCGCTGGCGGTCTCGCATCGCTCTTGTTTCAGCTGGGCAGCCATCCATGGATATCATCTCTCCCCCGGAAGGAGTGAGCCGCGTGGTCGTTTTGGAGCTGCTACAGCCTTGTTCGAGCTTCTTCATGTTGCCGTCTCACTAAAACTAGCCACCATTGTTGATCAAGTCAGCAATCACAGGGACACTATGCCCCTTACGACGCGGAGAGAAGAGAATAAAGGAACCGCGGATAAATACTGCAAGTGCCCGAACACACTGCAGCGCCGCGGGAAGCCACCTGAAACGGGAGGGATCAGTCTTAACCAGCTAGTATTCAAGCAAAAAGGAGGATCTCGCCATGAAGCTCTGGATTCGAAGCATGTTGGGTGCTGAATCCTGTAAAGGCTATCATCAGCTGGTCTCCCGAATTGACAGTTACAATATGGACAGCAACCATGGCGAGAAGGAAGGTCCGCCAACAATACTCTAAAGCTCAAATCGAAGCAGAATGTTTGCGGGTCTCGCCCACATGGTAAAGTAGCAAAGGTCCCAGCAGCGGACGAGGCCATTTATATATCTAAGCGGTCGCTGCCGTGCAACTGGGAGGGTCAAACTTAGTTTGACCGCACAGGTTGAATCGGACGGAGCCGAGTTGGAGGTCCGAGACGAAGCAAGTGGAGACCGACAGGAGGGCATCATGCTACACCTCCGCAATATCGCACTCATACAGAGTACAAAGTCCAACACCTAGAGTCTCGATTACTTGGTTTAATGTTTCCAACCCTTCCGAAAGAAGTCACTCGAAAGCCTAGAAGCGTTGGTCCCCACAAGTGTGGAGAGCAACTACCTCCATACCCCCGCCCTACAAACAAAGCCAAAGCCTATCGACGAGTTGGGACCTGCCACGTTGACGGACCATCGATATGTATGTGTGACAGTTTCTCGCATTGCTTATATTGGGGATATTGCAGGTTCAGAGCTATTCTCTCGTGGGCACGATAATAAGCCTTTTCCCACTGACCTTGCCCTGGCGGAGCAGATTCCAGGCCACCAGCACTTTGGACAATCCCAGTTCCACCTGCAAAGGGAGAGACTTCAGACGACGATCCGCAAACGCAGCCTCGAGATACTCCCACCAGAACCACTCGGTGAACTGGGCGTTTTTGGGATCGAGATAGTCGTCGGCAAATTGATGGAAGGAGCCGGTCACACCTTCTGGTAAGCGCACGCCAGTCCGCACCCCCGTCGCGGTTAGGAATCGTCCTCCTCCCTGGGCCGCAAGAACGTCTCCAATTTTGACTTGATCCTCCGCTGAGTCCGCAGCGGCGAGCACCGCTTTGAATGGGCCAAGAGCAGAGAGTTCCTGCACGACGTTGGGAGAAGATCTGTCGACGAAGTATGACAAGCCGAAGCCGTTGGTCAGGACTGCGTGCCTGGCCGATGCGACTCCCACGACAGTGTATCCCGCCTGCAGAGCTAGCTGGACTGATATTGCACCAAACGAGGACGAAACACCCCAAATGAGGACTGTCTCATCCCTTCGAGCAGCGACCGACCTAGTGGGTGGTTTTTCTAGACCCAGATGCAGGCATAGAGCGCTTGCACAGCCATAGCCGGTGACAATCGAGGCGGCTTCCTCGAATTCGGTCTCTCCGATCTATTGCACTGTCAGAACCCGACGAGTTTTCTTCCCGGGACCGCAGCCATACTTTCGACGTCAATCCTTGCGGTGCAAGCGCGTATCTCTGGTAAGCACCAAAGCGATGGTCATTTCGTAGTACGCCGGTTGTGTTGGTGGCGACACGATCTCCTGGTTTGAACCTTGTGACTCCAGCGCCCGCCTTTTCCACGATACCAGACAGGGACACTTGGACGTGGTTTTTTTATTCAGCAATGTTACTGAAGGTTGGGGGAAGGTGGCAGGCAGATGTTTCAACGTACCCCCAATGATTGTAGGGTAATTCAGCGGGATCGGTATGAGCCCAGCCGGTAGCTTCCACTCACCAGGCTGGGCGGGAATCGCTTTCACCTTTTCTCAGTCAATCAGTGAAGTACCAACTATTGCTAGTCTGCACCAGGAGCCTACTCTGATAAGAAGTTCGCCTTCTCCGGGTTCTGGTACTGGTGCAGGACCAATTCGTGGTTGTTGGGCCGGCCCGTCAATCCACACTGCAGTATTTTCCATTGCCTCTGGATGGCTGACAGGTCTCAATCCCTCGAATTTCATGTAAGGACTCAGGAGGTAGTGACGCACTGGGGATGCCGTGACCGGGTGAAGTATATAAACGACCCTCGCGCATGATTCCAAATCACGGCATTTTCTGTATGAGCTGATTAGCTATTTGCTCTGCCGCGCCCATTGTGCTTTATGGAGTCCCTTACAAATTGATCTTGCCGGGATACGGGGACGATACCTTAGTGAGAGAAGTCGCTCTCCACCTTACTGCTTGCAGCAACCTCGTTGCTGTCCCCAGATGTCCGCCAACGGCATGCGGCAAAGTTCTTGTTGGCCGAGCCCACCTCCGCCAGTGAGTGATGCTTCTAACTAGCGGCAAGCTCTCTCGCTCACTGGAACGGCCGTGGCGACCAATTTGCTCTCGAAACGACAAGTTAGATGGACTGAAAGAAATTACTTTTGTGCATCTCGACTTACAGGGTCGTGTACGACGACTATGCAGTCAAGACCATCAGACCTAACCAAGTATGGCTGGTGAAACCAAGTGTCCCCCTTCCCTTTTCTCCATCGCTGTTAGCTGCTATATGGCCATGTACTTCGTGTGTTGCTTCCTCGGTTCAATATCGACAGGTCATGTTTCTCTAGTGGCCAAATCTCTTTCAGTCCCAACAATCCGATCATCTGATTGAATTTTCATCATTTCGTCCCGTCGAATCTCGAAGCCTTTCTAGCCGGCTTGACCTTCTACGCCGGTAAACCACGCTCAGGGCAACATCCATACCGAGGACGCTCGACTGTTGCACTGCCATGTCCATATCCCATGAAGGCACTTCTTGAGCCCACTTCTGCCGTTGATGAACTTATCCTGGAGGCATGCAGACTCGATAATCGTTTCCGTGCTTGTCCATCCAATGAGTAGAGTTGAGTACTCCCAGCAATATACAGGGCGACCTTGTTCAATCAGAGGTGGCAAGGGCTCCAAGCAGTGCTCATGGTTTCCGTCCATCGAGGATATCGGGGACTCCAGAGGAGATTGGGCGAAAGACGATCCCTGTATATTGACTGGCGTAGAACAGAAAGACATCAGAGAAGACAAGATTCCCGGTGTAAATCCCTTTTAAGGAGGTCGCGCTCGATTCCATAGCCATGATGATGCTGTTTTTGTGATAGAATCCTCAACCGTTTCTTTGCGATATCGATAGTAGTGTTAGTCACCAAGCGAGCCGTCACAAGACAAACCTATTCGGTAGCGGTCGCGTGAGACGATCTCAAAACGATGACTCGAAGGCGTGTGAAATGTGCAGCCCCGCTGCTGCGCTGTAATCGACATTGAGAGCTTGTCATTCTCTGCATCGTTGTTAAATAAGGGTCCGTGGTGGAAGACACGGACTCCGAGAGTGTATAAAATGTGAGGGTTTGAAGGCCACCAGCTGCTTGTTCACGTCAGCTTTACCTATATCATCAATGATCAAGTGAGCCGTTACCTCCAAAGTCTCGTAGCATCTTCAAAACATTACATTGGGAAAACACCACCCAGGCCCGGCTCAGAGTCGGCGAATCCGGCCCAAAACAGCTCATTGAACGGGTCCAGGTCAAAGGCGTTGTCGACATAGGGAACATGGCATGGTTGGTGTTCCTGGGTAGCCAGTTGCGTTGACATCTGGGCCCCATTCGCTGCGGTCGAAGATGGAAGGCTTCTTTGGAGGCAGTTCTGATGATAGACCTTCATGTTGGCCCATTCAGTCGAGATCTTTTGAAAATAGCTGCAACTCTCAGTTTTGAGACGGTGAAGTTCTTGGGCTCTTAGGCATAGTGTGTCTAGACATTTTCCCAGCCAGGCAGCCCGTTGGGATGCTTCGGTGCTAACGTAGGCCGAGTCGAGAATGATGGATGATTTGGTGGACAGCATGATGATGAAATTCAGGGAGCGCCAGTCCAGAGCTGTCCAGTCGGCCATCTCGTCCAGGGGGCACTCGAGGACCGACGAAAGGTATTTCATGGTGGAGTTGAAGCAGTCGTAGATGATCGACACGCGCGCCACGGACGGCGCTTGGCCTTGGAGCAGGCCATAAAGCCCGACCTCGCGCATGTATGCTCGAACGCTGTAATAAGAGCGTTTTATACGACCTTTATTCCCAGATATCTAATGAGTGGGTAATTCCTGAATAGAACGGCAGCGCTTACCAATGTTGAAGACCCCTGGTGGAAGAGACACTTTCCATTCGTCCACCTGCCTTGACAACGCCCTGCCCAGAATTTGGATCTTCTCGTCGCTGAGCTCACCGACTTTTTCTTTAGATCCGTGATCGAAGGTGTAAGTGACCTCCTCGGCGATGCGCAAGGTGCGAATCATATGAATGAGTGTGGTATCCGAAGGATGTTGCGGGTCTGCGGCCAGGGAGGAAGCACAGTCTTCTAGATATTGAGTGTAAGTCAACATACAAGGCTTTCTGAACATAAATAAACCACTAAGCGCCGATTAGCAGCTTTCAAGATGAGGTAGCAAGGGCTCATCTATTACAAAGTCGAGATGGTGTAAGCTCCGATATACGCTCTTCGGGCCTCGTAGCCCCAGAACTTTGACGACACGGCCTCGTGTGTCTGTGCGAGGACAGTATTGGAGCCGATAATCATATCGTGCTGTGTGACGTTCATGGGTTTCTGGTCGATGCCGAGTTCCACAGCCAGGGCTACAACGAGTGATGCTAGCCTGTAGACTTGGGTCGCAACAGGGTGAGCATGCCAATGGCACCTGGAGAAGGTAAGTTTTTAATCTTCACACGTTGAGCTCGTGCTTACCAGCCAAAGTATACAATCAGTGCTTGAAGGAGATCCAAGGACCGCTCAGACCTGTTAAAATATCTTTCTCCTAGGTCCTTGAGGAACTTGTCTTTTAATGCAGATTGTCGTGCTGGTGTCCGCCATGTGGTGGTAATGAAGACTGCTTGAGCAAGCATTGGCCTTTCCTCGATCAATGAAGCGACTGGACAGGCTTCCGAGATGATGACATAGGGAAAATTGTGGGAAGACATGCGTCGATAGTCGTTGATCAAGGTCTGACACTCTTCCGGAGGTATCTCGAGCAAATAGTTGCTGGCGGCCTCGGGCTGGCTTGAATGGAAGCCTGGCGGCGACACCAGATCTGTGCTCTGTGATAGCTGCGAGCATGTATTGGACGGCGTTGAATTGGACATAGCGGAGGTGTCATTAGCCTCAGGTAGTGACTTGCTGTCTCGAAGCAAGGATAGAATCTCCGAGTAGCTGCTCTCTAGCAGTTCCACTCGGCCACGTACTACCATCATATTAGCGAGCGGACGTCCAAGTCGTGGCTTCCCAAATACCATACGGCGAGCTTTCCGCTTCCTCTGCTTGACTTCGGGAACTTGGCATTCTTTTCCCAATCTCACACATCTTGTCTCCCACAAGCATCACTAACTGGCCACCAGGGGAGTCTGGGAGTCTGGGAGTTACGACTTCGAGGCTTACCTGTTACACGCATCACCTCCCTCATCGCTGGGCACACAACGCAGTTTCTTCCCCCTACACTCCTTGCAGGCGGCATGCTTTCTTTCTTCGGCCATTGGGTTTCGTTGCAGGGGCGAGCGAAACAACAATGCTCGACAATTTCAACACCGGAGCCGGTGCACAAGAAGCCATATAAGACCGGTGTGGACCTCTCTTGATAATTCCCCAAGGCACCCATACTCACATTTGAAAAAGAGTCGATCGCGAGGGGACTTCGGGCCCGGGCGCAATAACGTTGCCGACCATGCCGAACATCCGGGTCAAGAGAGGAGCATGGAGTCTCTTTAGCCGACGCGCTAACCGACTATGTTCAAACCTCCTTTCCTATCCTGCACGCTTGAGAACGAGACTCTATACAATATATGGTAGGCTCGGGGCATCAAAGCATTTCTGCCTGCGGCGCCGAAGGCGTGTGGCCGGCACAGTATGCGACTTACCGGATGATTCCAAGGTTTGTGGAGATTTGTTTGTAATGGTCATTCAGTTGCATTTCGGATAAAGAAAGGAATACTTCCTCTCTTGTTTTCTCGGTGAGCAGCCTAGCACACGCCTCGCAGCCTCCAGCCCGAGATCTTACGCTGCAACATGGATTCCAGCACGGAGAGCTCCCGGCTTGAGCCCACACCGGCTGCAGCCGTTGACGTGAATGAAAAGTCGACCAATCTTGCCACTGTCAGACCAAACAACACTGGACAAGACAGCCGTGCGCCCTCTCCATCCCCAACGGAGCAAGATCCGATCAACTGGTCCCAGTATACGCTCAGAAGGAGACCGTGGCGACGAAGGGTGACAGACTTTGCAAAAATCATGGAGGCCAGGTATCGAGGCAGTGGACGCCCCGACGACCCTTACATTGTCCAATGGTTGGACAACGACCCTGAAAACCCAATGAACTATAACATCTGGTTCAAGTGGTCGATGACCTTTCTTCTTGCCTTTATGACTCTGTGTGTGTCCTTGGCCTCATCAGCATACACCGGTGCTGCAGAGCTCATCATACCAGACTTTGATTGCAGCGGGGAGGTCTTCCTTCTAGGCTTGAGTTTGATGGTTATGGGTTTCGCGATAGGTCCTCTGGTATGGGCACCGCTTTCAGAAGCCGTCGCCAGGCGAGATATCCTGCTGGTCGCGCTGGCTTTCTATATCATATGGACCGCGGTATGTGCCACTGCACAGGACATCACGACGCTGATTGTTCTTCGCTTCCTCTGTGGCACATTTGGCTCCGCCGCCTTTGTCATCCCTTCAGGCCAGCTCTCCGACATGTTCGAAGCTAGGCAGCGCGGCATGGCACAGGCTGTGTTTTCGGCGGCGCCCTTCCTGGGCCCAACCATAGGCCCTACTGTTGGAGGCTTCTTGAGCCCGGCTGCGGGATGGCGATGGCTCTTTGGCTTTCTGGCGCTGTACGCGGGAGTCCTGACCTTCTTGGGCCTGGCGTTTGTGCCCGAGACGTATGCTCCGGTCTTACTGCGAAGAAGAGCACAGCTCCTGTCGAAAGTAACGGGCAAGACGTACATGACCAGGATCGACATCGAGCAACCGCTGGTTTTCAAAGACGTGGTGAAGAGGTCGTTAAGTCGTCCTTGGGCACTCCTATTCCGCGAGCCCATCGTGCTGCTCCTCTCGGTATGTCCCCAGGAATCCACGTGGTTACTCTCAAAGGCTGACGACGTGAAACCCCCAGATCTATATGTCGGTGATCTATGGGACGCTTTATCTCTGCTTCGCGGCATTCCCTATCGTCTTCCAACAAGGCTATGGCTGGAACGCAGGGGAAGAAGGGCTCGCTTTTCTTGGAATCATGATGGGCAATCTCATCGGGGTCGGCCTCATCGTCATCGATAACAGGCGTTATTCTCGCATCCACGCAGCACACGGTGGCTTTGCGCCTGCAGAAGCTCGTCTTCCTCCCGTCATCATCGGCGGCGTTATTGCCATTGTCGGTCTCGCCTGGTTCGCTGCCACCGCCGACCCGAGCGTACATTTCATCGTGCCCATTCTCGCGGGCGTTCCTTTCGGCACAGGCTTTATCCTCATCTTCATGTGCTGTTCGAATTATCTGTAAGTTTCTGTTGCTCTGGTTTTTTTTTTTTTTTTTTTTTTTCATTCCCGCTTTGTTGCTCTGCTTTCGATCTAACCAGGACTCTCCTCGTCTTCAAAAATGCAGCGTCGACACCTACGTGATCTACTCGGCCTCAGTCCTCGCCGGAAACTCCATCCTTCGCTCCACGTTCGGTGCCGTCTTCCCGCTCTTCACGACATACATGTACAACAATCTCGGCGTGCATTGGGCCTCGGCGGTGCCCGGATTCATCGCCCTCGCGTGTTTCCCGTTCCCCATCTTCTTCTACAAGTACGGCGCCAGGATCAGGAGGAGGTGCAAGTATTCGGCCGAGGCGGCGAGGTTCTTGGACAGTTTGAAGAGCGACCTCGAGAGGCAGAGGAGTAGGGCTTCCAAGGCAGAGGAGGCCGGGGTGGCAGAGGCCGGGAGAGCCGCCGGAGAGGAACAGGTAAGGGAGGGCAGTATTGCTGTCACTGCTGCTTGAGAGGGAATTTTCTGTGGGCCAAGACGGCCCCGTGTATCAATCGGTTCAGCGAGTTGTGAACAGGCACGCAATGTATTAACCAGGGCAACCCTCGGATAGATGAGTCTCATTGTCACATACGATGGGGGAGTAAAAGAACAGATTATTGGAAGGATAGGATAGATGGACCGCAGACAAAATCTGGTTCAGTGTTGGCTATTTTGGAAGACTCGACCTGCTTGACTGTGCAGTGGCCTGAGCTCAACGGACAATGAGAAGCGAAGGCTCCCTTGCTTCACTCTCTCGCAAACATGCCCGCAACCCATTCAATGGCATCTTGCAGTTTTGCTTTCGTCTGCGCCTTCTCTCCCTGCGGTTGTACAGCGCACTTCTGAATTTGGTGCTCGGGCTGTTGCTCAAGCTCATCTATGGTCTGTCGTTCATGAACTCGGACATGCTCCTCCGCAAAGCTCTTCTCTCGACCCAGAAAACAAGCGCGCCGCATCAACTCGGCCATTTCGAGTCCTTGGGCTCGCATCAGCGCTGCATGACCCCTGGCAAGATCTTCTGCCTCCGAGCTGACCGGATGAGCATCTTGCCCCGTTTGAGATGCCACGAAGATCTTCACATGAGGCAATGTGACGGATTCGGGAAGACCGACAGCGGGCCAGCGCCTGAGGACTTTGCGGCGGCGGGGTTGTGTCTTGGGCGTCAAATCTGGTCCGGTGTCATTTTCATCACTTGAAGTTTCGGTTACATTGTGAGAGGAGGCAGATAGTCCCGTCAGTGTTGAAGAGCCGGACTGTTGCGAGTCGTCGTCCCCGTAACCATTGAGCAGATCCAAACCTGCCTCATGGACCAACTGGTCTGTTACCGACGTTGCTGAAGGTGTGTCTTTGCCCGGGGCGCGGAGGAACAACATCGGACTCGCAAATGGGTCGAAGTAAGCGGATGGCGTCTTGAAGAGCTTCGCACGCAGCTTAATCAACTCTGCCGCCGCAGCACGGACCGACTGGTTCTTTACACCACGGCGGGTTGTGGCATTCTGCTTCTGCCTCTTCTGTGATATAGGAGATGACGTCTCAGCAGTGCGCAGCTGTTCAACAATATCGTCCAATCCCGCCCAATCTATCATTGGTTCAACCACCGCGAGAGCGTGGATGGCGTTCGGCTCCGTCAGCGCCAGCATTGTCGCAAGCGCACCGCCTATATTGCTCCCCAAGAGACATATCTTTGGTGCTTCTTCGTAGTCTGCGTTGTATGGAGAAGTTGGAGATGTGAGATAGTCGAATGCGGTTGAGACGTCGTGGATGGGGACTGGGAAGCATGTCGACTCCTTTGGCAAAATTGCTGAGTCTATGCCATACCCTAGCCTGTAATTTATCGATACTAGCGACGTTGACGGTGGGAAGCTATGTTGCAGCTGAGGGAGAACCTCGATAGACGGGGTTTCATTTGCGTCGATGGAAGGACCGGGAGGGAGGTGAACGAGGAGATTTCGTGGCCCATGGCCCTCCGCAGCACGTCTATCAGGCGAAAAGACACTGTGATAGTTAACAAAAGGTGTCCTAGTTGACGGGCTTCACATACTCCAGCTTGACACGGCCACTCACTCCAACTGGCAGCTCAATACTATGGTGTTTCCATGGCTCTGAGATCGAGGCCGAGGCAAAGAGTTTCTTTTGGTGGCATTTGAATATGCGTCCCTGCTTGGGGCGAAGAAAGATGTCGAGGCCTCGACGGCAACAACCTAAAGGCATTACATGTTCACGAGCTCGCACGAATTCCAAGCGGAGGGTAACTCAGTATCTGGTGCACGAGTGAACTGCACCATATGCCAAGGTTTGCTGGGTTTGGTAAATCTGCTCGGTCCACTTGCCTTCTTCGCCTAGACGGATTTTGCCATCTGGCGCAACTGGCTCGCTGGGTCTTCAGCTGTCCGGCATGCGACTAGAAGTGAATCGGTGATAGATGGCTTTATCACTCATATGGCTGAGGCCTACTATCAAATGCCTGGCTGCCTCCTTCAGCCTTACCGAGTATTGAAGTCGGAATGGAGCCGAGATCCCAGACTCCGGAACAAATTCACCACTGGTGGTCCGCCTTACCCTGTCGAGCATTCCCCGTGGGCTTCAGACCAACCATTTTTTGATAATCCTGGGGATCGCACTCCAGCACATGTCTAACACTGCAATTTGTGCTTCAGTCGGCGCAGTAGCGGTTCGATCCTTTGGTTGGTCGTCCTCAGGGCCGGCATCGAAAGAAGGCTTGGATTGCGTCGCCGAGGCAGCTTCTTCATTAGGAGTTTTAATAACTCGAGGCAAATTGCCAGCACGGCTTGTCTCGTGCTCCACGAGCTATTTATCCGCCACGCTCCTACCAGTCTCCGACGCTAGGGTGCCTTCCGGGGCAGGTAGACGATGCTGCTGACGTGAACGATGTTCTCGGCGCCCGCCTTTTTGTCGGAGCACCAATTTTTTTTTTTCGTTCCATCCGGTCATTTCGTCAATGTACGTCCGGTATTGCTCCCAGTAAGCCGCAGATGTGAACGGTTTTGCAAAGCCACAGGTTCGAAGATAGTCTAGCGTTGTAATGACGGAGATGGTGACTAAGATGCTAATAAAGGCCCAAGAAGTTGAACTCGTATAGTTCGGAGGGTTCACTACACAAGGCTGCCTTACCTCAGTTTTGCGGCCTTCCCCATCTTATCAATCCTCAAGGTCGAGCGCACTTGACCTAGAAGCCGTGACCAGAACGGCCTCTTCCACGGTCTCAATACCGACGTCCCTCAGCAACAGATGAGAGTGATACCGAGCTGTCACATGTTTCCCAGGACTCAGTCTTACTTCGCGACGATAAATAGTACAATGTTGTAGTTTGGAGAACAAATGGAATTTGGTACAGTATCTGATGTGATCAGCCCGGCGGGGATATACTCGGATCTATCGTTAGGATACTGTCCCCACCTACCTCGTCTACGCCGGTAGCTGTGGATAACCGAGAGCCTAGTGGAGGCTGGTGGCCCTTACCTAGCGAGGTGTGCGAGGATTCACATTTCGCCCCTGGACCTCGTCCTAAATCGAAAGTGTTCGAACATGGTACTGTACACCTTTGACCACCTTATGCGACTCTTTTCATGGACTATGAAACGTGTCTGTTTGTATCCATGGTTCTATCCTGTCTTCTACACTAATGCTACGCCATCGATAGTTCCATTGTAATATCGGCACCGTACCTAAACACCATGATCGTTAATGATATTGTTTTACGGAATCAGCGGAAGCGCTCCGAGTCACTTCGTTCAGGCTGCAGCTCTCCTTCGCACGTGGATCAAGTGTGAATTCTCTGCGTGTGACCTCGATCAGGGCTCGACCACATTCGGACAGAACCGGATGCGGCTTCTGAGTGAAAGCTTCTCGCTCCTGAAGATAGACGGCGAGACGGTATGCGCGCTCTATGTGGTTCGGGCAATTCTGACAGGCACTTTTCAGAGGGAACGGTAGTTCGCATTGCGGGAAACCAGGGGCGATCACAGAGGCAACTCTTTGAGAGCTGCGGGAAGGGTGGCTATTCTAAAGGACATTGCCGGCCCCGGTGGGGTGACCAACCCAGCGACTGTATATTTGCCCTCGTGCTAACGCTGCATACAAAAACGTATTATCCCTGAAGCCAGATCCTTCAGAACTCTGAGTCTTTGGTCCGATATATAGTGATCGAGACGGTGCAACAGCCCAATGTACGAACCTTCGCGCGTCCACAATCTCGTCAATCATAATGTTGACAAACCAATTAGCTTCATTACCTGCCCACCTTAGGCAGACAGGGGAGCAAGAGTATGAGGAATGCAATTCAAGTTAAGCCAAGCACTTGAGCGCAGCATGTGTATTAAGTCAACTTGAAAAACCTGCCAAGACTGAAAACGCCGCAAATTTCCGAACTAAACAGACAAGTGGAATGCCAGCAGGCAGGCATACGGGAGATCTTACAACCAGCACAGCCCTCTCTTCGGATAAGCTGTCTCAGAAACCGCCATATTGTCAGAAGCACAAGAGCCAACACGGAAAATCACACGCGAAAGGGCAAGTTCAGTTAGGTTCGCAAGTCTCCGTCGATATAAAAGAGACGTAACGCCGTTGGTCCATATCAAAATCATGCGTAACACGTTCCTCCTCCCAGCTTCTTCAGACCGAGCACTTAGAGAAGATTATCAGCCGTTGCAAGGGCGCGATCAGACTTATTTTTTGTATCCGATTGGGTGATATCTCGCTTCAAGTCCGCTCCCACTTTTGTAGCTTAGCAAAATCATAAATGGCATTCCAATCGACACAGGTATGAGTTGCTCCCCAACCCTTTGTGACAACGCCTTGGAGATGAGATGGCGTATTGACAGTGAAGGCTTCTTCCAGCAAAACATCCCCTGCACACATAACACCTGTGTCAAATATTGTACACAATGCTTCAAATGCCGGCTCTCGGGTTTTTGCTCAGTATGATCAAATTCCTGAGATGACTTGGCCGAGAAAAGAGGGTCGCTGATACTATTCTATGATCACATCAGTACGCTGTGGCCGATGTTGGCCGAAATGATGCTCACCAGACCTTGTCCATTTTCCCGCATATTATTACACCTTGGGTTGCCCATGACACGCGCAGCTCTTCCCAGAAAGTCTGGCCAGCTTCACTGCGGTTCTACCTGACTAACTCTGTGGATCTACAGGACGGGGGACGCAATGAGTGGAGGGCGGGGAATCTTCAACACGTCTTCGGAAGCATGTCCGCTCAGGGTTTCAAGCGTGAACTCTACTGAACACTCTGAACATACGTCTCGATGAGGCAGGAATCTAGATACTTTCTGTTTGATTCGTCAGCAAAAACAAAGCAGAGGACGCCTTAGCTCGCGTCTGTTACTTCGATGTGATCTCGTTCTGCTGGCTGCACACGAAGTGTTACGACTCGGAGCTGGCCGAAGGATACAGACGAGACCACCTGCTCGAGTGGTTCATGGATCCCGAGAAATCAAACCCTCTTACCTACGAGCAGATTATGACCGGCGAATACACCGACTTATATGTGAAGTGGGAATATCACATCATGCACTGCACAGCCATTTGTATACCCGTTAGTGGCGACGGTTGCTTATGGATTGATACGTAAAAACACCCAGACGGGAAGAGTAAAGTTCTTCGGTCCATTTTGCTCACAGGACGTCCAACCTGAATCCGGCACAAAGATAGATTTGTCTTGATACTCTATGCACCAGTCCCACTCACCGTGATGGCATCCTTTCTGAAGGCGCTTCGGTAATTGAGCGTCACTCACGACGTTGTTGAGCCTGAGAGCCGACCTCTCGAAGACGTATCTGTTGTCGACGACTTTGAGGGGATCTGAGCAAGCTGTTGTATTTCGCTCCGTGGATCGCTACCCTTTGTGACTTTGAGAAACCGGTGCGGATCTCAGGCGCTTAACTGGAGTCCCATCCAACAGAGTCTCAAACTATTTATGCACTCTACTTTCTGCTCATCCAAGTCATGCCAATCGCGTGCTTTACTGCTGTGGCTGAAGTGTTGGCATTCAGCGTTCGACTGTAAGCTGGAGCTGGACGACGCGCTGTGGTTGTGTAGCCTACGCCTCTTGAAGTCGCTTGATGACGAGGAGCAAGTCTGGCTGCTATCCGCACGAAGCTCAGGTATCCAGACTTTGCGGCTCAGTTACGGCGACTATGCCTCCGGAGTTTCCATGGTTAACCTCTTCGCTAGGGCAGAAATCACGTGCTCGCTTGCCTGCCCTTCGGAGAAATTATGAGGGGCATGTATTAGTCTTGACAAAGGACCTCGTGTGTCGCCTTGCGTTCGACACTCAGCTTATGAATTCGAGACCGACGATCGTTAATTTCTCAGCCATTGCTGTGTCTGGGTATAGCATAAAGAGACTATTTCCCTTCCGAAACTGGCCATGTTCCAGCACCATCCGCTAGACGCCAATGGGAAGTTACTCCGTCGGTTTTACGAGCCTCTGACTCTCCTCCGTGTTCTGGACCCAACTCGTGGAGCGCAACGTCCTGACCTGATCTTGGATCGTGGTCTAGAGGAGCAGTCAAAACTTTGGCGCAATTTCCTTGACCAACTTGCCTTTTTATGCGACTCGGAAAAGGGTGGAGATACAGTGGCCGCAGTGGCTGCTCAAAAAACCGCCGAAAATACAATATTTTGGGTTGCATCGAACTCGAAGTCAAGAAGTGAAGCACACGAGCACCTTTGTTGGGTGCTCGCTCGACTCAATGAAATTTGTGCTGCCAACCTATCAACTGTCCACCTCGAACGTGAGATTACCTGGCGTTGCATAAATTTCAGCCTTAGCAGAATCAAGACCTATACGAACTGGCTGATGCAAGCCATTAGGGAAGCAAAGCGCAACATGAATCCAGATGCGAATACTGAAGGTGTGTTGCCACACTAGCAAAGGCTCTATTCGAAATCCCTTTGACCACCAGACACAGACGCTACCGTTTGGAATGAACTTGAGCATTTAGAAAATCTCAAATGTGATCCTCATCAATTGTGTTCATTCGCACACAGTCTTCGGAGGCATGGGATGATGGATGTTCTTTATAGAAGGCACGTTGTGCACTCCCATCGTGGGGTTTGGTCAGATATGCGTCATTACATTGGGCGGCTGGGGATGTGGACGAAGGCCATCCGGATATTGATTCTCGGCACCAAGACATTCCCTCAACGCATCGAGAATTCGCACGTCGAAGTCATCGGGCCACATGGCTCTGCTGACTTACCGAACAAACTTCACATAACTGATCTCCATGGCGTCGTTTCACGCGTAGTACCTGCAGATCAATTTGCTCTGCTCGCGGAGTTGAAACAAGCCCTGGCGGACGCCAATGCAGTGGTACAGATCTGGGAGAGATTTCGTGATGACTACTCCAATATCAGACCCCGACCACATGCAGAATTGCTCGTCCTTGAACACTTCTATAGCAACGAACTCGAATTCGTTGCCAATGACAAATACATCGGCTGCAGCAAGCCATCATGCTACTGCTGCCATATGTACATGCAATGTCACCCTGGAGGGTTTCCTCCGCGACCTTGTCACGGCAATTTATGGATAAATTGGGCTCCTCCAATCCCGCTACCGCTCGCTGCTCGCAAGACTAAACGGACCACAGCCCGGCCGCAGGAGCATCATACATTCAAACTCCTTCAGAAAATGCTTGTGTGCATCCGCCGAGATTTGCAGGAACAAATATTGTCGAGAAAGCCTAAAAGAAGCAAGCTACCAGATTCAACAACAGGAATGTCCAGTGTTTTGTTTGAGACGGATAGTATCTTAGGATCCACGGTTCGAAATTTCGTGCAGTCAAATGAAAGTCATCAAAGCGACAGGTCCATCAATCCTGAAAGCGCGGCTATGGTAAATATAGACTCGGACGCAATAGCAGATGGGATATCCAATTCCTCACCAAAGAGTGACAGCGATGATATAGAAGACCGTACCTTTGACATGGAAAAGATAATCGCCGAACAAGGACAAGGCGGCCGGGATGAGAAAAAGAAGAATCCTAATGGTAAAGACGCACAATCAGAGTCAGATACTGACATTGAGAACGAAGATGACGAAGATAACGAAGATAACGTGGGAGTCCTCCTTTTTAAAGGGAGAAAGAGGTATTTCGTGCAGGCTCGGCATTAGAAGTGTGCATGCCTATATCGAATGCTCCTGTTTTGTCTCTGGCTCCCATCTGACTTGGGTCCTCGGGCAAGCCGGAAACGGTCTTCAGCGTCGTCAAGACTGGGTGATTCAACCCAGACCTCCACCATTGCGACGGAAAGTGGGAATTTGGAACAAAATATGATTGATAATGAGATCGATACCATAAGCTTAAGACTGTCCTAGACGCATGGAAAATGAAGGAGGAGGCCAAGCTATGGCGTACGCTCCTCGGAGCAACGAGCGGCCACGATGCCCACGATGTAAACTTCCTGAACGATTCCTTTCTAACGCGGTCTCAGCCTTACGGACATTTATTTCAATAAGATTTCCATCTCTCCTGAACCACTTACGTCCTCTGCATGCCATCTTGTGATGTTTCCCAGTCCCAATGTGGCCACAGGATTGTGCGGGTTCGTAACACTTGAAAAACTTTAAGGACATATACGCTTTGGCTACCATACTTATAGTGTAACGGAGCACTTCGGGGTTCGTCATGCACGTGCAACAACACACAGGGGCCTGTCCAGCAGGAGGGTAATCGAGAGTGCCTTTCAGGTCGGCGCTGGCAAGACAACACCACCACCAACACCACCCACAGAGAGGCAGCGGCTAGGGCAACGAGCGCCTAGCACGGCGGCGGCGTCGAGGGGTGGAAAAGGACACAGAGGATGCTCAGGAATAGGTAGATGGTATCAAAACCATAGAATACTCTCATCAAACTGTAAAGAACGGCACACGGCCGGCGCTGTCAACTGTTCAGCACGGCAGCAACGATTGTCTACCAACACGGTCCTTCTGCTACTGGCTGTTGTGCATGCTGTCCTCGTTTTTGAATGCTCAATTACTCCTTCGTGTCTTCCACCCTCCCAGCCATAGCCAGAATGCTAGTCCTTTTTGTCCTGACATATGACCAGCCAAATCGCCTCCCCACTATTCCCCCATGCCAGCACAGCACAGCCACTTTGCCTTGTTACAATATAACTCTACCTAAAACTCGAGGGTTGGCCTGCATTAGGTGCTGCGAACGCCCGACAGCAGTGTTCCTCTCTGAGGTTCACAATCAGCACAGCTTGTGACACCAATGTCAGGTGATTAGTCTTGTGTTTTTCGCTTGGAGGTAGCAATGCAAAGTCCGGTACATGGTCCTCGTTGATTTTGGAGACGGATTGTTCTGCGTCACGAACTTGGTCAAGTTCAGCATGTGCTTCTAACACTCTTGTAGCTATTTGTCGTCAGCTCGAGTCCTCATTTTGTCAGTCGTTGCGTCCGGCCTATCCATGGTTGTCTTTGTCGTGATCAACGTAAGGGGTCAGCTCTCGAAGCTCGGAGAAAGGTGGTCTCGAAGATAGATGCCAGGGTGATTGGAGAGAAGGAAGTACGGCAGAATTGATCGCAGGCCATCGCCTAGCAGCGGAAAAGGTCTTCATTCTGTATTTTGGAGTAGTGGTAAGTCCGAAGGGGAAGTGCAAGAATAAATGGAAGGCGTCTAAAGGCGGCTCGCAAAGATCCCGGATTGATTCCACCGCGGGTTTCTAATGATACTTCCTGCTCGCAGCCCACCTCCCTCTGGGACGAGGGTGATGCCGCCCTGAGCTCCTCACCCGTGCCGAGGGCTGCCTGGGCCTCACCTGGCGCGGGCGCCACGAGTGTCTGCATCGCTATCCCAGGCTTTGTCGAATTCGTGCGCTGCGGCACCACAAACCTACCCCAATTTTCGGCAAGGGGTGAGAGGCCTATTAGGTATGCAGCATTCCCCTTTTGTCTCTTGGGGCCGTCGATGGAGACTACGCACTGGAAGGCCGCTGCTACTAGATCTCACGCATGGAGTCGTCGTCGAAAAGAGTGCCGAGACAAGCCCCAGCTCGCGCACCCGTTCAACCCACACCTTCTTACGAATACGCTTCGCCAGCGTATCTATACGCCTCTAGCACGGCCCCAGGCCGATCTTGTTCTAGTCACGCGCCGCCATTGCCTTGATTGGTCTTTGAGGCGCTAGTTCAACCACGCCCAACAAATGATGGATTGTTCATTCTATCACCCGAAACATGAAGAGCATTTGACTTATGCCGCGATCATTATTGTTCTAATTCCAGGTCTTTCTAAGCGTCTGGGGTTAATATGATGGCTAGTTGGATGTGCAAACCGCGCTCGAATCTCCCCTCATGGCCCTCGGAATCGGGCTGCCTGGCAACAATCCCATCATGTATGTAAATCACAGCCCACTTCGCGCAAGCCAGAACGTGGATTTCAAATATGTCAGCCACGAGCGATCCTTCCACCGCAGCTGAGACGAACCCCGTGGGCTTATGGCACTTACCCCAGTTGCTTCCGCCCCTGGTGATGTGGTCTTGACTCGAGGAAACTCTGCTGCGCAGTTCGGCATGGAGGCGTGATTCGATGAGAAACGTACAGGCTTCACCCACAATGGACGCGACCCAAGCATTCTAGGGGACCCCAGGTTTCCCCAGACATCCCGGTGGTCTTCTTGGCTCGTGCTCTACGAATGAACAAGCCTACCTTAGCCTACGGCTAGAACCAAGGCTCCAGTGCCCAGGGCCTCGTAAAAATACAAAAGGTGCCGTGGGAGACACTGGCCGGAAGATCAGGTCTACTGAACAAGACTCTCAGTCAAGAGGGCAGCACAGGGAATTTTAGGACGAACCTGCCACATTGCCCGTACCATGACTCTCGTCAACGAGCCGGAGCCCGTATACTGGAATCCAGTCAAGGCTTGCCTACTTATCCTGGTGAGCGCACAGCCGTCGTGGCCCAAGAAACCCCGGAAAACTAACAGTAATACTGTGGCTCTAGTCATTGACCACCCACTACATTTGCGAACTACTTTTCATTGTCGGTTCAGGCGTCTATGCCCGCGACATTGCCGAGGTGGTTGGAGGAGCAGAAATCTCATCATGGTGCATTTCCGCCGTCACCATCCTGACCGCTGCCTTTGCTCCACCAATTGCTCAGGCGGCAGATTTCTGGGGTCGGAAATGGCTACTGGTTGTTCCCACGTTCCTGGGCTTCATTGGCAGCATCGTCGTCGCCACGGCACAGTCCATGCAGGTTGCCATCATTGGCTTTGCCATCGGCGGTGCCTCCTTCGGGGCCCAGCCCCTCGTGCATGCCGTGGCCTCGGAGGTTCTGCCACGAAGGCATCGACCCTACGCACAATCGACCGTCAACAGCTCTATCGGGGTAGGGGCAATCATCGCCCTGACCTTTGGCGAAAAGATTCGTGCTCTGGACTGGATAGGATTTCTCTTGTTCAATGCAGGCCTCGTGACGTTTTGTGTTGGCCTTTCATACTCTCAGAATCCATTCCCCTGGACCAACGCTCACCTTCTGGCACCTTTTTTAACTGGGGTTGGGATTCTCGCGGCGCTCGTTCTGTACGAGGTCAAGTTCAAGAAGGATGGCCTCTTCCACCATGGCTTGTTTCAGCACCGAAACTTCCCTATCGCTGTGACTGCCGTAGCGATCGAGGGTCTGGTCTTTGTGGCAGCCAGCAACTATTACCCTTTTGAGATGGCCACGGTCCTTGCTGGAAGGATATCTAGCTTCCGGGTGGCGGTATGCTTTGCGGTCGCCTTCGTGGCACTTTTTGCCATCGCGAATGTCGTGGGGGCCTATATTCACAGGACGAAGACCGTCCGGGGACCCGCAATGGCATCCTTTGTCGGCTTTATCATCTTCGGTGCCGCCTCTGCCAGCATCAAGAGCTCGACGCCTGAGGCGCATTTCTGGGGCTTCGTCATCTTCTACGGCATTGGGTTAGGGACCTGTCTCATCACCCTTCTTACAACGGCTCAACTCGCAACCCCGCCCGAGCTGATCTCGATCACGTCGGGACTAATGGCTTCGATGCGTTCCTTCGGTGGCGCAGTTGGCGTCGCCATCCAACTGGCCATCTTCAATAGCGGTCTGAACTCGAATCTCGTGCCTCAAGTCACAGCTGCCGTGGAGCCCTTGGGCCTGAGCGCAACGTCGATCGGACCTCTGATTGCCGCTTTGGACACGGAGAACCGCACGCTCATCCAAGCAGTCCCGGGGGTGAATCAAGAGATTATCGAGGCGGCCGAGGCTGCCAGGACTGATGCCTTTGTCCTCGGCTTCCGCGATGTGTGGATCAGTGTTGCAGCATTCGCTGCATTTGGGATTTTCAGTATGTTGCGCTCTTCCATCGCCTTTTCGTCTGCCATGCTCCTGTCAAAGGTATATACTGACCAGGACCACCGCAGTTTGCTACTTTGTTGAAAATCCCAAAACTGAGTTTAACTCTAAAATCGACGCACCCCTCGAAGGTACTGCTCGTGTCCGTGAGCTCGAAAAGCCGCACGTCAGTATCCGCGACGACGCTTCGCCCGCCGCCATGAGCGCGGTATCGGAATAGAAGTGATACATTTACGAGCAAGAGGTAGAGGGGAAGACAGAACGCGAATTAGCCGGCACCCGAAAACCTTTAGAAGGACGCTTGCCTGTCTGGGTGAACGCGCTGTAATATCCGACCTGATGGGGACAATTTGGGTTAGTTGTACTTGAACTAGAAATACACGCTGCGTGCCATGCATCATGCTATATGCCACTCTTTGTGGAGTATTTAAGGCCCAGTCGCCTCGACAACGGCCGTGTTATCGATCAGGTAGTTGCAAGGCGAGGTGATTGATTGTAAGAGCGGCGCTGGTTGGGTGAACCGCACTCACAACGCTTCACCCGCCCAAGCCACTGGACTCATTTACGACTCAGTAGCCGAGCCTCGTCGCGTCCTATTGTCCAAGGCATGATGTCCTATGTGCAACGCTCATCGCAAAAAAAATCTCCCATTAAATGAGAGGCTCGACACTCTCAGCTACTTTCCGCACATATGCTGTTTTTCAGTATCTCTCCAAGCCGCCTATCCCCTTGTTCATGGACACAAGGTGTTGTACACAGAACAGTTGTGGATCTATCTGCTTAATTGTGTTCTCTCCCCCTGGCTATTCAGAGAGACTCTGCCTATTTATATACACTTTGGCCTGTAACCTGAAGAGCATTCCTGAAACCTCCTATTCTCTCGCCATCCTATCACAGATCAGCGAGAACAATGGTGTTGAGGTAAGTGGCACGGTTGGTGAAACGCCTAGCGTCTCCGGTGGTTTGCCACACAGCGGCTATCTCGAGACCCTGTCAACACAAGGCCCTGGAGTTCAAATACCTGACCGAGAACGGGACCGCGTCGCCGAATGCAGGCCTCCCCGACTAATCAAGACGGAGCGAATGATAATAAGCCGCGAAACACATTCTGTGTCGTTCTAGCTGTCCGTATGGGGAATCCAAAACTCCACCCCCACGTCTCATGGCATCGCGCGATAGAGATTGTATGCCCACGGATTTTCTTGGTGCGCTTGGTCACGCTGGACCATTTGACTTGAGCACTGGCATGGATGAAAGGTTTCTATCTTCGTGAACTTTGAGATAACCGATAGTTCGATATAAAGGTCCGGGTTGGCGACTTTGGCGGGATGAGCCATTTGTCCATAGCGCTATATGATCACGGGCGGGGTGGCTATGAAGAGCTGTAACTCTATCGCTGTTGACACGCCGCAGGAGGAAGAAAGTCGCGATTGCTCCGGCCGTCGATCTCCATTTACTCATCGCTCGGCGAACCATCTCCGCTGGTTCAGTCCGGTCAGCGTCCTCTGAGAGAGTGATATCGGCGCTCTCTTCTCGCCTATCTTTCTAGAGTTGCCGTCAAAGGTACAACAAATGCCGACCAAAGACTCACTGGGTATGTGTGAGCTTACATATCTATTCCGGGCAGGGAAAGAGTTCAACCTGACCGGAAAATAGTATATTGCAAAGAGCGCTGCTGGGGTTCGATCTCCACAGTTCTGCAGTTGCGCATTATACACCCACAGTCCTGGGAGCCGATCACTGTTAAGCTTCGCAGAGCCCTCGCACCCTAATATACCGGTTTATCAACAAATACGCACAAACTACCACCGAGCGCCGTCTCTGCCAAGGTCATCGAGTAGGTTAGTCTCCAAGCCTCGGACGAGACATTACCCCCCGATACCAGCCGTTCTTCACCGGACCCGTTCTCACATCGACCTCATTAGGACTTTCGGCCTACTCCTCGGCCTAATTGATGGTGGAAGCACCAGGCTTGGCTCCGCATTGTTTATGTCACTATTCCGCCTTTTTTCAGACTGCCGCTCTCTATATATTTGATGCCCCCTTAGGGCGAGTCCATACGCTATAATACTACCATTAGTCCCCGCGCAACTCTATCCCGCGACAATTTGTCCCAGATTTCTTCATTTGCTTCTACCCCTTTCTTTATCTAGTTGTATTCGACTGTTCGCTTGCTTCATAGGAGAGAGTGCCACACGGTACACCTGGCCCCTGATCCTGACATAGGATATATCATTCCAAACCTGAAGAAGACGCTTCTGCATGGTAGACTGATTGACCTTAAAGTCTACCGCCTTATGCGGTCGGAGCAGGCGGGCGTCCAGGATCAATTAAAAGTCCTGCTCAAACTGATTTCTCAAGCTGCTCAGTTTTGACAACTGCTGCGGTAGGCACCTCAAAGACCTCGACACCTTCGTCCGCGATGTGCCCAGTCTCAGTAAGATGCAATGCACCTTGATGAATCTTCTCCTTCTCCTCTTCGCTGATGCCGTACCAGTGGACGGCGACGTGCTTGTCTCCGAATAGCGTCCCGATCTCCTCAAGGGTCCTGTTCGCGGTCTCTGGGAAGAAGAAGTAGATAATAGGTAGATATATAACGGTGGGACAAATAAGGACGAGGTAGACTATTGGAAAGGTTAGCGGTGCTTGTGAACGGGATATAGAAGGAGGGCTTTTTCTTCACGAACATTTCCAGCCAATATCGTTCAAAGCCACTGGGGCAGCAACCAGGGTGATTTCGCTCGTCAAGAAGAAGACTGCTAGCCCCAATGCCGTACCTTGCGAGCGCAGGTGGTTGGGCCAGATTTCGGACACGTATACAAACTGTGTTGCATCCTGTAAGGTAATCAGCATTTGCCACAGCGATGTTTGTAGAAGACGGCTGGACCCAATTTCCATACCATGCAGGAGCACCAGAAGGTAATGTAGAGCCAAATAAAGAACACGCAAGCGTTCAAACCAGCTTTACTTGTTCCACCAAGGTAGGTGGCCGTCAGCGCCGCCTCGAAGATCAGGCACATCAGACAGCCGGTTGTACCAATCAGCAAGAGAGGTCTGCGGCCGAAGCGATCAACAAGGAATGCTGTCAGCGTATTGCCGAAAATGGTATAGGTGGTCCAGCAAGCATTCAGCAGCAGCGGGATGCTGCCTTTCAAGCCGAGCGAGGTATAGATAAGTACACCGTAGTTCGCCAGGACATAGACACCCATCATCTGATCGAAGAACATCAGTAAAAAGGAGATAAGGGCACGGCGTCGATTGGCCTTGGTGCGGAGGATTTCAAACTTCCGACCCAGGGACAGCTTCTTATCGGCTTCGTGCTGCTTCTCCATCAAGTAAAACTCTTCTTTGGCCTTTATTTGCTCCGGGTCGTCCTTTTGGCCGTGCAGGCGTTTGACAATATTGAAGGCTTCTTCGGTCTTGTCTTGGCTGAGAAGCCAGCGAGGCGATTCGGGAATGAATTTGCTGCCGAGTATGACGATCAAAGGCGGAACGCATTGAAACACCAAGGGGAACCGCCTATAATTTCTTTCAGCAAGACAAGCGACCACTTGGAGACTTTTCGTCTTACCAGGCGGCGGAAGCGTGAGGTGAGCTCCCGGGTATATAGGCGCAGCCGTACCCAATCCAGCCTGCGAAGCTATATCCCCAAGCCCACATGATACCCGTGACACACATCATGGCACCCCGGGTCTCAGCCGTAGCGACTTCTCCTTGGTACATGGGCGTGACGATGGCGAGGATTCCAGATCCCACTCCGGCCACAATACGGCCGACGGCGAACATGGAGATCGCGACAGAGCCTGCGTTAAGCGCACCGCCGATGATGATGAAAACGCAGCCGATCATGATTGCGGCTTTGCGACCGTATTTGTCGGCTGCCCAGCTGCTAACGATGCAGCCCAAGAAGGCACCGCCGCTGTTTGCGCCATTCAGGCCTCCGAGGACGTTGGTCGTGTGCGCATAGCCAGGGTCGCCTTGTACCGGCAGATTGAAGTACGTGTAGACTGCAACTGTCAGGCTCCTATGTGGTTGATTCCTTGGCTCGATCCTTACAGTTTGGTTGCCCAGACGTTGAGCCAATGATAGCAAGGCCATAAGCAGTTGACAGTGTACCAAGCGCCACAAAAATCACCACCAGCACGTTGAAGGCGTTGAACTTCATCTTGGACTCGAAGCCCTGAACTTTGGCGGGATCCAAGCAATGTGGCGAAATAAAGGGATACTACACAGTATAAGCGAAGCCAGTGAGGAAAGCAGGCTGCGAGACAAGATCAGGGGGGAAGCAACGGCAGTCGATCAAGCTTTATTCCCCAGATTTGCTTACGGCGCTCGCCTCGGTCCAGCTAGCTTTATTCCCTCGGTGGTTCATCGGCCCATCCAATTTATGGAGAAAGATCTCCGCATCTTTCCCTTTTTGATTCTTACGCTGGAGTGGCAGGGCTGAAACGCGTAACCCCTGGTAGTAATCAAAAACTTGACACCTAATATTGACCGTCTAGGCTCCGTCACCCCCACAAACAGAGTTTTCCGCAAGCAGAGCCGACCAATTCGGTCCTCGAGGCCGCTGCGCTGCGAGTCTTCCTCAAAATATTCCTGTTGTCAAAGGTGATAGGTTTGAGTGTGTTGAGCATCGCCAGCCAGTTCCACCACGATCCTGCCTACTTACTAGTAGAGTCGTTGTGCTGACAGTGGGCACTTCCAAATTGTCCCCCCCCTTTATTCTTTGGCTTTTGAATTAGCTTTATATTGAGCCACGAAGGAGATGTGTGAGGGGAACAGGGACTTTTCCCTACATCCGACCCCTTTTTACTATGATAGTGGGTCCGCGGGAAGAACCAATCAGGGTACTCGGCCCCGGCCTTCGTTCTCCGCTTTGCATATATACCTAGGTTCCTGGAACTTGGGGTTCGGGGACCTAAGGTGGACCCCAGGAAATTCAGGAAACATACTCCGCAGTACTTTGAGATGTACCCACAGGGCTTCATTCTCCGCATTCTCCAGATTATGGTGAGAGCCGATTGCGATTGTTGAATGCTTTGCACTGTTCCCAAGTTATCGAGCTTCTCGGTGCTATTCAGTCTCTGGCCCAGCTCGTTCTCGACATGCAGGCTGTCTATGAGGTGAGACGGATTCATACCCTACCTACGTGCGTTACATGTTTAGCTTCAGTGAATACGGCGGATCGGCGTTCAGGCCGCCATATACTACCTACCAGGCAAGTGGACTAACCAGGAGCCCATCTTACTCTGAGGGTACGGAACCGCAATGCGGGGAATGGTTTCCATTTGCGGAATTCGAGAACCGACATCATCGCATCTCCAAGTGCTTAAGAGCTAGGTTTCGTATTGCCCGCGGCCACACGGTCAAGTAGAGGTTAGATCTCTGTAAGGGCTGTCTGACACATCTGGGAAGTCCGTTCATAAATTGTGAAGGTTGCGAGATCACACTGCAACAACGCAGCGTCTGGCAGTTACTTGACCACCGAGTCTACAACATGCTCGTGAATACTGTGCTTACGCACAGCATTTCGCCTTTACTTGGTCTTCTCCTTCTTGGAGTGGTAGGCGCAATCCTCGTATCCTCTCGATTTATCTACAATCTATACTTCCACCCTCTCTCGAAATACCCTGGACCCTGGTATGCAGCCGCAACTTCTCTATCCGTTGCGATTATATCGGTATTGAAGGTTGAACCACAATGGCTCATGAGTGTGGTAAGAAAATATGGGAGTGTGTAGCCCCGTTTAATCTGTCATTTTCTTTCAATCGGTTGATGAAACGTTGGCTAATTTCCCTACCACCTCCACTATAGCGGAGACACCGATCCGTATCTCACCCACGGTGTTGCTGTTCCCAAAGCCTTCCGCGCTCAAAGAGATATACTGGGACCCTAAATGTAACACGAAGATGTCCCTTTATGGGACCGGTGCATTGGGGCCTCCTCATCTCTTCACAACGCTAGATAGCGAAGAACACAAGAACTTAAGAAAGGCTCTTGGTGGTCAGCAGGTATGCTTCATCTATTTCCATGACTTGTGCAGCAGCCCATGAACTCACCAACTCACGATCATGTAGTGGACCATCGGGTCTCTAAAGAACAACTGGGAGCCTCGCATAGACGACTTGGTCCGCCTATTCATTCGCAAGATGACTGAAAGAGCACAGGCTAACGATACGGTGTTGCTCTCCGAAAGAGTAGCGTAAGTTGCATGAACGCACAGCCCTCGAAGAAGCAACTGATTGTAGCAGTGAGTTTGCCGCAGATATCATGACCATGATCTCTTTCACTGAGCCTTGGGGCTTTGTCAAGAACAGTCGGGACGTGTACGGAATCCTCGGCAACTGGCGTAAAGGACTCCCGCTGTTTGGGTTCGCTGGGCGATGCAACTCTTTCCGAAAGATTTTGTCCATTCCTGGCGTAGGGGAACGGTTTCTCCCCAAGGCAACTGACAAAGACGGCTTCGGATATCTGATGAATTGGGCCGACAAAGAAGTATCCCGTCGCGAGGAGAAGTTGGGAGACGGCGAGACTGTAAATGAACCGGACTTCCTTCAACAGTCAGTCAAAAGCAGCAGACACACGCAGGCGCAGGAGCTGACGATTTCAATAGCTGTCTAGATGCGCGAATGGACGGAGAGCCCCTCAGCCCTGTTCAGAAGAGGGCGCACGTGACACTCCTGATTCAAGCAGGGGCCGATACCACTGGCACCGCACTCGGAGCCACCTTGCGATTTCTTGCCTTGGATCCCGACAAGATGAAACGCACATGGGAGGAGATTGAAGCTGCCGATCGCGCAGGTAAATTGTCCACTCCAATCCAATACGAAGAAACGCGAGAGAACCTGCCGTATATGTGCGCATGCATCAAAGAAGCAACTCGACTGTGCCCGCCTGCCGACAATCTCTTCGGCCGGGTGGTTGGAAAAGCCGGTAAAGTGATTGATGGACATTTCCTTCCTCCGGGGACAGAGATAACGACCAATGCATACGTCGTGCATCGAGATCCGGTCCTTTACGCACCCGACCCTGATGCTTTCCGCCCTGAACGATGGCTTGAAAGTAAGGAGAAAGCTGCAGAAATGGAGCTTCACAGCTTTGTGTTTGGCATTGGGCCTCGCATTTGTTTGGGAAAGGACGTCGCCATAATCGAACTGCACAAGCTTCTCCCTGAGGTATGTCAATCTCCAACATGATGATCAAGCATGCGGTGATAGGGTTTTGAGACCAATCTGACATCTCATCCTAGATTATTCGACACTTCGATTTGCAGCTTGTCACTCCAGGAAGATTTGTGGTGGCAGGCGGGGTCGCGTATTTTAACGATTTTAATGTGAAACTGATAGCAAGAGAGGAATCTGCTTGACGTACCGGGAGACCGTCAGTGGACGAATGCCCTGGAACGACTCCAGTGTATCATTTATAAATGAAGCCTGACGACCTGCTTCATTGTAGAATTGTTCTTGAATTTGAGTAGAGCTTGAGAAGCTGGTCCGAGGCGGTATTTGAAGCCGTGTTACGGCAGGAATACCCACAGGATCGAAGAATAATGTCGGCGGTGATCGGGAATGGCAAATATAGGGAGCTCCATACAAGCCGAATTTGAACTTCGTCCAGAGAAACACAATAAGCGACCGTTAGTTAATGAAAATGAGGGATGATGCTACATCTCACTGAGAGTATAGTCCGCTGTAGGATGGTATGGCCAAGTATATCTCAGTGAAACGCACACCACAACTCCCGAGAACTCGGAGGATTCCGATCACCCTCGGCACTGACTCGATGCTGGCGGAGGCTTGCAGGCATGTCACTCCTACCAGGTATCGATCGTTGGCATAGTCGCTTCTTTGACTGAAAGAATAGACATTTATCTCCTCATTATTCATTCGTTGATTTGCTCGCTCGAGCCTGCCGAACCCTTCGAGCTTTCATCACATTCAGCCGGTGAGAACCCCTGAGATGGAGAAACTCAAGAAATTCTATACTCCAGACTACATGTCACGGCCGGGGATGTCATTTGCTATTCACATTGAAGATCCGGTTCAGAGAATAGAGGAATTCATGAACAGATACAAACGGGAACCTGTCGCAGAAGTACGTTTTCTCTGCTGGCGGCCACAAAGCCCCCGTGAGACACACTGTAACAAACATGCCCCCAGGGATTTGAAGAGTCTATGATGACGAGAGATCTCAGCGTCGTCAGTGCCACGGGACCACCGAATGTCGCGGCTGTCTTCGAGATGGAAATTACTCCCATGTACGGAACCCGAATGGGTAATGCTTCAGGGGCCGCTATCACACTCATCCACGATATGTGCACGACGATGGCGATGGCGCCTCTAGCAAGAAAAGACTTCTGGCACTTTGGCGGAGTGTCTCGAGTCCTCAGTGTCACGTACTTGAGGCCCACAAAGGTGGGCACCAGGGTCTTGATTGAATGTGAAGTGTTGCAGGTGGGATTACGATTTGGTACGGATCGCGACCTTGGTTTGGATTGAAGGGCTGACATTCAACCTTCAGCGACGATACGAGGGTCCATGAAGGACAAAGCCACGGGTGATCTACTCTCAGTCTGTGAGCACAACAAGGCTAGCATCATCTTCCGCGAAAAAGCTCAGATTTGAATACACAACACGCAACTCACAGAGGCTGTTCGACCTCCCGGTGGCCTACACCCGCAACTCAAACACCCTCCTCCGTTTCACCTACAATAACCCCGGTGGTAGTTTTGACGCGTGGGGCGAGCAGACCTTCCTAAGGAATCTTATCTCGCCCACGGAGAAAACCCCTCCACCGTTCAGCCACTGACATGTTACGGACATTCGGGCCACGATCGTGCCCAGAAATAGTCGACATCTTATTGGCATCTCATTGGTAGAAGTCTCGCCACCACTGCAGGGGGGGGAGAGAGATGATCTCATCCCGCGCTGTGGCCTTGTTTCCAGGAAATTCCCAACCAACACTCAAGGTTGGCACCGAGTTGGCTCGCGTTGATGTCATCTATAGATACTTCTTTTTTCCAGCTTTCATTGATCTATTTTCGTGCATTCCCAAGTCATTGCTTTGATTTCCTTTCTGTACCTGACCCGTTTCTTATAAAGTATACGACAATATCCTCTAGAAAGTCACTCCTTTGGCTCTTCTTTTCGGAATGGGTGGCACACCCGAGAATTACTCCATGTTGCAGGGGTTTGAGTGGAACGTCCCTGCCGACCAGAAACATTGGACTCGATTGCAGAGCGCATTGCAAGACCTGAAGAATATTGGGATAGACAACGTTTGGCTTCCTCCCGCCTGCAAAGGTCAGGGCGGCGGCGGGGCTAACGGTTATGACATTTATGACTTATACGACGTGGGCGAATTTGATCAAAAAGGCTCCAAATCAACCAAATGGGGCCCTAGAGAGGACCTGGATCAATTGAGCAGGAAAGCAAAGGAGCTGGGAATTGGGCTGTACTTCGATGCGGTGCTGAACCACAAGGCTGGTGCGGACAGGAAAGAGAAGTGCAGGGTCGTCGAGGTGGATCAGAGTGGTCAGTCCGTATCCGAACCGATCGCAATGTCGAAGGGTTTCCCCCAGGCTGATCAGTATCTCAGACCGAAATAAGGAGATTGGGGAGCCGTTCGAAATTGAGGCGTGGCTGGGCTTCGATTTTCCTAGTCGCGGCGACAAATACTCCGCTCAAAAGTACCACTGGGAGCACTTTTCAGGCACGGACTACGACGCAGCGACCGAAAGAACGGGCATCTTTCGCATACTCGGCGAGAACAAGCATTGGTCCCATTCCGTGGGAGACGAAGCAGGCAATGCTGACTTCCTCATGTTTGCCGACCTCGACTATAGCCACCCAGAGGTTGCAAAGGACGTAATCCACTGGAGCGAATGGGTAGTTAACGAATTCAAGCTGAAAGGGTTCCGGTTCGATGCTTGCCAGCATTTCTCCGAGCGCTTCACCAATGATTTGGTTCAACACCTGGAGGAAAAGTTCGGAGAGGGCCAGATGTTTCTAGTTGGTGAGTACTGGTCTGACCAGACGCAAGAAATGCTCGACTGGTTAAACCATATGCACCACCGCTTCACCCTGTATGACTCGCCACTGGTGTATTCCTTCTCGCAAATTTCTAAGACCGAGAAGGCGGACCTCCGAAAAGTGTTCGACAACAGTCTTGTAAAAGCCAGGCCTGAAAGTGCGGTGACGGTGGTGATGAATCACGACACTCAGCCAGGGCAGACGGTGGAGACACCCATTGAAGGCTTCTTCAAGCCGATCGCCTACGCTCTGATCTTGTTGAGGAGAGAAGGCTACCCGTGCGTCTTCTACGGCGATCTCTATGGCATGAAGGGCAAACAGGCAGAGCCGCCGGCATGCGGGGGGAAACTGCCTCATCTCGTGCTTGCGAGGAAGCTTTTTGCGTACGGGGACCAGGACGACTACTTCGACGAGCATCCAAACTGTATCGGATTCGTGCGCAGAGGTACCGAAGACAGGAAATCCGGCCTTGCTTGTGTCATGTCGAATGCCGAACCAGGTACAAAGCGGATGTTCGTGGGCAAGGAACATGCAGGAGAACTCTGGACAGACGTGCTGGGCTGGCAGAAGGAAGAAGTCAAGATCGACGAGGACGGGTTTGGAGAGTTCATGTGTCCCGGCACGAGCGTTAGTGTCTGGGTAAGCAAGGAAGCAGAGGGCAGAGATAAGATCGACGCATTGGACTTTGATAGCGACATTTACGCAAGAGCATAAGCTGCACCGGAATCAGAGGGCGACTTGGATACAACGATGTTAGACAGGCCGACAGAGCAACGGGGTGTCTGGGATATAGATCGAATGGGGCAATTATGCGAAGACTCTAGTGTGCTTCAGGAAATAGGAAGAGGGCTCTGACTTGTGGAAAAATTGCGATCGGTGACATAATACTTGCATACCGACTTGCTGCGTAAGGCTGCGGCGCCCTGTCACTGACTTGTATTCCATAATCAGGGTATGATGGATCAGGGAGCTTGAAGTTCAGATCGACGAGGCTGGGCTCCTTTCGCACCAGATAACAACTCCCGCCAAACCGATGTTAACTGAGGCCACCAACAATTCGCCCGTCAAAGCAGTCAAGGCTCATCCAGCTCGTAAAAGACGGCCAGCATGTCCCCAAGGTGGCGATCGCATCATTTTACAAGTTAGACTACGGCCGTCGTATTGTTCGGTGGCATGCTCGTGTTTGGTGGCTAATCTCTCCATCATGTCAGACATGCATACTCCATGCAGGAAGCCTGACGAGAGATCACTCAGCTCAATTTTGGGGTATTTCCGCGTCTATATTGGTAGGCGGCAACTCAGCTCTAACATCTATATGAGAGACGAAGCGAGCGAGCATCTATCTTGATTATGGTTTGTTCCTCCTCAATGTACTCTCTAGGTACGAAGAATGGCTTTTCTCGCGATGGACGCTGGCAATTTGATCGCGTCAGTGGTAGCATGCTTTCTGCTAGTCCGGCTGTTGTCTATTGGCATGCGAAACCGGAATATGCCTCCAGGTATACATTCGTCCTTTCCTAGATACATCCAACCTCTCGCTAACAGGAGTCAAGGTCCGCCAACACTGCCCATCATTGGAAATCTATATCAGATCCCCAAAAAGGACATACACCTGCACCATCAGAAATGGGCAAAAAAATGTACGTTTAAAATCTCCTTGGGCTGTCGTGCTTGAGAGGTGATGGTAACTGTCGAACGATGAAAACAGACGGACCGATTTTCTCCCTCAAAATGGGAAGCCAGGATGTCATCGTCCTTGCCAGCGGCGATATGATCAAAAGACTCGTGGACAAGCGGAGCGGCAACTATGCAGACCGGCCAGCCCTCTTTATGCAGGACGTCTTCGAGCACTCGAGGATCATCATGCGAGGCTACGACGACCTGTGGAAAGTCGAGCGGAAACTCTACCACCAGTTCCTCAACAGCACAAAGGCGGCACGGTACACGCCTTACCAGGACCTGGAGACGAAGCAGCTCTGCTTCGATCTCCTGCGTCATCCACAACACTTTGAAGCACTGATCACAAGGACGACACTAAGTGCCGCCACCAGCATGGCGTACGGATTTCGCGTGACTGACCCGGCCAACCCTATCATGAAGGAGCTCCTCCACAATGCCCACGGGTTCTTCACCATGGTCCACAAAAGCCAGTTGTTTGACTGGTATCCTCAGCTGCGATCCATTGCGCGCTGGCTACCGCCGTTCTTGTATCGAATGTATCGAGACGCCAGAGAGATCTTTCGTCGAGAGAAAGCACAGTTTCACCAGCTGCTCAGCGATGCTAGGAAGACAATGGCCTACCAGAACTCGCTTCCAAGTAAGAAACTCTGAAGTATTTGTCTCCCAGAGGAGGGTACTGACCTGATTGTCCCGTGCTATAGGCTTCGCATCAGATATAGTTCGAGCGCAAAAATCTTGGGAGGGAAAGCAGGAAGGTACCATCTTGACTGACCATGCCGCCGCATACATCGCTGGAATTGCCATGGAAGGAGCAACAGATACCCAGAGCAACCAGCTAGCTGGGTTCATCAAGGTAGAGCATTACTTTGCTTGGTCTCAAAACCTCATTCTCTAGTATACTAACTCATAACCTTCAAGGCAATAATGCTGTATCCGGAGGTCCAGAAGCAAGCTCACGTCCAACTAGACGATATCGTTGGGACTGATCGATTGCCTGAGCCAAGCGATCTTGAAACCTTGCCATACATACGGCAGATCATGAAAGAAACCCTCCGATGTACGCATGCCCGATCCAACCACCCCGAGAGGCGGAGCGGACAGAGACTGATTCGAGTAGGGATGCCGACAGCGGTGACCAGTGCAATTCCCCACGCGGCTCGCGCCCAAGACGAAATTGACGGCTACATAATCCCCAAGGGGGCAACCATCCTTCTTGCGGTCTGGGCGGCGAACAACGACCCAGCTCTTTTCCCGAACCCTCGCGTCTTCGATCCGTCTCGGCAGAACCCCAACTTTTCGATGGGGGAAGCAGCACTCGCGAGTGACATCCGCGACCGCGATCACTGGACGTTCGGCGCAGGCAGGAGGATCTGTCCAGGGATCCACGTCGCCGAGGGGACATTGCTTCTGGCCATGGCCCGGATTCTATGGGCGTTTGACATCTCCAAAGCCAAAGACGCTCACGGCAGGGAGATCGAAGTTGACCAGGACGAACTTACACAGTCGATTGCGGCAAGGCCACTTCCGTTCAAGTAAGAAATCCCCAACTCCTCGCAGACGGCTCGAGGAAAGGAGGTTGCTAACGAGCGATATATAGATGTGATATCAGAATCCGGAGCGAAAGGCACGCCCAAGTAGTACGGAAAACCTGGGAAGGAGCGCAGCATGTCCTTGACGAGGCAGGCAATTACAAGATGAATGTTTTGTGACTGGCGAACAGGTCTATCGTGTGTTCTCCCAGCTGATCAACCCAAGCAAGCAAGCAAGCAAGCAAGCAAAACAAAGATTCACTGCAAGAAATTGAATGCGCGGGAGTTGCCGCCATTTCCCCGCAAAACACGGACCAGTCAACCCGTCCAGGGTTCGATCAGGGATCTTGTTGGAGACCTGCTGCTTGATCCTTGAGAGCCGGATTTCCCAGATGTCCCATTGGGCAAATACGACGTCAACGATGGGCCCTTTTGTAGAGATGAGACGGCGAAGAGGGGGAGGGATGTGCGCAATGCAACATTGTGCGCTACATCCCCCATATGTATGTAGGTGCCAATTGCCCCGCTCCTCCGTGCCCATGATTGACTGGGTAGAAGATGACGCGTTCATCTCTTCCTCTGTCTCTGTCTGGCGCGGGGAGAATAGTCGCTGGATATTAAAGGGGACTAGTTGCCAGCTGGCCCTCTTGGAGGTGGCCTGGAAGAGGTAGACACCAAGGCAGATCTGGATATCGCTCTGAGGAGAAAGAAGGGAACTTGACATCTTAGCCTGGCCCCAAGGACAAGAAGACGTGTTGGAAAAAGATCGTCTGTCTGCTCTGACTTCGAAAGCCTCTGCTCCGTACTCCCATACCTAAGCTCTCGACTTATTCAGGGAGTGTGCTTCCTTACAGGGGGCAAGGCTGCCTGCGAAAGGGGCTACCTCATACACATCACATATCCGCTGGTCCGGCACAGTCCCACACAGGGTCTGAGAGAGTGAGACTCGTCAATTTGGGGGTTTCCTTCACTTTCTGCCTCAGTTCGCCACAATATATATATTGTATACATATCTTGTTGACGGTGCCAAGATGAAAGTCGTGCGCGTCGTTGGTTACCACAAAAACCTCGAGTTGTCCGAAGCCCCCGAACCCAAAATCACGTCGCCGCTCGACGTGATTGTGAAGATCGGCGCCGCAGGGGTGTGCCGCACCGACATCCACATCCTCGAGGGCCAGTGGGCCGAGAAGTCGGGCGTCCAGCTCCCTTACACCATCGGGCACGAAAATGCCGGCTGGGTCCATGCAAAAGGGGAGGCCGTGACGGGACTCGCGGTCGGCGACAAGGTGATTCTGCACCCGCTAGTGACATGTGGCCTGTGTCGCGCGTGTCGCTTCGGCGACGACGTGCACTGCGAGAACTCGATCTTCCCAGGCATTAATGCCGATGGCGGGTACGCAGAGTACCTCAAGACGAGCGCGCGCAGCGTCATCAAGCTGGACCCCAAGCTGGAACCCACTGACGTGGCGGCCCTCGCGGACGCCGGGCTCACCGCCTACCACGTCTGCGCAAAGGCCGCGAGGGTGCTCCGGCCCGGGAATTTTGTGGTCATGATCGGGGCCGGCGGCCTGGGACACATCGGGATCCAAGTCATGAAGGCCATCAGCGCGGCGACGGTTATTGTGGTTGATAGGAATTCGGAGGCATTGGGGTTGGCCAAGAAGTTGGGAGCAGATCATGTCGTGCAGGCTGGAAGCGATGATGGCTTTGTCAAAGAGGTGCTGTCTTTGACAGGAGGGAAAGGCGCAGAAGCCGTGATCGATTTCGTTGCCGAAGGTGGTTCAACGTCTACCGGTGTTCGTCTGCTTCGCCGAGCAGGAAATTACTGTAAGTTATTTTTCCTACCCAAACCTCTTCTATTGTGCAGGAAAGGTCCCAGAGCTCTGGGTCTTCCCCTATATATGAAATGGGATGCTGAAGGAGGGAAAAATAGACATCGTCGGATACGGAGAGAACATCAATGTACCAACCATTGACATTATATCGACCGAGATCAACTTCATCGGCAACTTAGTGGGATCGTACAATGACCTGGCTGAATTGATGGTGCTGGCTGCTCAAGGAAAAGTGGTTTTGCACACGTCCATATATAAGCTGGAAGACTTTCAGAAGGCCATTGATGACCTTTCCGCGGGCAAGGTGAGAGGGCGAGCTATTCTCGTGCCCTGAGAAAGGAGGCTGAGGTGGATCTCTCGTTCTGTGCAAATGCATGCGCTGGCCGCGCTTCAAAAAGAAGAAGATGCTCAAGTGGTTGCCGAATACATTCTTTCAGAGACGCAGAAGTGTACCAAGGTTGAATACTGCCAGAAATATGAGCAATCAGGAGATTTGCGACATGTTCATATCTTGTCACTGCAAAGTAATTTGACTTATGTTGCTAGCCTGTTTGCATGTACTTACACTAGATGACCGAGTCTAAGACCCATCCTCAGCGTAATTGAGTGATCTGCTACTGCTGGCATAATAGATGCAACAATGTTAGGATCGAAGATGAAGAACACCAACCATAGCGTACACGACAGACAGAAGACTTACAAAGCTGCCAAACTTAGACCCGCAATAAAAAGTTTGCAAACCAACTCTCATTTGATCATCTCCCATCCTCGTTCCTTGCTCGTGAAGAATTCATACACCACTTGTGCCCAGGCCTTCGGCTTGACCTCATGCCAGAATTCCCTCCCACTCTGAGCTACTTCTTGTTCTTTCAGCTCGAATCCACCGCATCCAAGGATGCGTCGAAAGCTGCGCTGGAATTTATCGCCAGCAGCTTTCAGCTGAGACTCATTTTCGTACGATATATCGAGGCTGTCGTATGTCACATCAAGGGGACGACGAAGGACGTAGGAGACGGCATCGAAGAGAGAGAGGTTCGATAGTGTTGAGCCAGCAAAGCACAAGTGCCGCCTTGCGTTGAGGCAGGGGAGGTGGTGCGGTAAGAGACTCGCAACGACGAATTTCGCAATACTGCAAAGCTCAAGTTAGGTCGACCAGCTCCGCAGTAGGAAAGAAGGTTGAAATGGAAACTCACTCGTCGCTATGTGTTGTTGAGACTCTAGCGTCAGGACTCCCAAAGTAAATTGCCGATCTTTTGTCTTCGTTCAACCCCAACACATTGGATTCAAGAAGGAAATCTGAGAGGGCGCCTGTCATAACGTATGTGAAACCGAGGGAGGTATCAGCTTGGACCCGCGCCTCAATGTGTTTGCGCAAAGCCAGCTTGTCGGCGAAGTACAGCTCGTCTCTGATAGCAGCATGGTTGAGGTTAGGGCCATCTCGATCCCAAGTCAGCAGCATCTCGAAACATTTGTTTTGCCAAGGGCAAGCAACTCTCACATTCGGCGGGATAGAAGTGTTTCACTCCGGCAGCAAATGCTGCCTCGGCATATTCTGTTTGTTCTGCACAAATCTCATCTTCAACCGCTGAGATGACAATCTCAAAGCCTTTATAGGAGTTGGAATCGGAAGGGTGTCCGAAAATGCGTTCCAGTATGGTAGGGGGTGGTTCGACTCCCTCATCGCAAGCAATATTGGACTGCGGCAGGAGAAATGCAACTCTCGAGAAATGCTGCTTCTGGAGGGTCAGTTCTTTCTGTATTTTGTGGCCGACCTTGCTTGTAGCGCCGAGCAAGAGGACTGAATAAGTCATTTCGGCAGGTGGTCCCTTGGAAGAATCAGTCAACGTTTGTTATAGAGATGAGAAGCACACCAAGGAAACAAAGTTGCAGATTCGAGTATAGGGCGCTTCGCTTCGGAGATGCAAGCTGAAAATGCCTGCAGCGAACCAAAGTCGCGTCATCCCTGAGCCCTCTGGCGCCCGTAGAGATGACCATCGTCTTCTCAATTCACCTTGTTCAGACCATTCCCCCAGATGGGTTTAACAAGGCTCGCGACTCGATGCGGTTGATCCCCAGATCTGCGTTCGCTCCTTGCACCCTAGGCGCAAGTAGGCTCCCGAACCTGATCTCCACGCCAGCAACTACCGCATTCGGACGAGAGCCAAACGCATCGAACCAGACATACAGTCGGAGGCAACGCTGCTAGCACAGACGAGAGCTCAAGAAACCTTGCTGTGGGTCTGGGCATTAGTAATACCGTTTGAATATACAAGCCGTCCAACAGGGTGAATTTAATGCCCCTTTTGGGCCTCGTATGACCTTCCTATGGTGTGATTTATCAGGAGAGTGCGAAATTGCTGTATGTGGACATACGTACAGACCCCTACCTGTGAGAGGGCAAAGACTCAAGTTGGACCATATCAAGAACACAAAGATGGCTCCAGGGGATCCCTGCTATTGGACAAGTTCAAGTAATATGCCTAGGAAGGAATAACTCGGTCGGGAGAAAGAGAAAGGAGGAGAATGAAGACGAGGCTGCGTCGACTCCCACAGCCTTGCCTTGGCTAGTGCGACTGCGCATCGCGTCTCGACAAACTCAGAACGCTCCAGAAAAGCATTTCCAATACGCTGCACCTTTATTGCAGCCCAAGTCGTGCCCTTCCGTGTCTGAAACCCTACTTTCGGACCTCGTCACTTTCGACATGGACAGAACCACCATCAACCCTTCCAAACAACCCCTGCCACGGCCTTCATCGGTCGCGTCAACAAACACAACATCCACCAACAAAACCCGGCAGTACGCTCATCTGCACGCGCAGTTGGCTCAATTGAACGCGCATCTAGCAGACACCGAGAACCTGTTGAGGATGACGGCCGTGCAAGCTCAAGATATGCGGTTTTTGGGTGGCTACGTCGGGGCGTTGTTCATGGGCAGCGCCAAAGTTCTCGGGGAAGAGAGTGTGCAGGGCAGAGGGAAACAGGGAGAGGGTGCCAAAGACTCGTGACTGCATTACATCTTCCGCCTACATAACGATGGGGTCGAGAACAGCATCAACCCTCGACAGGATCGCAGGGTCGCCTCTCTAAGAGGACTTTCCCGGCCAAAGCCTTCAACACCAGAAGCTGAAGAACAGTCCAGGCGCACCGCTTTGGCGCAACAACTCACTCAAGATCATATCGCAGGTGCTGATTGCCTCTCTGATAGCGGCATAGCGCACGGCTTCCACAGTCTTGCCGACCTCTCCAGTGCGTTGCGCTGTTCAAGACAAGAAGACTCGATGTCTACCGAGTAGAAAAGTGCTATTTGATCCTAGCATACCGCCGCCGACTTTTTGCCCAAAATGATACCGGGCAGCCATCCACCCAGCAAACGCTTGCTTTCAAGGATAAGCCATCGGTTCCGATCTCTCTGACCTATTCTCTATCCTGCGTTGACAAGCGTCGTAAAGAACCAAGTCATTGCCCTTAATTCCAAAAGCAATGGAATTGGATCGGTTCGATAGTGGGCAAAAATGGTTCTATCTATTCTCCAAAGTTCTCACTCTTAGGAGCCTGCCATACATCACCAAAAGATATCATTATTGCAGCTCATTTCCAGCTACGGTATGAATACATTTACTGGCTCTGGTCTGGGCTGCATCATCGCTCTCGCAGCGAGCGGTCTTCCATCCCCACGTCGATTCCATGCCCTTAGTATTATGGCCTCACTAACACGTTTGAGTGTGCACAAACATTCACAATCTCGTGAGGCACTGGCCTTCTTTTCCTCGCCTCAGTCTTGAGTAAGCAAGAGGAGATAGAAAGGCCCCTCTCAGGGCTCTGTTGCCTCCCAATATTTTCAAATTGAGACATGCCTCTCTTCAAGATCTGTTCGCCGGAGTCCTTGGTCAAGGACGCATCTGGAACGTCTAACTTGAAGCGACAATCAACCTCAAGCCGACGCTTGTCAGAGATCAAACTCTTTGCCCCTCGAAGCTGTGATCATTTTGGCAATTCGAGAGATCACTCAGTCACATTCTCATCATGCAGACTCCCCAGCACAAGATGTGGATCGGCCTCTAGCATGGCTGACAGTCTCTCGGCGCGTCTTCTTCCAGCCACCCACCGCATGAACTCTGAGTAACTCTGCGGCAAAACGCTCACGTCTGCCGGTGAGAAGAAGGTATAAAAGAACGTGCCTGTAGACTTCCTTTCTTGATCTTGGTGCTCAACAGGCCGGACGTGCGTCCGGACCATTACTTGGATCCGGGTTCCGCCGCTGGGGTGAGGTTCTGTAAACGAGATGCCTGCTGAGACATAGAGCACTGAACCAACGGGGACGGGCCCTTCAAATGTACTAGGATCGAGGTTCAGGAATCGTGGACGAGTGTGTGAGAAAGATGCGGCGCAGGTGAATGCCAATTCGAACGTCTGCTTAAGCAAGAAGCCTCCGAAGATCATGAAATGGTGACGGTTCCTATACTGCGGCATCATTATCTGTGTGCTGTGGATTGTGGTCTTGGACATGGCTTGCACATTGGCCGGCTGCTTCTTCGGGTTCCTGCTGTCAGCATACGCAAGAGAATCAGTCCACATTTTGTGGATTAGAGCCGACTCATCTGCGTCAGGTGGCTTGGTCAAGATGTGTGCGGATCTCATGGTCTTCTTGTTTCTGTAGTTTTCCTCGCCTTTGGCGAAAAGCGCCTTCTCCGCCGGGGTATTGACTTCCAGGGCAGCGATATTAACAGGTCTTTTAGTGTTGGGATCTAGTGCCACCATGGTAAAAGCGCACGTCATGAAAACGTCCTCCGGTGCAACTTGTCGACCTGGGGCTGGCGCTTTGGCGATCTGCAGAGTCACTTCCATGCTGCTCCTTCCGGTAGCATAGGTCACTTGTCCACTCAGCTCCAGATCACAAATCTCTCGAATAGGGTTCTTGATGGTGATCCTGTCAACAGCCGCAGTCACATTGCTGACTCCTTCGCCAGTATGTCTGTAGGCCACGACTCCGGCCAGCGCGTCCAGGTCCATGAGCAAGGTCCCGATACGGATTTGGCCAGTATAGTTGGCGTAGGTGTCGAGTAGCCACGGGTCTTGCTACAGAAATGCACATCAACCATTGGCAAATGGAGAAAACGTCTTGAGCACTGGGGAGTACTAACAGAGAGAGGCAGCACAAGGCTGACGTAGCTATCCGACATCTTCTTGGGTGCCAGGGCTGGTTTGGCACTTTCCACCGCCGGGGTGTGAGCGTCGTCCTCCGCCTCTTTTCGTTCTCGGAGTGCTTGAATCCAGGGTGTTCTGACCCGCATCTCTGTGAGAGCTTTGTAGACTCCATCCGTACGAGCGGCCTGAGTAGAGTGGAACGACCGTATTAGGATATGTCTCGCAAGGGCTAACTTCTGGTTCGTTTGCTGTACGAACCCTGCCCGCAGCAGATGGAGCAACGAATGTCGAGCCATTGTCTGAAGGATGGCAGTGATTTTAGCAAGTTGCGGGGTTGCTTATAATAGCTGGATCATTTTTGCAACGACATGGGACCAATTGCTTTATACGGCATGAGAAGGTAGGTCATCACCCAGTCCAGGATTGTCTGCTCTTAATACTAGGTATTTCTATAGTTGGCGTTGAGAATGATGAGATACTGGTCCTCAACAACCCGAAGCTGCACGCCGCTCCAATGCGCAGCCGGAAAAATCAATCGCCGGTTCCGAGAACTACCCACACTGTTCGCAATTTTCCAGACCTCGTCTTTCTTGTCCGTTATCTGGGAGACTGGGCTTTTCTCCCTTCCTAGCCTCAGAGGCCAGTCCTCCAGAATGTTCGAGACGGTCTTTGAGCTAGAAAGAAGTCTCTTTGTGCACCGGAAATTTGATGTTCACCTACTGACTGCAACCAGCGTGAAGGTATCTTGCAAGGATGCTTCCCAAGACCCTCCACTGGTATCTGGCAAACAAGCTCAGCCCTGTCGTCTATGGCTTCCTAGAGCAAGATCGTTTCTTCTGTCCTTGCAATGTTCTCTTGCTGATGACTTAGATCTTGGCCTAATTGTCTTGAAGGATGTTAACGCAAGCATTGTCGATCTCGTCGAAGGTGCCGAGGTGAGCCTCATCTCAAACCAACGCCTTTCATACGCCGTGCTCATCTATCCACATAGCTGTGGGCGCAACTCGGATATGAGGCATCTTTGATACGATCCACTCACACCAGTACCACTGAGGCTGAGAGGGTTGTGGACATGAGCTTCAAGCTTTGTGTATGGCACTATTAACTTTCTGCATAAATGCTAATCAGCATTTCAGAGCCGAAGAGATTTTGATTGCTATTTATCTTCATCCTTTCCTATTAGAATTCCTCCGCTAGAGTTGGAGTCGGTGCACCTACGTCTACACTTTGCTGGTGAGAGTTTGTTAGACGAACAGGGACAGGTCATCTCCGTTCCCGAACCAAGGAATGGTCCAGGTGATCGTTCTTTGAATAGCCAGCATGTGGACAGGAACCCACCCAGGAACCTTGATCTGGTGAAACTACAACTGCAGTCTACATCAACTATATCTTTCGCGGCCATGCCTTCCCTGCCAAGTGAACAGGTTTATTCAAAGCAGGCCAACGAGCAGCGACCACGATTGGACGAAGACGTCCTTTTCGCACTATTTGACGCGGGAGTGCGTGGCAGCATATGCTCCAAACCCATTCGCTTGTACGCAGGCGTCAAATGCCTAACTGATCAGAACGCTCTCCGCCTGTGCGACCTCGCCCCTGCTACATTCACACCAAACTACATCCAAAGGTTCGAAGAGCAGGCAAAATTCATTCCGACTGTTTCCAGATTCTTGGAGACTCTTCTCGGCGTTTCAGAGTCTAGTGCTCCACCACAGCAGCTCCAAGGATCAGTTAACTCGGGGTCTGGAAGTCGTGACAGGGAGAGAGAAACTGCAGAAGACCTGCAGAAGGATCTCTGCTTCACGATCATGAATGGCGTGCGATGTCACGAATCTGCTCGAAGTCTCCGACCTTTGCGCCGTCCAAACGACAAATCGCCTGATTCCATCTTGGACTTGTTGCATCATCCAAATATACCAGGCCTCTCAGAGACGGAAGCTAGGGATGGGTTCGAGCTTGGATCCAAGCCAGATTTTGATGATGAAGCCATGAATCAAGACGATGGTTGCAATTTTTGCCTTAAATTTGACGGCCAGACTAATACATCTGGGTGTTACGTCTACACAGTAACAGCAGAAGATACCGATGGCGATCGTGGTGGTGCAACAAAAGAGTTACATGATGTGGAACTCGAAGGCGGTGGGTATAGGCTAGATAAAACCTACGACTGCCCGATTGAACCCAACAGGCCTGCCCGTCTCCCACCTAACGAAAACAGAAAGTACTCGGACAGCATGTCAGGGATAAGTGATGTGTCAATGCTTCTGGCCTGCGAAGGACCTATGAATGAAGGACGCATAATCAGGCGGTCTAGTGCCATTGGTTCGCCGGCCTGGCTTACTCAGAATGTCATCCGCATGCATCCGCTGAGGCAGCAACGCCATGAGAATCATCGAGTGGACCAAGAAAACAGCCCATGGAAGACGGACAGCTTATATGAGAGGCCTGACCTCGGCTGGTGGTCAGACACGAATGATGCAAGCGAAGTGCCCCTCGAAGACTGTCGCGACCACTATACAAAGACTCAACTAGCCGACTTCAGCTCATCTCCTCCTTCCTTCAGCGACGAAGGTTGGGTCCGAGACTATCTGGACTTACAGTGCAACTCGGGCGAGCAGGGTCTTGTTGGTGGCAGGACAACACCCATGTCAACAAGCCAATCCGAGGAACAATCGAACAGCTCATTGGCGGAAGTACTTGGAAACGACCATTTGTTGTGGCACATGTGGAAAAGGCGTGCAAGCGTGGCTCCTCGAGGAGAAGAAGACATCACCGACATGAAGACACTGTATGCCACAGATCCAGACATGAAGCTGTTCAGTTCAAGATGGGACCTCGATCCTAGTGACATCAGTTCCGGAAGCAATGACGACCCCATGCTGCAAGATCTGAGAGATAGTCGATCATCTCCTCGAGACAAGGCTCACTCACCGATGACACCCAATTCAGAACGACGATCCTACTTCACGCCAACACGGTCCTCATCATCCTCGACCTATGTTGGGCGATCAAGTGCCGACCCCAAGCGACGATCAAGTCTCATCAAACGTTTTACTTGGGGAGGCCGGCACAATGGGTCCGAAGCACCTGCACTGGATGTCAGCAAGCTGGAACAACGGACAATGGAGGTCAAGAGGAGAAAGACGATGGACGACTATGAAATGATGGACAGAGAGGCCAGCAACGATGACTCCAGTGACATGCTGTTTCAATGAGAAGTTTTGCGGAACATGCACTTCTTCGGGACTTCTTTCGGCGTTCAGGACAAGGCCAAGGTACAAACGAAACTTGGTGGGAAAATTTTTGCGGTTTGGTTTTTGGGGTCCCCTCTCAGAGGTTTCTGAAGGGTGGTGTTTCACAGCATGCGTGGGCACAGCAATGCTATACCTCGAGAAGGCAAGCATCAAAAGGTGGCAGTTCTGAGAAAGCACTCTCAGTCCTAGATGTACTAACAGTAATAATGACCCACGGAAAACGATCTCGAACCCGTACATAGTTTATACCCGTAATTTCTGAGGGCCACCAAATGCAGAAGATTCGACAATGAGTCCATGAGCACATACTCCGCACATACTACGTCCCTGCCTGGTTCTGTATGGACGAGGCCAGGGAGTTTGCAGCCCTAGGGCGCTCATGGCGCTTCCCCTCCCGGTGCTTTTTCAAGTAAAAGGGCGTCATTGCACCCACCAACGCGCCATTGAGAGCGGTCCGGGAGGACCCACCCCTAAAGTCCCAAGCCCCCAAAGTCGGCAAGCGGCCCTCAAGCTGGCGAGATGGGCGCGATGGGTAGCCGCTAAAGTTTCCACACGACATCATCGGCCATCATACCTTGTCGCCCAGCAGCTTTCAATCCATCCCATCACCATGCTTTGGCGACGAACCACACCACAATCTGCATATGCTACGCTACGTTACCTAGATTTCCTAGCTTACGTCCTCACCTCTCAGCCTCCTACTGGCTCTGCCCCTCGCTGAGAATTGGAAGCTTTTGTGCGCAGGTGTCCCGTGCCCCTCACTTTTCGTTCCTGGCATTTATGCCAACAGCAAAGCTGGCTTCTTCTCAACCTGCTCAGGAAGAAGCCCAGCAGCCGACCTTATGGCAGCGGAGTCTTAGTTGGATTCCCGGTACTCAACAATACAGATCGCGAGCAAAACTTTTGTCCACTTCACGCGTCTCTCTCCTTTACCCTGTCTCGGGCCTGGTCCTCCTCGTCGTTCTGCTCATTCAGTTTCTCGCGTCAAGAGACGTCCAGCCGCGCCTTTGGGCTCCTACTCCTTCTCCTTCTCCTCCTGCTGCTGCTGCTGCTCCTGCTTCTCCCCAACCGACGCGAAATCCTTTGAGTCCATTTGGTGACAGTGTCTACCGTCAAGAGGCGTACTTTGCTTTACTGGAACCCGGCACCCAGTGCAGACCGAAGTCTCCCTTCACTTCAGACCTGCCCGTTACACACGCTCTGACCAACATGGCGTTGGAGGCAGAGGCCAAGCACATGGTTGCACAATTTGAGTACACCGCCGAAGATGTAAACAAGGGCGTAAAAGAGTTCATTCGGGAGATGGAAGAGGGCCTGGAAAAGCAGGGGACGTCAATCAGCCAGATCCCGACCTATGTCACATCGGTCCCCAATGGCACAGAAAAGGTAGGAAGAGAAACCGCATTGCGATTCAGCTAACAGCAGCAGGGTGTTTATCTGGCCGTGGATCTAGGCGGCACCAACTTCCGAGTATGCTCAATCACGCTTCATGGCAACCAGTCCTTCTCGTTGCAGCAAACCAAAGTCGCTGTCCCTCGAGCCCTGATGGAAGCAAAGACGGCCCACGAACTCTTCTCGTTTCTTGCCAAACAGATCGAGTCTTTCCTCAAAGCACACCACATGGATCACTTTGAAACACACAAAAATAAACCTGGCGAGGTCGAATTTTTCGATCTGGGCTTCACTTTCAGCTTTCCCGTCAATCAAGTGGGCATCAACAAGGGTAGATTAATGCGTTGGACGAAGGGCTTTAACATAGAGGAAGCTATCGGACAGGACGTCTGTGGTCTGCTGCAGAAGGAGATCGACGCATTAAACCTTCCGGTGAGAGTGGCAGCTCTCGTGAACGACACTGTCGGTACGCTAATGGCGAGGTCGTACACTTCTCCGGGCAAGACCAGTACGTTGATCGGTGCCATCTTCGGCACTGGGACAAATGGCGCCTACGTCGAAAAGCTGGAGAGAGTGAAGAAGATGAAGGCCATAGATGAAGCAGAGGGTGGTGTTCCCAATTATGACTCGTCTACCGGGCTCATGGTGATCAACACAGAATGGGGTAGTTTCGACAATGCCCTTTCAGTCCTGCCTAACACTCAGTACGACATTGACCTGGACCGCGAGTCAGTAAATCCTGGTATCCAAATGTTCGAGAAGCGTGTGTCGGGAATGTTCCTGGGCGAAATCTTGCGCCGTGCCCTGCTAAGTCTCTACAAGCATCCAGATGCAGGTGTCGCATTGTTCAAAGACACATCGTCTCTTGACAACGATATTAGGAGTACAACGACGGTGGCTGACGACAGTCCCCTATTTAAGACATGGGGCATCGACACCTCTTTTCTCTCAATTGTTGAGGAAGACCACTCAGACCACTTGCGTATCACCAAACAGACACTGGAAAAGGACCTGAAGGTAGAAGCCGCATCAACCGAGGACTGTGTTGCCGTCAAGATGCTTGTGCATGCGATTGGGAAACGCGCGGCCAGACTGAGCGCCGTCGCCCTTGCTGGGGTGATCATCTCCACCAACAAACTACAAGAGGATGAGATAGTCGACGTGGGCGTGGATGGGAGTCTGGTCGAGTATTATCCCGGGTTCGAGGAGTACATTCGTGAGGCGTTCAGGGAAATTGAGGGCATTGGCGAGGACGAGAAGCGGATAAGGATCGGGCTTGCGAAGGATGGCAGCGGCTTGGGAGCAGCGCTTATTGCGCTGGTGGCTCATAATGCGGACCAATCTATGTAGAACCGAGAACAGCAGAGGGTCCGAGAGAGGAAGGCATCTGTATAATGGGGCCCTGCACCGTCCTGGTAGCATCCACAAAAAAGAACAGCTCAAGGCAACAGCCGTGTTTAATCCAGATTTATGTTATATGACTTTGACTTGAGCTGACAGTTGCGACGAAGAGGACGCGCCTCGCAGTGAATTGGTGACCTTCTACTCGGTACGAGTAGAATCTGCCGAATTTTATTTTTTTCCACAGCCTTTCACAGTGACACCTGTGACTCCACAACCACCACCGCCGCCGTCCCATTCACTACATAATCATTCTTGGGCCAGACAGGACCAGTTGACCATGTTCATATATGATCTCCCCAGAACGGAAAAGCAGTCTTGATCCACGCACACCGGAAATTCATTGCCCACCGACGTCAGCCCAGCATGAGCGGCGACTTGCAATCATGGGCGCTACCACGCCTTGGGCGCTTGTTGCCTCTAGATGATGACTCGCTCAACGAAGTGATCGCCTACACGTCGACTCTCTCAAAAGATGCAGCCGCTGAACATCTGAAGAATTTGCTCGGCGACTCTCCACAGGCTCTAGAGTTCATCTCGTCGTTTAACGCACGACGGGGGAACACACAGGTCTCCGCCAGCAGCGCAGAGGGATCCGGAGTGCCCAAACCACAGAAGAAAGGTCCCAAGAAAGCCAAACCTGCGCTCCATGCTGCAGGCCCAGTGCGCCGCCCAGAAGGCTATGGTGATGTCGCGGGCGGTTACACAAAACAGTACGATAGCGACACGGATTTCGGCGCGGCTCACAATCGACCAGTCTCGAGAGACCGAAACGTTCCCAACTTGTCCTCGACACCTGATGCTCTTCAAGTCCCTCAAATCACGGCAGGTGGTCGAAGCCCAGGTTCCTCTGCTCCCTTTCGAGACGCCTCGCCAAAGAAGACTCCACAGAAGCTTCCTCCCTCGGCATCTGGGAATCTCATATCTGATTTTGGATTCGCTAATGTTCGGTCGAAGCAATCCAAGAAGCCCGCCCATGCCAGTCACTCGCAACCCCAATCTGGCACTTCTACGCCGCACAAGGGTGGCGCCACGACAACCACTTCGAGCGTTGCAGACCTTACTGCCGCAATCGCGGCTCTGGAGCTTTCTACCAATCCAACCTTGTCTACACAGAGGAGAAAATGCCCTTGCAATGCTTCGATACATCCACTTTTCACAACCGCACCGAACTGTCTGAATTGCGGCAAGATCATCTGCGCCCTCGAGGGACTTCAGCCTTGCTCGTTCTGTGATTCGCCGATCTTGACAAAAGATCAAGTGAACGGCATGATCAAGGCACTGAAAGAAGAACGAGGGATCGAGAGAATGGCTGTCCACAATGTAGGACAATCGCTGTCAGGCAGAGGCACACCGATTTTCGGTGGATCAACCCCGGAGAGTGGGTCAGGCGATGAAGCCTCTTCTGCTGCAGCGCGAGCACGAGCGCACCGAGATAAACTGCTGGCGTTTCAACGAGAGAATGCCCAACGGACTCGTGTTTACGATGAGGCTGCTGATTACGACGCGAATCTTACGCCGGGGACTACGCAATGGATGACCCCGGTACAGCGAGCTGCTGCGCTGAAGAAGCAGCAAAAGTATTTGCGAGAGCTAGAGGAAGCAAATCGGCCAGAATGGGAGAAGCAAAGAACGGTTATGAGCATGAGTATCAAGAATGGCAAACTGGTGAAGACGTACGAGCGGGAGAAAGCACCTTCTCTCATGCCGGAGAAAGAGAACCTCGCAGGGTCAGACAACGAAGAAGGCGAAGTTGGAGATCAACATGTGACTTTGAGCGAGATTGGCCGAAAGGGGGCCTTTAGCAACAACCCTCTTCTGGCTAGTGGCAAACTCATACGGCCAGTTTGGAAAGCTCCAGAGGGTAGCAGTGAGGACAAGGGGAAGGGTCGAGAGACGGAAAGGAAGAGTGTCTGGAGAAGGGTCCAGGACGACAATGAGGACAACGAGCAATGGATCTTAGATGGCGGACTGCACGGCTACGGAACTGAGACCAGGTTGACGGAGGACCAACAGGAATGCGGCTGAAATGCTCAACATTTCGTTATTTACCTCGTACTTGCTCGTATTACTCGGTGGTGTCTAACAGCCTCGCGAGGCTAGCTCGCCCCCCCCCCCCCGGCACAGATAATCCGAGGTTGATCCGAAATATGCAAGGCACAAAAGAGACTTTGGCCGTGGTTGGTCTTTTTTGTGGCGCTAACGGCCAAGGAGACAAACTAGAGGCGCGCGCCATTTGCACGCACCCCGAAACCCCCAGTCACTGTGATCAACATCCGGCCATTGAAACACTTCCTTGCAAGTGTCCCAAATCGCTATCTGCGCTCTCTATATACTCCGTGCAAGAGATTGACTCTACTAACATCCTGTCTCCCTCCCCCTAGCCCCCCCTTACCAGCGATCGACTGCGCTTCCAACTGACACGCGAACCCCTCCCTTCGTTACGCCCTGGTTTGTCCTACCGCTCACCCTCATTCATCCTTAGAACAATGCAGATCGATCAGAGAAATCTCCGGTAGCCTACACTACAAGCGACTTGTTCCCCTTCTACCTCCGTCCATCTGGGCTTTAGAGAGAAGGATTCTCGACTCCCCTAGCTTTTGGTGGAAAAGCCCCTGCAATAATTTGGCGACTGTCCGGTAGACAAGAACAGCGTCCCGGCCTGGAACCTGAATGCCGCCCATCGACTATGCTGCGGATGGGTAGGTCATTCGGCAGCATAATCCGTCGCCTCAATGCTGGCCATTGACACCATTCCCGTGCTGGGGTTCAGAGATATCAATCTTTCCAACATCATAGATCCCGAAGTGCCCCCAGCCACCAATCCCCGGACCATGCTCCGTCCAGAAGACGCCTCTCGGTCAGGACGGCCGTTTCGTCATGATGATTCCGACAGAGCTCGAGCCGCGAGCGAGAACACGAGGTTGAATGGCGAAAGAGGAGGCGGTGGCCCGAACACGGAGGATGCTTCTCCCCACGCGGAGGAAAGGACTGTGGCACAAAATAGTATTGGCCGCGAGCCGGCCCTGTTGTCGCTCGAAGACACGACAGAACTCTTTCGGAGAAAGGTCGCGGATGCCAGGCAAGACACCGAACATGCGCTGGCCGGGAGTGAAGCTGTGAGCGACGCAGTCAAGCCAAAACTCACATTAGATCTGGGTCACTCTGATATTGCAAGATTACCGGAGAGTGTGGTCGATCTGATCAAGGCCGAGGTTGAAAGGCTATCTTTATCTCACAACCAGATCTGGCATATCCCACTTCGGTTCTCGGAATGCTCACATTTACGATACCTCAATATCCGGTCCAATGTGTTCCGAGAGATCCCACGAGGTGTATACAAGCTAAGTCAACTAGAGATATTGGACATCAGTCGAAACAAGGTCCGAAAGATCTCGAGCGATATCAGAAATCTCAGGTCTCTCCGTGTCTTCTCGATCGTGCATAACCGGGTGGAAGATCTGCCGGCGGAGCTGTGTGAAATGACAAAACTGCAGATATTGAAGATCGCGGAGAATCCACTGCGGTTCAAGTTGAAGAAGATTGTGGAGGCCAAGGAATCCGAAGTCTCATTCTCAGAAATGACAGATCATGAAAGAGAGACGGCAATCACTCTCGAGATCAAACGATATCTGAGAGAAGTACATCCAGTCATCACTCCCGTCGATGTGGAAGTGTCTCTTCAAGTTGAAGAGAGCCCAATGGACATGACACCGAAGCCTCTCAAGCGATCCTTTAGCAGCAGATTTCCCGTCATACCCAGCACTAACAGTGTTGAACCCGAATCAGAGGCCAACAAATCATCACCAATCCAAACAATCCCAAATCCCCCTCCTGTGCCGACTCGCTCACACTATCGAATGACTTCCGGTACGCAGCCAATCGCGCTTCGACGGCCAGGAATTGCCCCTCTGATTAATCAAAATAATGAGAGAAACCGGAGCAATAGCGAAAGTGTCCTGCAAGCTTCGGCCGCTGCTCGGCAAAAGAGGATGGGCATGCTCCGAAAAGAAAAGCCGGACTTGGACAGTATTGACGAGCTCAAGGTGAACCGGAACAGCCATCTCCGGGGCTTTAGCCATGGTTCCGTTCTGAAACGCAATGGTGCGTTGTCTTCCCCTGGCGGGAACAGCTCTTCGAGCCCCAGCAGTCCACGCGATCCCAGAAGACACAGGCTCGCCTTTGTGAAACGGCTTTCGAGTCTTCCGGAACACAAAGTCGAGACCGAATGGAGTAACCCCGTCATCGAAGGTGCCAAAGGGATCCTATATGCTCTGTATCAGATCCATCCACAGATATCCGGTCTTATTGCTGCGATCAGAGGAAAGGACGTACGCAGAAGCACACTAGAGTTTACCTTCTTCAATGCTTCTACCCACGTCGACCGGCTCAACGAAGCATTGGAACAAGCCGATGTTGTCGACCCGGGAGACCCAGATATGGTTGAGAAAGTTGAGGATAGCGTTCGAAGGGACTGTGCAACTTGCATCATGGCCTACACACACGTAACCGCACAGCTGCAAGATAACGTCAAGAAAATTGTCGCTGGGTCTGATGCCCGATATGTGCGGACACTGATGCTCCTGCTCTACGGAAGTATGATTGAAGTCAGAAATGCAATTCAAAGCTTTGGGGCGGATGTGAGAGTGGCACAAGGTCCAGGTCATAGAAGACAGATGTCCAGTGGAAACGCACATCCTATCCAGACTATCCCTGAGGAGTTCACCACTCCATTGCAGCCTGTCCGAGCAATCACACCCACCCGAGACAGAAATCTAGCTTCAAGGCAAGGTGGGAGATTGCGCAGTGACACGGCCATTCAGCATCCAGTTGCCGATAATATCCCAACATATCAATCGCACCCTGTACCACCTGCAAGTTCGGCTGCCCTCCCGACTCCGATTCACTTGACCGGTACCACATTAAACGGCGGGACTCTCACTGACACTTCCTCGACCTTCTCAAACAGTGGCACTCTCACATCTGCCGCCAGCTCTGGCTTGAGATCACGGTCAGGGTCACGCACTGCGAATACGATGAATGGCTTCGCGTCTTCCTCGGTAGCTACCACGCCTCGGTCAGGTGAAGCCTTCACCCTCCCGCCTTCAAATTCCTTCGCGGCCCGGGTCAATCCTGCCACCGGTCTCACCGATGCTCAAGAGGAAGCGGTCTTTGAACAGATATTCCTCGCCCTGACAAGGGCCTATGATGCTGCTCTGCACACCATTCCGATCGCGAAGGCACAGTTCCTGCGATGCCTTGAAGCGGCCGAAGAAAATCGACAGTCAAAGGCGGTGCACGATCTATGGTCGACCCTGGTCTATCGCTGCAAACTCTGTATCGAGATCAGTGAAGCCCTCCAAATTCGACTCGTCAATATGCGCCTGCAAGATCCTAGCGTACACGTCGTTGCAACGGGCAGTGGTCGAAATGACCCCTCGTTGTGGCTCCTTTGCAAAAACTTCTTGATGGGTTTCATTGAGCTTCTGACGGAGATGCGGATCGCCAAGTCCTTAAGGTTGCTGTCACAGGAGATCATAACGATGTTGAGACCTGTGCAGAAAGCGAGTCGCGAGGCAGGGAGATTGATAGAGACAAGTCCCTGGCGGTATTTGACCGATAGTGCTGTTGCCGCGATGCCGCCACCGAGTGTTTTCGGTGCGAACTCGAGCCAGTCGGCCGGCGCTGTGGTGAACGGCAATGGATATTCCAATACCGTCCACGCAACAATTACCAACGGCGTCAACGCCTCGCCTTACCCGCCAAACATAGTCTCCTCCCAGATCTCGAATTATCCGCTGCAGAGCCCATTCCCACCTCCCATCATCCCTGTTCCGCCAATACCTGGCCTCTCTTCAGCAAGCACGCCAAACACAGCGACGAGACAAATGATCAACGGCAACATACTGTCAATATCCTCGGTGTCGACAAATTCTACAGGATCTATATCTACAGCAGTGAATGGCATCAGCCCCGTCTCCGTCCCGCTTCCAGCAACACCTCTGTCCGCAGCCCTCGGTCCGGCCGCACAAGCGACGGTGCCCAACAATTCCAGTGCAAACTCAGGCTCGAATCCTCTTGCAACGCCGACGAGTTCGTCTGCACTACCAACGCCAGTGGCGCCCGTGCCGAGTACACCAGCAAGCGCGTACGGGGATTCATTTTTCCGAGGCGATGTGTTTCAGAGGGCGGACAGCCTCTTAAGCATGCCGCAAATTGGTGGGGTGAACTTTTTGAATAGGCGGTAACGTTCGACCAAAGAAATAACGAGTGTGGATTTCATGACGTCCCATGGTCGCAAGCGCTCGGGAGATGGAACGTGAAGGAGAACGGAAATGTCAGTTATAGAAATGAGGACGACAGAGAAAAAGCTGTGGATCAGCTTAGTTTTTACGGCCGTCCGTCTGGAGGTAGAAGAACCGCCAAGTTTACGTATATGTCTATCTATGTGCGTCCCATCGTCTACATAGGATCAGGGTTGGGCCTGTGTATAAGCAGCTTGCCTGCCACCAACCACGCACCCACTCTGCGAACATGGGTTGTCTGTATTATCAAATGAATCAACTGTACGGACAACTCTTTTTCTACGCTGCAACCACCACTACTCCCATGTCACCACTGACTGGGCCGTCTACTCCGAGGGATGGATGGATGGATGGAGAGACGGGACAATACGTAGCCCAAAAAAGTGAAGATTTGTCTCTTTCTATCTTTCTTTGTTCTGGAAACGCACGCGACCAATTATGGAATAGGCCCTCGAACTGTGACAAACGAGGGTAAGAAAGTGGATACAGGCAGGATAGAGACAGGACCAGTAGAGATATAGATCCCTATAGGGATAGGGATAAGATGTGGAAGGGGGGTGGAAATGGGCTGCAAAATGAACAGGGTGAGCCTTTTAGAACCCCCCACCCCAACCAGAAGGCGCATAGGAATGTGGATACGTGTACCGAGTATACACGTATCGGGCATGTCGAGATGTCTATTACAATACATCATGTACTATGTAGATATATACGGAGTGCTCCCAAAGTATCCTATCTAGGTAGGTTCTCCCCCCCCGGTCCCTCTCGTGTAAGACTGGGGTCTCTGCTGTGATATACCTAGCTACCTACCTACCTAGAATAGTGCAGTAATTACTACGCCTGCGCCAGTTCCCATCCCCACTTCCATTCGGACGCCGTATGTGAACACCATACGGTATGAAGCAAGTGGCCTCACCCGCACAAATACGAGTATGTCAGTACAGGATCCTGTCTAATCCAGTCCGATACCTTCTCGTCTTCTGACATCGTTGGAGAGGAACTGGCTTGGCTGGTGACTGGTCGCTCCCTCCAGCTTGTGCTGCGTCTGCGTCTGCGTCTGTCTCTGGCACTGGTCTCTCCCCGTATTCATGCAAGAGCCTCGAAATGGGGTTTCAGACCAAGACGTCGAAAGGAAATGCCAGCCCAGCCATTTCCCCTTCTCCGGATTGTTATTGAGACCCATTCGCGGTTTCGCGGCCACAATTCTGAGCTCCAACCAGCTCGAATCATTTCCCCACTGGTGACAGACAGCTCAAGTCTTTGCTTGGAAGCAAGACTCGCGTCCAAAGTTATACCTTGGTTCCCCATATCTTGGCCGTGATGTTTTCAACTTCACTCGATCGATCGATGGGTGCCTGGAATGCATAGTTAATGGCATGCCTAAAGGCACCATGGGTATGCTTCCAGATATGGTAGTCGTCTTCGATATTTCCAGACGGCTGGCAGAGAGTGATGGCTTCCTCGATGATTGGCTGGCATGATCTTCTTTTCTTTTCCCCTTCAAGAATAGGTAGAGCCAAAGCACATGTGCTTCACGCAGCCGTGGCCTATATGTAGAGTGGACGGAGGAAACCCTGTATCACTCATGTGCATAGACAGTCTGGCCTTGAGACCCTGCTTCCGGAGTAGGTCTAGACTTTGAAAATATTATACATCCCGACGGAAAATGACAATAGACATTGCCAGGAACACACGTATGTCGTCTATTGGACCTGACAATGCATTCGGCCGGTTTCCCGAATCTAGGTTGTGCTGCGAACACGGCTGATATGCTCCTGTGTCAGGGCACTCCAAGATTTGACGGCAACGTCTCGTCCATTTCTAATGCCAATACCTGATCATGTTGATGCTCGCACAGCAAAAGCTCGTTCGCTAAGAGTGAGTCGTGGCTGCATGTAGACAGAAAGGAGTCTGTGCTTGCTTGCGAGACAGGAGAAGTTGTCGGTGGTTGTCGAGAGAAAAGCATTCTGATCAAGGACTGGTATTCTTTCTCGACCCTCTTGTACTTTTCATCCAAGTGGTTGTAGTTGGCTTGCAGAGCGAAAAATCTCTTCTCAAGCTGAGCTACGTAGCGTTTCTGTCGTTCACGGTGTGCCCGTTGAGCTGCACGATTTTGGGCACGACGACGCTGTGAGAGTCTGAGTTAGCTTGACAAGACTAGTTTTCATTAGATGGGACGCACCTCCCCGGGGATGTCAATAACCACTTCTGTCATAGGGGAACTGGTATTTGATATGGCCTTTGCCTGCCTTTCAGTGTTGGGCGGTGGTGTGCCCTCTGTTTCTAGGATTCCACAGGAGAGTGCAGAGCTTGCATAGTTACTCCTACAGTTGTTTGACTCAACCTGAGAAAAGAGAAGTATTAACAGAGATTCGAACCCTAGAAAAGTCGAGGGGATAATACCACGTCAATCAGAAACTTGTCCATTACTTCAGGATCAAACAGGTCGCAGTCTTCATCCAATAACGGCTTAGAGCTCCTTACACGCAGACGATCGACGTGACCAGGTTCATGGCTTGGTTGACTTGGCAAATCGGCCGCCAGTGGTTGGTCCCAGTCATAAGTGAAGGCTGCCCATGTGTCGTATGGACCGATTTCAAACAGATCTTGCGTGTCCAATTTGTTCATTCTGTCCAGTGGGCCAAGGTTGAAGGTTGTAGATTGAAAGGGAGTTGGTCCTTGAAGGCTATATCATGTATTCGACTGAATAGCGTGATGGAAGGCTGGCTATTAAAGAGACTTAATATTCGAAACAGGCGGTTGTTTGCAGCCGAAGCGGGCAATTGCCAATCTTGTGCTGTCCACTGGCTTCCTTCGTAACCTTTTGGTCACATTGTCCCTGCAGTTCCTTTAGTGGGGCTGATCATCACAGATATAACCGGGTTGCTGAGTCCATCGAGATCAGGCGCAAGTAGTGCTGACAGATGAATTTCGTAAGGATCCTCTCAGGGCAACAGTAGCCTGCAATCGTAATGGAACCCTGTACGAGCTCCGGTAAGATGACGACACTTGAAGTCCCATATGGACTGCATCTCGCTTCAGGACCCAGGTAAGTGGTGGATAAAGGAGTCTGAGTCAGTGAAAGGCCGCAATCAACCGATACGGTGCTGCAAGCCGGCGAAAGGAGGCAGTAGGAGGCAGTATTCTTGAAACGACTTGCGGTTATCTACTTCGCCAACCCTAGCATCCACTGTCTAGGCCTTCATTGAAACGATCTCTGCAACCCATTAGTCATACAAATAGTCACGGATGAGGAAAGGCACCCCTAAACGAAGATGCTTGCTTTGGGTTCTGCAAACTCACATGCGTATATGTCCGGATCCAATTCGACAAGCATTCAACGAAGGTCATCCATGGATAGACAAGGAATAGACCTTACCCAAAAGAGAAGGTCAACCTTGCCAATTCCGGGGGTGCAAATGCTTCTAGAATCTTTCTGAACCGTCCAGACCTAGCTTCAGGCCCGTGCAGACTGAACCTTTGCCCTTAACTGTCCGTCGGAAATCCACACACGCTGTAGTATTCGACGATTCGTCATCCAATGCCACAGCCTGCAATTTGTCCAATCGCCGTTGTCGTTGTGTTTCCCCGACTCGGAGCAGCACTAAGCAAACTCTTGGAAGGATAGGTATTGCCTAATGAAGAATGCCAGAGCCGTGGAACGAATCCATTGTCTGCCTTCACCAGCCCTCACGCCGAAGGAATGGGAGATCGCAAGGTTTGAACTTAACCGGAATTGTGTTGTGCTGTGCTTGCTGGACCCAGGCCCGAGGCAGACATAGACTCTGACGGAAGGTGGATCAGGTCGGTAACCGCAATCGATACCGTCTAAAGCCGGTTTCAATACCAGGAGAATCTAATATCGGTGTAGGAACAGTTTGATGACTTATCTTGGTGGCAGGAGGCTCCGCAGCAAGATCCGTGCCGTGGTTCAGCTAGAGGAGCCGGTAATCAAGGTGCCACCATCTGGGCAAAACCTGGGCAAGTTCGGTATTAAAACCCGTTTGGGGCGGCTTGCATAACGAGCTAGCTGGTATGACTTGACCGAATGTACAAGATTGACGGAGTGCAGGAGTTTTTGTCAGTTCCGCTAGGTGTATGAAATGCCTCAGGTTATCTGGTCATGAACTGCAGTCTTCCCCGAAAAAGAACCTGTGAGGCAGGTATTGTCGCACGAATCCGTCAACCAGGTCACCGATGTTGCGTAGAGAGTCTCTGGGGTTCCTCCCTGATCCTTAATGATAGACTTAGCAGTAATGGCTGTGGAGACAGGACTCCCGCTAGTGTAAAATGGTCTGCTGCGGCCGCCAGAGATGATGTTCACTATTAGTGTTCCGATGGAATTGCTGCTTTAGAGATGTTGGAAACTGATTGAAGTTGATGAGGTTTTGGACGATTGTCGCAGGCCTACCCAGGATTTGCCTGGAAAGGAAAGCTTTTTCAGAGAGCCTCAGATGCTCAGCATTAGTAGGGCCACTCTACGCTCTCTGAAGGCTCACCTAAATCCTCATATACGTGTAATCAGGCTTGTGATTCGGATACGCCTGGCTTCACGCATCTTTCCTAGAGCCTGGCTGATTACTGCTGGAGCAACGCCAACAACATCAGCAGCGGAAAAGCTAAGCTGCTTTCCTTGCAATCTGGGGCCAGTTTCGAATGCGGTTCGTAATGCTTAATACGTGAGAAGTAGCTCCGTGTGATGGATTTCAGGACAGGGTTGAAGTACATTTATTGTCACATAAACGTGTTATATGATGCACAGAGGCGCTTGCGCTGGTGTTGACAGCAAAGTCTTCTCACGCCAGTGTAGAGATCCTCCATCGATCTGTTCATCAGATGCAGCGGCGTCTGTTTAACCCACAAACATCGTCAGCACGTGGTACCCTGTAGCCTCGAGCGTTGGCTAATGGTCGCACTTGAACAGCATCTCGGTACGAGGTTGTTGAAGTGTGACGAGTAGAGGCGATGGGATCAGTTTGCACCTGCCTCAGCTAGGTTTGATGGCGAATGCGCTTGATCGCTTCGAACTGACTGCTTGAATTAGTGGTGGATACGCAGTACAGATAGCTGGCTCGCAGGATAAGCTTGTCTACATCCTGCATGTGTGGTGGTTGGTGGTGGATGTGGTAGCTGTGATGTGGACTTTGCGGTAAAACATTTCAAAATGTTGCTTGGTGCCTGTGACGTATGCAGTTGGTACATGACGTCGGCGTGGTTGTGCAGACACTAGCTGACTAAACATGCGCCTTACCGGGTTAGGCTAGGTCAAGAGGAAAATTCCCATGCAGCCTCGTGGACCGGGCTCGGACAAGGCTGTGGATATTGTACATGAAACGTTGCACCACAAACGATCGAACAACTGATCAACGACAGCTGAATGTGTCCAGTCCTGCAGATTGATATACAAAGTACAGACTCGCCTCGGCTTCCGTCTCTGTACTCTCAGCCCCCACCAATTTTTGCTTGCATTCGATTATTACCGTGCTTCACCACCCTGCCATGTCGGTGCCACCCTCATGTTTCCTTTGCCCTCCTTCGCCCCTCCCTGTTTACCGTGCAGAGATCTAGCATAATGTAATTATTTCATTCTCGATCCCATCGTGTTCGTGCCTGAAAACTGTATCTTCCCAATGTATGCCATACAAAAAGCCCTCTCCAATCACCCTGGAACCAGAGAGACACAAGGACCCTTGTTCTTCGCTCCAATCCTTGTCTTCGAGAATGTGCAATGCCATTGTGGCACAATGTGCAATAAGACAAGCGGGAGCCCTACTCCTCTTTTCAATGCTGTATGTACTAGAAGAAAAAAAAGACACAAAAGTCGCAGGGTTCAACATCTCCATTCAACCGTGCGTTGTCCACCAAACTCATCTCAATGCTTTTTCGCTGAGGTGACGGGCCATATCAGGCCCATCAAGTCGTAATGTTCGCGGACGCCGATCATTAAAGTATATGGGAAACCAAAGCAACAGTCAACCGATATATGTGATACTGTGTGGCCAAGTTGAATCTTCATCATGTTGTTCGCCGAAGTGCAACAAATCGTCAATCCAGGTTAAACTTGCACAAACTGTGCTGACACACCCTCTCAACGGATGCTCAAGATCTGCCGAGGTGCGAAGCTGCTGGTGCTGCTATGAGCCGATGGCTCCGAGTCGATATTGGCACTTCCGCTATCCCCACTTCCAGCGCTAGCACTGGCACTCCCAGTCAGACTTTTCACAGGTGGTTTTGGTGGGAATGGTTTGCTCACCCCGGCCTGATCAATTTGATGTGGAGGTATCATGCTGCCTTGACCTGGAGGGTATCTGGGTACTGGTGCAGGTATCCCTCCCGGTGGGGACGGTCGACCATTGCGTTGTCCTGGTTGCATATAAGGATCGTTGGGAGGTGACGGTCGGTTGGGGCCTCGTCCAGCCGGCCCGAACGGATTGCCTGGAGATCGACTTGTCCGCCTACTAGGCGGACCGGGATATGGTCCTCCATTCGGTCCCAGTTCTTGAAGCCGGCTTGCTGTTAGGGAATTTGCACGTGACTCATCCGCCATTTCCTTGCGATCCACAGATCCGTACCGGTTGGATGAAAAGCCCATCATCGGGTTGTCAAGGATATTTTCTCCAAGTATGGGCATATCAGACATAAGCTGGGCACTGGTCCGATGCCTGTTTGGGTTGGGTCGGCCATAAGATCCGGGGCGCATGCCGTTCCCATTTACAAAGACATCTTTCCGCAATTGATTCTGGCTGGTTGTCCGTTTAGTCCGCCTTGAAGTAACGCTCATCATGTCAAAATTGTCCGGGTCGATGGGGGGCATTGGAGGACCACGTGCTTGCATTGGATCAAAATAATCGTCGTCATCATCGTCATCATCAAAATCCTGATGACGGTTGTGCGACGTTCTTCGGCCCGAGCGATTTCTGATTGCCATCTCCTGTTGTTTCAGGTGCAGCTCCTTCTCTCGTAGCATCAGTTCTCGTTCGCGCATTGATGCTGCGGGAGGGCCGGCATTGTCAGGGAAATTGGCGGCCACATCGCCGTCGGGCAGTTCGTCGTAAAGGACAACATGACTAAATTCATCCAGGTTCGTCTCGTCGTAGGATGGCCGACGCTGCATCTGACTAGGTCCCCGGGGCGGGTAACTGCTTGGCGGCCCGCGGAAGCCGTTGATGGGAGGAGGACCGCGTCTTCCAGGTGGTCCCATGGGTGGTCCCATGTTGGGACCGCGCATCGGCCTGGGAGCTCCATTGACGGGTGCGTTCGGATGTCGAGGGGGAGCATTTGCGAGAGACATCGTTCTGGGAGGAGGTTGCATTACGGATGGCGATTGTGGCATGGTAGTAGAAGCGACAGGACGGTCCTTATTGACAGTGTTGACATGACGTAGCATCGTGTACAGGGTCTCGAGTCGGGGCACCTTGATACTTGCCTTTTTGGCTAGTTCGACCGGAGAGCCAAGATAGGTCTCGACCTCCATGGGACGGCGGGCTGTGAAGTCCTGGTACATTGTACTGGGATCTTGACTTGACCCGATCATCGACTGGATTGTCGTTTCCTTGAAGTTGCTCGGAAACTTGCAATCTTGTGCATGGGCGATCTGTACCAACTCTTCAATAATATCGGATATCAGGTCATGCACACCGGGCAAACGAATCAGGTCCGAGAGACTTGGTGTTTCGAAAAGCACGCTTGTCGGATGGAATGCAATGGGCCTAGAGATGGAGGTTAACTGCCGTGATCTTTGCACCAAAATGAGACATCACCAACCCGATCATCCTCTCAAACTGCTGCTGTTTAATATTTGTAGACACCTTGCAGTCAACCTGGGCAGTGGTCAAGGTCATGGCCAGGGCTTCCGACATGTCCCTCTGAATCGACTCTGGTATCGTGGCATTCTTGCTTGCCGGCCCAACCCAGATCTCCGTGGAACCGGTGTGTTCAAATTCGCTCGACCCCAGTTGGGTTAAATCGGCGCCAGAAACGAGGGACAAGACCACATTTGTGGGAAATCGTTCTTCAAGTTGTTGTTCCACTCCCAGTGTGTTTGTCGTGTTCACAAGAATACAGGTATGCTGAGGAGTGACGACCGATTGGATTATATCTGCTAAATTGTAGACGTCGGGTAGGGCTTTGACGCAGAGAAGGACGTAGTCGAAGGCTGCCTGCTGGTTCGCTGCCTCTTCAGGGCTTTGGACGACTTTGGCCGAGTCAGCTTCCATCTTCGCCAAAAAAAAAGTCATGGATTGACATACCGTATCGGGGCTTAAATCTTTCATTTCCGTACAGTGAAGATCTGAGAGTGTCAGTGGTGGGCGGGAAAGTTTGAGGAGATCCAGATTGCTCACTTGAAGGAGACTCCGTATTGGGCCACAGTCTGGTAATTCGCTTTCCAGACCAGAGTCACATCACAGGCGTTGGTGGCCTGCAGCCGCCATGACAAGAAGGCAGAAACTGCATTTCCACCCACTATGCAGCAGCGTCTTAGTTCTCGATTCATTTCAGGTGGAATGGGCGGCGAACAAAGCAAAGAGAAAAGGAGACAAAGGCCGAAATTCCAATGGATGGTTGAGCGGGCCTGCGCAAGACAGGGCAGGGTAGGTCAGCAAAAGTCATGCTCACCTGAGAGGACTCGCAGTCGAGGCGGAGAAGGTGCCATTACGCGTCAGGGCACCAAGTTGGGCGGGTTGATTTATCAATTACAGGCGGCCTGAGAAGGCACGTCCCGGAGAGCTGCGAGGTGGTGGTTGCGACTGAAGCTGTCCAAAAATTATGTTGTTCCTCGTCTCAACTAGAATCCGCGTATTATTTCCTGTGTCTCGAACCAAACACACCAACACTTTTTGAGTCCCCAAGTCTACGCCTGCGATGATGTGGGAGATGCGAAGAGAGCGAGCGGAGGGGGAGCGCGGCAGGGGGTTAATAGATCGTCGGCGACATTGAACTGAAACGAGAGACTTTTGAAGTAGATTTGTCGGGAGATTGATTCGAGGGTGACGAGGAGGGTTCGTTTCAACACCCAGACTTTGTTTCCTGGTCGCGGGAGGGATGAGGACAGGGCTGCTATAGGAGCGATGCCATGGGAATGCAGAACGTAGGCCGGTTTGCTCGAGTTAAGGTAACGAACGTCGTCGAGGGAATCGGGGGAGGATTAGGAGAGGGAGTGATACAACAAAGGTGAGGTGAAGGCGTAGATTTGTCGCGGTGCAGGTGCAGATACTGGGTACAGATGGTTGTGATTGAAAGGGAGGGCTCGGAGTTGCGCCTGAATTTGGGGGGGGGGGGGGAGCGAAGCGGTCCTGGGTCCTCGTGGAGTGCAGCAGCACCAAGGGCTGAAGGGCGGTGGCCAGTAACAGAATAGAGTGCGTTAGGCGCAACAATTGTGATGCGCAATTCGAAACGAGACGAGGGATAGGCCAGGAACGGCTGCGAAAATAATTCAAGGTGCCCCAGCAGTTGTGCCCCAGCAGTGACCCAGCACTGGCAGTGGGTGCCCACGTCTGCCCAGTCGCGAGTCGCCTAGCGGGCCCTCTCGGTTCCCCTCAACCACTGGCACCAACTGGTGCGAGGGCGTTCAGGCACTGCGCTGCTTTACTCGCCCGACGCATTTCTGTCCAGCGCAGCACATAGCAAACCCAACCTCACAACTTGCATCCAACTCAGCACGCGCGGACACAGCGAGCCATCGCAATCGGACTCAACTAGGCCCGTGCTGGCTAAAGCTCTCGCCAGCGCTAAATGAAAAAAACCAAGGCATTGTCGCTCAGCTCACGCTGCAATGGATCCCATTGTCGTTGTTGTCGCCGCCCGTCCTCGGGTTCAACATCCGCTGAGATCCTCCGTGATTGCCCTCCCGTTCTTGGGCCTTGTACACAGCTAACTCCGTCTTACAGTGCCTGCAAGGGAAAAAGGGCGAACCTACGAGTACGTACATTGTCCGGGTGGCTCTCATCTAGGTAGGTACATTGTCCTAGCGCTCTATATCAGAATCCACCCATGAGAAAGTCTCAGGCGCCAATCAAGAGCTGAACATGTCCTCAGGGGGACCTATATCCGGAAACCTCATAATTTTCTCGAACAGGATGAAATTTCGCGCCAGTCGCGTTGGGCTTCTTTCAATCGACGCCGTTGAAGGTCGATCAATGAGATGCCGTCCAAATGTCCGGGTAACTGAGCCCATCCTCGTCACTTGTTGATGATCCCAAGTTGAGTGAGCTCATCTGGCTCCATGGCTACCATGGCGTTGTCTTGCTGCCGAGAGATAGGGCACGAGCGTTACCTGGAACGAAACTTGACTAGCCAGCTCCCTATCACCGCCACCCGCCTTGTCGGCCCCCCGGTCTGTGGGATATCGTCTCCACTTCCAGCTTCTTTGGATCCAAAATTCCAAAAGCCAGATCCATTTTTACCTTGTTCTGTGCCCCTCCGCGACCTCGCTAGCTTATGCAACTTGATATCGCCTAAAGATGGACAATCAGGAATTTAGGTACCTGGGTATGAAAGTCCTATCTTCAAGCTAGGAGGTCTTCATAGTGGGAGAGTGGTCGGATTTACTCCAAGGTCAACAGGATGAAAACCGTCTGGCGCGATTGTGAAGGATTCCCGGCCCGCCCACTTGCCATGGTCAATTGCCTCCGCAACTTGAGGAAAACGCTATGCGGAAATGGACATCTGCTGCATCAACGAGAGACCTCGCCGACCACTGCGTTTGGATTGCCAGAGAAATATTATATTTCACCACTGAAACATCGCACACCTAGCCCATCCCATCAATCTGCGTTGTCCACAATGAGGCCGAGACTCTGCCAACCGCGAGGGTCGACATGCGGCTGTGACAATGTCCTGGACGAATTGAATACCCCAATGAACATGGGGGGATCTGAAAACACCCCTGGTTGCCTATCCAGTCTAGTCTGAGACTTGCATACGTAGCAACTCTAATTTTGACTCCCACTTTATTCCGGGCGGGAGCATTATTGTCGTTTCGTCTCCTGCTTGTCCATCTGCAATGACGATCACACCGATCTTAGGTATGATGCAGAAGTGGATGAGTACATATACCGCTCACCGCTTCCTGATATCAGCCCAGCCTTCAACCATGGGAAGGCCTCCTAAAGTCCTTCTTCGGCCAAGAAAAGGCAGAGTTACGTACTGCTGTGGACGCAGCTAGCGACTCGAGCGCCACTGAAGCATTGGCGTCATGTTTACGCCAGCGGAGACTACCATCTCCAGAAGAGGACTGGTTCAAGCGGATATTGATGCGTGGCGGTGGAGCCCGAATTCCATGGCACAATCAATTGCAGCCTCGGAGCTTGCAAGGTCCGACGCCATGTCGAACTGTGATGATAAAGAAACATATGCGGAGTACGGATGTACAATCTCATCCTTACCTATACCTTTCTGTGCTATGTGCTTGGGACTGCAAGAGCGATACTGTGTTCGTTCGCGCCTGGCCACAAATGGCCTCCCCCGTACCTTTTGCTTGTTTCCCATCAACTAGCCTGTGTTTGTGTTGGTGACGTGGTCGCCAGGGAGACTTCTGAGGCCTGGGCCTCAAAAGCTGGGCCTAGCGAACGTACGGAGTCCCACAGCCAGCCGCTGAAGCCGCGACTTGTGTTTAATGTTTAAAGGTAAGTACAGCATGCCCTAGTACCACGTTCGGCGTTCGCATCAAAGGTACTGGGTATCCGCAAGCGAAATAGGCCTTATCCGGCAGACCCGGAAGGTTGCTGTGGCTGGGGCTCTAAAAAAGCGAGAATGGTAATCTAAAGTGACAGGGAAGATTCCTTGAACATGCGTCACCAATGTCAGCTCAAAGCAGGATCTGCTGGTTAGGCGTCAAAAAAGGTCCTCCTATGGCGCCGGCCCCTATGATCCTCCGCAAGGCTAACCTAACCCGTCTCCTGCAGATCATCTTGAGCTTTCTGCAGCTTAAAAATCAGGGCTGCGAGATTATTATCTCGCCATCTTGACCAAGGTCGACATCCTTTCTCCTTCCTTATATCTCGCTTGAAAAGACGGTTGCCCGTATTTTTCGGCGCCGAATGCACCTCTAGCTGCATCTAAGTATGAGAAAAGTGTTCACAGTGCCTATAAGTTCGATCTTGACTGATGGGAGACTGCTCTCGGCTCACTTCTGTGCCGACCCGACGAACGGCCCCTGCCATGGTACTGGGTAGAGGCCCGCTCATTTACTGGCAAAATCTCCTTCGACCCTTGATGATTATTATGTGCCTGGGCCCATACCTCGTCTTCTCTCCGAACCGGGAGCTTGCGAGGTAACTGCCTGAGCCATTCGAGTTGCCACCAACGTTATGCCCAGCAATCTGTCGGATGCTATATCCGTTGAATGCGCCTGTTTAGAGGCTGCTTTCCCGAACTGATATTAGCGGACTAGCTACGATTGGGCTTCTGGAAAAGTGTGATAAGCCTTGCTCAAGGCTCCCGGGAAAGGGGTACTGTAGTGGGGTGATGATGGGGAGCATAGCATATATGGCACAACCCATCGATGCTCTGGTTTCGCCTTCGTTTTCGACATGCTGACGTTGCCTCTGTCCAGATGTCTCGAGATGATTTCAATGACGGCATCAATTGACCTGACATGTCCGGTATCGACATCGGTATACGCAAGAATCTGGACCTAATGGTCTTTCACCGTTATGCTCGCCCCCCTAAAAGAGCCAGCTTTTCAGACACAGTTTCATGGTCCTGCGATTTCTTGATGTTGCCAATAATGCCCGACCGAGAGAGAATCCCGCCCTCGTTCTGAACCAGAAAACCTGTTCTGCATTGACGGCCCTCTTTTCTGAGGGGCAATGCCTTTCCTCGCGTGCCTTTGAAGCAAACGGTTCTGTATGGTCTCGGCGAAGGCGCACGAGCACCAAATTTCAACGTCTGGTTGCTTCCTCGAATGAAGTCCTTTGGCGCCAGTACCCAAGTCCTAGATACAAGCCGAAGGCAAGCACAGCGGAGGGGAAAAGATATCATAAGATTGGTAGGTGAGGAATCTCTTGGAGTTGCGTCGACAATGTACACACCTTGTATAAGTCAAGCACCTGATGCTCCGCAGTTGCAGGCGCCAGCCTTTAATGATGAGTTTTAGGCGTCCCCTCTGCTCCCGACAGTGTAAAGATTGGTTGACACAAGGAGCCATTCATGTGGGAAAGTTTTGTCATCGATGAGTGTGAAGTTGCCAAGATGGCTGTGCCGATTATCGCAACTACAGTTTGTGGTACATAGCACCAGCAGCACCAACCGCAGCAGCCCCAGCGGCTTGGGGGGACCATGACTCAGCCGCATAGACGACTTACCCAAAAGATCCGGGACTGACAGTGGTCGTCATCGCCTGGAGGCGATATTTTGGGTTTGTGATCGTTGGGAAGAACAAGGTCTCATTTCTAGAAGAAGCACTAGAAGAAAGCGTTGTCTCCAATAGGTCTATTTCTACATGTACGGAGTATTGGAACACCGTCCCTAAGTGCTTCGAGGTCGTTTTGTGTTCCACGAGCATTAGCTGTGTCTCCCTACCTACAATATGTAATACCTCCATGGGGCTTGCACACAGTAGCGCCGCCTGTTATGAGTAAGGGTAGCCGGCTGTGCAGTGGTCACTGCATGTTGCGAGAGCATTTCGAGGGACCAAGATCCTGCGGCTGGCCTATCTGATCGTCGGATCTCGTGAATTGTGGGTGCGGGATCATTGCTCCATGCTTGGTCAGCCGGGAGAGGCGCCAACTGCGATGCTCGTCACCCACAGTGGCTAGAGGCACTAGGAGGGGGCCTTGAAGGGGGGGATCGTCGCTCTGGGCAATGGTAGTGGGTGCTGGCTGATTCGTCGACGGCAGGGCTCGGGAGCTGAGGACCGCCACAAGGGAATACCTAAGGCACAAGGAGGGAAGCATTTTGGGGAACACCCGTGCACAACGCCGAGTCAAGACGTTTGTCTGGGACAAGGGCGGTGGAAGAAGTAGCTGTTGGTACATATGGTAGGTTGGTAGCAAGTAGGTAAGCAAGCAGTCCAGCTGTCTGTCGGGGAAGAGAAGAAAAGAACACAGTACCCAGTAATACAACACAACACAACACAACACAACACCACATAACACAACGCCCTCCCTTCTTCCCCCTTTTCTCTCCCAGGCAGACTCAGGCACATCTTTGCCCTCTTCTGGGCATAAAATTCTTGGTACGGATTGGTACGGAGCACCTCTACTGGGTAGTGGCCCTGTGGTTCGTCCGCCCTCGGTGCAAGCCGGAGTTTAGCAACCAAAGCAACCCAGCAGCCTCTTGTGAAACCGACACGCTTCGGCCCCTGCGCCTACCAGCCTGCGCCTGCACTTCAACGGCCTCCGTGCATTGACGTTCTTATTGTCGGCATTACTGGCATCTGGCAGTGCATCTCCCAATCTCAAACCTTCAGGTCCTCATCTCTCTTACCAGCCCATTCATTCCTTGCCCAGACGCCCTGCCTGCCTGGTCGCCGCTCCTGTGCTGCACAACCCACTCATCTTACCAAGTAATCGCTAAATCAACAGCGGAGCCCCGGGCAATCAATCCCTTACCGAGTACGGAGTGCAGTCTTCGGTCCATCGAGAAAAAAAACCCTCCGAAGAGTTATACTCCAGCCGCCCCCATACCGTTTCGATCCATTCTACACTTGCACCCTCGAGCTCACGCCGACTCCTTCCCTTCTCGCTGTCACCCTGTCAAACTATCTATCACCTCCCTCTATACCTCCCGACCTTTTCGCGCAACATTATCGCTGCCGCCTTCTCTCCCTCCCTCCCTCAATAATGCGCGTTTTCTCGGGCTGCTGACGTGAGCCGACTCTTCCGAGCCCTCCCTCCTCCCAGCCTCAAAACGTGGAAACTCGACCTTCGACCCGTCTGGTCTCCACGAGTTTCGTCAACCGTCCCAGAATAACAGACCATATCTGGAATTCACATTTGGCGAATACTCGTCTTTTGGTGTTTCTTAATCAACCAAAACTGGCACCCCGCGCCCTCGGGGTGACGGTATAAAACCCCCTCCCCTTTGCTGGATCCTACGCCTACACCTGCCCTGCCGCCATGGCTCGAATACACTTTACCAGCGGCGAGACAAACGTCTCGAAGCCTGTCAAGAGAATGCGCTGGGCCACAACCCGGAAACCCGGTCAAAGCGGAGCGAAAAAGAGACTCTCTCTGCTTCAAAGAGTGCCCAAAGTAACTGTCTCAACCTACGAAGAGAAGCCGGCCGGTCCCAAAAGCACCGGTCTGATCACGGACGAGAGCCCCCTCGGCGAGCAGCAAGTACACGAGGAATCCCATGGACGCCAAATCTATGTCAATCTACCCCTTCCGCCCGAAGCAAAAACAGAAGATGGCCATATCAAGGCTCAATACTCGAGGAATAAGATTAGGACGGCAAAATATACTCCTCTAAGTTTCGTGCCCAAAAACTTGTGGTTTCAGTTCCACAATATTGCTAATATATACTTCTTCTTTATCGTTATTCTCAGTGTAAGCTGCCTTGGACCTCATGCGCGTTGTTTCTATCTAACTTGGCCAGATATTCTCCATTTTCGGCGCCTCGAACCCCGGTCTCGGGTCGGTTCCCTTGATATTCATCTTGACGGTGACGGCCATCAAGGATGCTGTGGAGGATTGGCGCAGAACGGTGCTGGACACCGAACTCAACAACTCCCCCGTATACCGACTGGTGGATTGGGAAAACGTCAACTCCTCTGATGATGATATCTCCCTGTGGAGGCGGGTCAAGAAGGCCTGCACGAGATCGGTTATTTCGACCTATCGCTGGATGAAGACCTTGAGGAAAGGCCAACCCAAACGGTCAGAAAAGGATGCGGTTGCGGATCACCCCGGTTTGCAAAGGAATCATTCGGTCGCTACAAGGCATACAATTCGAAGCTCGATCTACTCGGAAGAAGGCGATTCGTTCCACTCCTCTCAGAGCCAAACTGGCGATGACATTGCCATGACACCCGTGCCATCCCCGGGTTACCGATCCAGCCTCTCCCCAGATGCCACTGGCGGACCTCCGAGCAGTGCATTCTCGTACGAAACAGCGGATGAGGCTCGCGCTGGTGGAGACAACGCACCTTCGATGCTGCGAACGCAAAATTCCTCAAAAAGGAAGAGCGCCATTCCCCCAAAGAAGGACTATGGCACTGTGATCAACCCTCACAAGGATGTCCGTGATACCGCCCGCTTCAAGAAAGACTACTGGAAAAATGTCAAAGTGGGCGATTTTGTTCGTATCTACAATGACGAACCCGTCCCGGCCGACATCGTCGTTCTGTCGACGTCTGACCCCGATGGTGCATGCTATATCGAAACGAAGAACTTGGACGGCGAAACAAATTTGAAGGTCCGTCATGCTCTTCAGGCAGGACGAAAAGTCAAGCACGCCAAAGACTGCGAGTTCGCCGAGTTCTTGATCGATAGTGAGGGACCCAATCCAAACTTGTACGCTTACAGTGGCGTGGCTCGATGGCAACAGCAGGACCCCAAAAATCCCAACGGGCCCACGCGAGACATGGCCGAACCTATTACTATCAACAACATGCTTCTGCGTGGCTGCAGCTTGAAAAACACTGAATGGATTCTCGGTGTGGTTGTGTTCACCGGCAATGAGACCAAAATCATGCTTAACTCGGGCATTACCCCCAGCAAACGGGCGCGAATGGCTAGGGACCTAAACTGGAACGTCATCTACAACTTTATCATTTTGTTCTTCATGTGTCTGGTTGCCGGTATCGTGCAAGGTGTCACCTGGTCCGAAAACAACAACTCCTTGAACTTTTTTGAGTTTGGTTCCATTGGCGGCAACCCTCCGACGGACGGCTTCATCACTTTCTGGGCCGCCGTGGTCCTGTTCCAGAACTTGGTCCCCATTTCCTTGTACATCACCTTGGAAATCGTCAGATCCATTCAAGCCTTCTTCATTTGGTCCGATATCCACATGTACTATGAGAAACTTGATTACCCTTGTACCCCCAAGAGCTGGAACATTTCGGATGATTTGGGACAGATCGAGTACATTTTCTCGGACAAGACCGGGACATTGACTCAGAATGTTATGGAGTTCAAAAAGTGCACCATCAACGGAGTTCCATACGGCGAGGCTTACACCGAAGCCGAAGCAGGGATGCGAAGGAGACAAGGCGTTGACGTTGAGGCCGAGGCCGCCCGAGTCCGTCAAGAAATTGCGGAAGCACGTGTTGAGATGTTGAAAATGCTCCGCAAGATCTACGACAATCCTTATCTCCACGATGACGAGCTCACATTTATTTCTCCGACCTTTGTGGCTGATCTAAATGGACAATCGGGTGAGGCACAACAAGCGGCGGCAGAACATTTCATGATTGCTTTGGCACTTTGTCACACGGTCATCACGGAAACGACCCCAGGTGACCCACCAAAGATCGAATTCAAGGCGCAGTCTCCTGATGAAGCTGCCCTTGTCGCAACGGCGCGCGATATGGGGTTCACGGTCTTGGGTCGTACGAACGACGACCTCCACGTTAATGTCCTCGGCGAAGATCGGACCTACCGGATCCTGAACACTCTCGAGTTCAACTCGACACGAAAGCGGATGAGTGCCATTGTGCGTATGCCGGACGGAAAGATCAAGCTGTTCTGCAAAGGTGCCGACAGCATGATTTATTCCCGTCTCGCTCGTGGCCAGCAGCAAGAACTTCGCAAGGCAACCGCCGAAAACCTGGAAATGTTCGCTCGTGAGGGTCTCAGGACGCTCTGTGTGGCGGAGAGAGATCTTGACGAAGACTTCTACCAAGAATGGAACAAAGATCACGACTTCGCCGCTCAAGCTCTGACCGACCGAGAGGACCGGCTTGAAGAGGTGGCCGATAGAATTGAGAGAGACCTTATACTCCTTGGAGGCACGGCCATTGAAGATCGTCTGCAAGATGGCGTTCCCGACACGATTGCTCTGCTTGGCCAAGCAGGTATCAAACTTTGGGTCCTTACCGGCGACAAGGTCGAGACCGCCATCAACATTGGCTTTTCTTGTAATTTACTCTCGAATGAGATGGACTTGATCTTATTCGACATTCCCGAGGCCACTGTCGATGAAGCTGCGAAGCTGTTGGATCAACATCTCCAGACTTTCGGGTTGACAGGTTCTGACGAGGAGCTCGCAGCCGCTCGACTTGTTCACGAGCCTCCACCCCCAACCCATGCTTTGGTCATTGACGGAGAGTCTCTCAAGCTTGTTTTGCGAGATGAGCTGAGACAGCGCTTTTTGGTCTTGTGCAAACAGTGCAAGTCTGTCCTTTGTTGCCGAGTCAGCCCTGCACAAAAAGCGGCCGTCGTTCAACTGGTCAAGAATGGACTGGACGTCATGGCATTGTCTATCGGTGATGGTGCTAATGATGTTGCTATGATTCAGGAGGCTGACGTCGGCGTCGGCATTGCTGGCGAAGAAGGGCGACAGGCGGTCATGTCGTCCGACTATGCGATTGGTCAATTCCGTTTCCTACAGCGACTGGTGCTCGTCCACGGTCGTTGGTCTTACCGCCGTCTCGCTGAAAGCATTGCCAACTTCTTCTACAAGGTCTGTGTGAATTCCATTTCTCTCCCGGGTTTTGCTAACGTCGCTGTCAGAACCTGGTCTGGACCTTTGCTCTATTCTGGTACCAGATATACAACAACTTTGACATCACCTACCTCTTTGACTACACCTATATCCTTCTGGTGAACTTGGCCTTCACCTCTGTGCCTGTGGGTCTGCTGGGTATCCTGGACCAAGACGTGAGTGACAAGGTGTCCCTTGCAGTACCTCAGTTGTACCGACGTGGAATGGAGCGAAAAGAATGGACTCAAACGAAGTTCTGGTAAGGGAATTGATCGTTCCGTTGAACCATCTTATCTGACGTGATGCCAGGCTATACATGGCTGACGGCTTGTACCAATCTGCTATTTGCTACTTCATGGCCTATCTCCTTTTCCAGCCTGCGACTTTCGAGACAGAGAACGGACGAGGCATTGCCGACCGAAGCCGCATGGGTGTATTTGTCGCCTGTGTTACCATCATCGTGATCAATTCCTACATCCTCCTCAACACATACAAGTGGGACTGGATCATGGTGTTGGTCACCGTCATCAGCTGCCTTTTGATCTTTGCCTGGACTGGGATCTACTCGTCTTTCGAGGCGTCCTTCCAATTCTACAAGGCCGGATCCGAGGTCTACGGGCAATTAACGTTCTGGGCGTTGACACTGCTGACATTTGTGATATGTCTGCTACCTCGCTTCTGTGTGAAATACTTCCAGAAGAACTACATGCCCTACGACATTGACATTGTTCGGGAGCAGGTTCGGCAGGGGAAGTTCAAATACTTGGACGACTACGGGGCATACATTCCTCCCAAGGTCGTCGACATTTCTGGGACATCATCTGAACAACCTGAAGAAGTCCCTGTGGAGGCAAGGGAGCAGCCGCAACAGCCTCACCACGCGCGATATGGGAGCATGGCAGAATCGCAGCGGCCCATTTACCCACCGTCAGAAGCCCCGACCCGTCACCCTCACAGCCAAACGGGCAGTGACGGCACGGACAGAACCCAGCCATCTTTTGATACGGCTGGATTTCACGGGGATTCGTCTACACCCGAGAAGTTACGGCGGAGGAGACCCTCCGTGGAACGCGCTCGCTCATCATTTGAGAGGCAACGCCAGTCTTTCGACAAGCTCAGACCGAGCTTCGAAGGCAGTCGTGATTTCACCAGCGCCGCCATGCTGTCAAAGATGGAATCTCAATATTCCCAACCTGGTCTCAGCGAGGTGAATACTCGAGTGATCCCTGAGGAGAACGTGTAGTGGCCTCATGACTAAGGGCAACACAGCACATTTTGTGTATCATGAATTTATGCCGGCCCTCTATAGCTATGATGATCACGGAGTTGCAGAACGCATGGATATTGGACAGGTATTATAAGGGGCATCCAAAGAGACTGGCCATGGAACTTTTGAATTATTTAGCGAAGGTTTTTTATGCTGTATATACTTTTGAAAAACGCCAAAATGGAGTCGCGTCCCAAAAAGGGACAGAACTTGAGAGCGATTGTTTCTTAGATGAGGCAGCTATTTGGACGGACGTCATGAGCGCCTACTGCTATGTGGATATCCAACAAGTATCATGTGTGCATAGTTGACCGAAATCTGTTGACCCTACGGCGCATGTAAATATGTCGTGGGCACGTGAAGCTGCCTAAGCCGTCTTCAGCACCAATCGCACTAAATGCACTCGGCTAACTTGCTTCATATCGTCGCCGCTGAGCGCTAAACAACGCCCGACACTAGTCCGTACAAGCCCGTGCCAAGTACTCGGAGTGGCGGTTCGTCCCTTCGGCTGCACGCGACTTTGGTTGACGCGCCCGCCGCGGCTCTCACAAAGTGCAGTTGCATTTCTCCAAAGTTTCACCAACTGCCAACAATGGAATTTGGAGTATCCTTTCAGGGTTGAACATCTCTCGTGGCATGAGCATCCGTCAATGTGATCACCGTCGTACCAGTATGAGAGATTCAAGATCTCCCTCATCCGACCCACTCACATTCCACATCCCCGTCTGCTACTGCTGTAACAAATACCGCCGCCATGGCGGAGTTCATAGCAGCTTTACAGTAAGTTAACCACCACAGATTGTTCCTTGGCTAAAGACCCGCTTGTTAATGTCTGTCGGGCACACAGAGAATTCCAACACATGCCCCCGGGACTCCACATCTTCTGCCCTCGGCACAGCGATGACGATAGTGACAGATATGAAGACGAAAGAGATCCCAGCCCCAACGACCCAGTTCGCCTTGCCAGAATCGAAGAAGCAAAGAAGCGGCGGAGGAAGTTCGTGTCGGCACTCCAACTCCTCGCCTATGATGGGAAGGAAAGCGAGCAATACCAGCGTTTCATCTGGGAAACGCTTGACGAAGCCCTGGGAAAATGTGACATTTGCATACGCGAGTACTATATCGCCAAAATCGACCTTCTGACTGCCTTGCGAGAGGACTACGAGGACGATGACATTGCCAATTTCTTTGCCCTGATCAACCGGAGGGACGTCCAACGGATAGTCCAGGGACTGGACGCCGCTGACAAAACTCTGCAAGGTGTGGCAGAACAGAAGAGAGGGACTGCGGTACTGGACCCAAGACACTTGCACGCTTTATTCGAGGCGCTGGTATGCCAAGCGTTCTTAGACGACGAAGAAAAACTCAAGAGACATTTTGATGCGCCCTTCAAGATGATCCAGACCAAGAAGCCGCTTAAGATGCGAGAGATCTTACCAGCCGCTACACGATTTCTCTTTGATTCTAATACGGCCCGAGTGGTATGGGCAAGTCTGATCTGGAAACGACTTGATCGATGTCCCACGGACCTTGAATGGGATTGGGCAGTGAAAGACTACCTCCAGAAGAAGTTACAGACAGCCTCCGATCCAAACGAAGTCGCGAAACTTTGGAGTGCTTTGGACGTGATTGTCGGAACACTCGACGAACGGATGATCACCTACAAGCTATTCGACCTGCACCCAAACATATGCACAACGGCGTTGAATCACTTGGCCAAGCGAACTACAGCCGTGCCCTCCATTCTTTCAACTCTTAAGCAGATCTTGGACAAAGCCCCAGACGCATTCTGGCAGGCGATGGGCTCCATCTCTTCGCAGACAATTGTCGAGCAGATCTTCGCAAGCCCCCTGTTCAATCAGGACCTTCAAGATTCTGCGGCAGCTACTGACCGATCCGCTCCGAATGTTCTGTCCTGGATCAATTCATTGTTGGAATCTCTCAAGCCTGCCAATCGGCCGCCTGCTTCACACACCCTCCTCAACCAGCTGTTCGAAAGAATCGACAACCCCACCATCAACCTTTCGGCGAGAGGAGCATGCTTGGAACAGGCTGTAAAAGTGTTATTGAAGACGGTAATCAGTTTCGCCGGCGAGGAGGAGGATGACCAGCATCCCGTTGAGCGGCTGGTCTATCTTGACACACTCAATCTGGTTGGGCATCGTCTAGATGTGATACTGAGGCCAAGGGACCCAGCTCTTGCTCAATCACTGCAGAAGGAGACTCGAGATGACATTGTTAATCTCGTTAAAAATTCAATCGCCTTGGAATGTAAGTGCCTTAAGCTTGATTTTGAGAACCTCACTCGCAATGAGCCCCGAAGGCAGGACTCGAGCGCCTACACTCCAGAGATATGGACCTCGGTCATCGACAACCTCCGGGACGACAATCACGCACTGTCCACCGCAGCACTGCTCGGAATCATGTCTCTCCCTGGTCTGGAACAGTTCCGAATCAGAGAGGGTGACAGTGTGGCGAAAGAAAAGAAGTCATACAACTCCATCTTCGAAAAAGTAAACGAGATGGTCAGCAAGCTTCTGGAGCGCATATCCGAATTCCAGCCACCTCATCTCGACACCCTTTTCAGACAACAAGATTCAAGTATGTCTCTGGTAGCTGCCTTGTTCTCTCCGCATCAAGGGATATACGAAGCAGCTATTGCCATGGTCAAGAATATCAGCGGAGAGTCAGGTCGGAAAGAAGCACTCGCCCATTTGATCCACGCTTTTCTCGGGACGACCATCTATGGGGTGTGCTGGCTGTTTAGGCGAGTAGCAAATTATAAGACGTTTGCCTCGGTCCCCAGAATGCTCAAGACGGGTATGGAAATCCTTGATGTGCTTTGCAACCCTACGGATGGCCAGCTACGACGCACGCAGCTCTCGAGTCGAGATCTCAAAGCCATTCAGAGCTATTGGTCATATCAGTGGATCGCTCTCAAGACCATCTATGGTCACACGGAACGTTGGTCAATGGAGGTTCACAACAAGGACACCATGAAAGAGGTCTGCCGTGATGCCATGCAATATGCTGAAGAGCTCTTCAATCAGTACGACCTGTTCGCTAGCGTCTTGACAAAAGCAAAGCCCGATAGAGCTGACGAGACGCGAAAGATCCTTTTGGACTCAGCTACCACCAGTGAGAAGAACATAGGATCACCCTTGAGCGCTCTGGATACCATGTGCAAGTGGCTGAGACTTAGAGACGAGTATCTGGTTGATACTCTAGTCTCATTGATTTGCAACATGCTTTACCAACTCAAGCGGCTCCGGGCTGTGGTGACCAACAGTGAAGGCCTTGCATACGTGGAGGACGTCGCGACAGGAACAACCGTCAGAACAATGCTCTCAGCATCACAAAAAGCTAGACTAGTCCGAGCACTGGAAGACTACTTCGACCGTCAGATCGGAAGACCGGCCGTCAAGAAGCAAGCCACACTCAGCCTGGGAAAATGGACGGACGCAGCCGCCGTCGCAAGAATCTCTACCCCTGAGTCTAGAGATCATAGCGCTGACGAATTTGGAGACGATGATATCGCTGACGACGACTTGATTGAGATCGCCAGCAAAACGCTCGATACTCATAAAGCAACAGTCACTGCCAAGGACAAGAAGAAGATCAAGTCCCTGCTCTTGCAACAGCCGCCTTCAAGATCAAAGGCCGCTCCGGTATCTACCATCGACATCCAAGTAAAGAAGGCACAAGAGGCGAAGGTCTTCATTGAGAACCGTAAGCGCGAAGAAGCAGCCCGAAAACTCCGAGACAAGGAAGCCGCTCTCAAATTGAAAGGCAAAACAGGAATCGGTGCACAGACGAGCGGACAAGGTTCTGGACTAGCTGGCCTCGGCGTTGTAGGCAAAGATCATTCGGCAGGTCCAAACAGTCTCATGGTGTCCAGCGAGTCTGAATTCGATTCCGACTCGGACGATGAACTATTTGGCATTCAGTCAAAGGGCCCCACGGTTCGTGATCAACTCGGAAGGAGGAAGCCCATGCCCGCTGGCCCTGTACGGAAAATTAAGCAACAACGGACCCAGAAAGATATTCGTGCTCGACTTGCTCCCGATCTCGGGGAATTGCACCGCACAATCCTGGGCTGGGATTTCTTTGCGGAGACGGACACCCCTCCCAATTCAATGCAGGACGACTACACACTTGTTACAGATACGTTTCGGACTGCACAGGACTACCAGAAGACCTTCGAGCCGCTGTTGATCCTAGAAGGCTGGCAGAGCTTCCGTGCGGCACGGGAGGAAGGCAATTTCAAAGCCTTCGAGGTCAAAGTTTCCAATTCTCTGATCGTGGACAGCTTCTTTGAGATCAATTCATTGATGTCTTTCGCAGAAGGAAAGGATCTCGGCATTGGAGTGTCGGATGTTGTGTTGTTATCGAAATCAAACAGACCCGACCAAGACGCCAGAGAACCACACTGCCTTGCCAGAGTCAAAGAAATCTCGAGGAAGAAAGGAGAAGTCCAAGTTGTCTATCGGGTTAATGCTGCCAACAACCCTCTGAGAGCATTTCTGAACGATAAAGCTGTTGTTTACGGTGTCCAGATCCTGTCGCTGACCCCTTTGGAGAGAGAGTACGGTGCACTGATGGCATTACAGTACTATGACTTGTGCGACGAGATCATCAAAGCGCAACCGTCACCCATACTCGACTATGCGGAAGAGGTGCTCCAGCCAATTAAGGCTACTTACAATGTGAACCTTGCACAAGCTAAAGCTGTAAGATCCGCCCTCGACAACGACGCATTCACTTTGATCCAGGGTCCTCCTGGTTCCGGCAAGACCAAAACAATCTGCGCGCTCGTCGGTGCCATGTTGACGGGCTTCGTCAAGAAACAGAACAACATTGGTGCAAGGTCAAGTACAGCTCTTGGGCCATCACGACCACCACCCTCGAGCAAAAAAATCCTGGTTTGCGCTCCAAGCAATGCAGCAGTTGACGAACTGGTCATGAGGTTCAAAACGGGAGTTACAATGTTGGACGGCACTTTTGAACACATATCAGTCGTCCGCTTGGGTCGCAGTGAAGTCATCAACACCAATGTCAAAGACGTTACGCTCGAGGAACTGGTCAACGCTAAACTCAGCGTTGCCGTACCTAGGAGTTCCGGAGAAGACATCCATGGGCTCATGATGCAGCATAAAGAGGTCTCGGAAGAAATGAGGAATCTCCGAGTCTCAATTCAAGATCGACGCGGGAAAGGCCAAACAGTGCCAACAGAGGATGAACAGCTTCTGGATGCGCTTCGACGGAAGCAAAACGGATTAGGCAGCAGGATCGACGAATTGAGAGAAAAGCAAAATACTGCCTCTCGGGACGTGGAACTCAGTCGAAAGCGAATCCAACAGGAAATTCTTGACTCGGCCCACGTTCTTTGCGCGACTTTGAGTGGTAGCGGACACGAACTATTCCAGAGTCTCAATGTCGAATTCGAGACGGTCATTATCGATGAGGCTGCGCAGTCGATTGAGCTATCTGCATTAATTCCTCTCAAATATGGGTGTTCAAAGTGCATCCTCGTTGGCGACCCGAAACAATTACCACCTACGGTCTTGTCGCGGAAGGCGGCAAAATTCCAGTACGAGCAGAGTTTGTTTGCCCGTATGGAGAATAACCACAAGAAAGACGTACATCTTCTAGATACGCAGTATCGTATGCATCCGGAGATTAGTCTTTTCCCAAGCAGGATGTTTTACGACTCTTTGCTAAAGGATGGCCAAGGCATGGATAAGCTTCGTCGAAGACCGTGGCACCACAGTGAGATTTTCGCTCCTTATCGCTTCTTTGACGTTCAAGGAATGAGTCAAGCATCAACCAAAGGACACTCGTTGGTCAACGTTGCCGAGATCAACGTCGCAATACAAATTTACAGGAGATTGACAACAGACGTACGCAAATATGACTTTTCCGGAAAGATAGGCATCATCACTCCATACAAGGGCCAGCTGAATGAACTAAAACGTCGCTTCAGGGACCAATATGGTGAAGCGATCTATTCAAAGATTGATTTCAACACTACAGATGCTTTCCAAGGACGAGAGAGCGAGATCATTATTTTCTCTTGTGTCAGAGCTTCGACCCAAGGTATCGGTTTCTTAAATGACATCAGGCGTATGAATGTTGGTCTGACCCGTGCCAAATGTTCTCTATGGGTTTTGGGTAACTCGCAAGCACTCATGCAAGGCGAGTACTGGCGTGCTCTGGTCAACGACGCTAAGGCGAGGAATTTGTACACTGAGGGTAACATTGCAGTCTTGCTAGGCCGGCAGCTCTTGACGGACGACATGATGAAGGACGACATTGAAATGCTTGACTACACTGAGTCTATGTCAGAAACCGTAAAGTCTTCCACAATTGTCGAAAGATCATTTAGTGAGAAGCTAGAGTCGAAGGAACCATCACCCGCACCACCGAAGGAACAGAAAGAAGCTTCTCGACCGAGTGGTCTCTCGAATCCAGCTACTCCGACGACGTCCCGACCTGGTAGCGCTCTTTCAAGACAATCTTCGGCGGCCTCAGTTACCCGGCCAGAGCCGAAGCGGCAGGACTCAGGACAATCTGTTGGAAAGCGAGATCTCACCAGAGCCGATGTTAGAACGGACACCAGGACCGATACCGGGGCTGGGCAACGTCTTGCTCTGAACGAGTCACAGCCTGCTGAACCCAGGGTACAAAGTAAGTTTTCTAGGGCTCGAGCTGGCGAATATAATCCTTCAGGGGGCAGCAACGGTCTCAATGAGAATCGCAACTGCACGATTTGTGGGTCGTATGAGCATCTCACTACAAACTGTGACAATGAAGAAGCCCTAGCTGGATCAATCGGCACTTGCCACAGATGTCAGTTCCCGGGTCATACGGCTGTCTACTGCACTGAACCTCGATGCCTCTCTTGTGGTGAAGTAGGCCATACAACAGATCAATGCACGGCGCCCTTAGATAAGAGACTTGATAAAACGCAACAAGAGAAGGTCCGGCGAGAAGAGATTCGGTTAGGTGAAAAACGAGACAGAATACGCCAGAATCGAGCTGAGAAACAACTTGGTGAGCACGGAGCCGCCATTCCCACCGTGAAGAGTTCAGTCCCGACCTCGAACACGACTGCACTGGGTAAGGAGGCTAAGAGGAAACGAGACGAGTCCTCCGGTAGTGATTCTACGAGAGGCAAGGTACCGAGAGCCAATCCGGCCAATAAGTCTCCCGGAACTGGTATGACTCACGCACGGACCGGACATCTAAATTTACCTCCCAGAACGGCTGACCGTCCCCCTCCAACAGGACCAACGGGTCTGCCGCCGAGAGCCCCTGGTTCACGTCCTCCAGCTATGATCAACGGACAACCGATGGTAAGAAGAAAGAAGACCAACGCCGATGACATGTTTATGAAACGAAGATAGGGCCGGCAGCAGTGGATGAGCTGCGCAGTTTTTACAGGGAACCACAGCATTCAGTCTTGCTTTCACAAAGCTCATGGTGACAACACCAAGCCATGCGGCACAGATATTCGTGGGGCTATTTTTTGACTTGCTTCGCATGTGATGAAAGGTGGCCCCTAGTTTCGGCTACTTGGGGGACGTGGAAAATGCGGGATTCAATTTTGAGGTGTAGCAGGGCAGGCTACGAGGCGCTTTTGTTTGTCAGCGAAGCATTCGACAGCGCGAAGGACCCGCTGTTACGATGAAACAATATCATGAATAGGAAAAGATCAGAGCGGGCGCATTTGCATAGCGACGGGCGTTCTATTTGCCGATTCCCATTTGGAAGGCAGAGAGGCTACGAAGCCTAGGTCCAGGGAAGCCAGGAATCGCAAGACCTTGTATGTGATACATGGAAGAAGACGACAAACTCGCTGAAGAAAATTGATCTGTAGCTAGGTGATTGAATGGCTTGCCAGATCAGAAAAATCATGGTGGCCTCGCTTGTTAGAACAAGGCCAATTCTCAATCCTCATATGCTCTTTCCCGCCTTCATGATCTTGGAGAGAGTCTACCTAGCTGACTACTAGGAAATGAAGAGGAATGCCCGTCATTTGGCGGATACGACTCTCGTAGAGAGGAAATACCTGGACTCCCTCCTTCGTTCCCGCTTCTATCGCGTCTATCGCGTCTATCGCGATCTTGTTGAACTTAGGCACGAGCCTCGCCCACAGACTTCTGTGAATCCTTTAGCTCCCCCCTCTCCTCGACCGTCTTCGCCACCAAGTCCCCGAGCTGGGTGTTGAGAGCTTCGAATCCTTTGATCACGCCCTGCCGGTCCACCTTGCCGAGTTCCTGACTCATCTTGTACTTTCCTTCCAACCGGGTGATCTCGATATCGATGCCGATGATGTTCTTCTTGAGCAGCTCGATGTACCGCTCGGGCGCATCCCCAACACTCCAAGGTCTTTCGTACCCCATGACCGTCGTCTCAGCGTGTTTTGATAGGTCGCATATCTGCCGCTGCAGGAATTGGCCCGTCTCTTCGAGATGGGTATCGTAGTGCACCGTGGCGGTTCCGTACACTTGCACAGCCGAGTAGTTCCACGTGGGCACGACTTTTCCCGTGGTGGGTTTGGTCTCGACGTAGAATTTGGGCGTCACATAGTGATGTGCGGGGCCGTTGAAGATGACGGAGACTTCTTCTCTGAGTTTCTGTGCCCCATTTGATGGAGAAGTGGTATTATCAGAAGTGGCTTGTTGAAGCTGGGCGGCGGCTTCAATGATTGCTTTTGAATGCGGATTTTGTCGAGCGAGGTGACCGCGTATTCTACCTAGGTCTGTCTCGCTCGAGTCGTCTTCGACATCGAGCACCCATGGAATGTGCGTGCATTGTATAGTAGGGAAATTCGGTGAGGACAAGGACGTGATTAACAATCCCAAAGGGTTTTCCCGTATGAAGCGTCGGAGGGCGGGGATGTGGAATTCAGCGTGCACGGCGCGAAGGTACATTGCTGATTGCGAGAGGATGACAACAATAATGACAACAATAATGACAACAATAATGACAACAATAATGACAACAATAACGACAACAATAACGACTATTGGTAAAGAGCACAGAGAAAAGAGAGGGTCAATCGAATATATTATAGCGAACACTCCCAATTTAAACTGCAGCGCTTTTGCACCGGGGGGGAACAATTGTCCCACGCCCTGCGATTACATTTGACATCGGAATCTGCATGACGCTGGTGGAGCGGCCAAACCGCAGTGTCCTGGGGCTTTTGGTCGGTCCTTTTTTATTATTCGCTTATTTCAAATGGGACAAGCTTCTTTCGTCAATTGCAATAAAACGGAACCTTTTAATGGAAGAACTTAAGCATTCATGGGTGTGAGTCAAAGGGTGTCAGCCCCAGCCTTGCTAGAGTGTGCGAGGCTGAACAAGGCTGAACAAGGCTGAGCTCCGGGTTTCTTGGCACGTTTATTTTGTCTCGGCAAAGCTTCCGTTTGTGACGCGGAGGATCGTTGAAGTGTCCTCAGCCCTCGCAGCCAAATTGCAAGGTCTCCTCGAAGCTCTCAGGAGAAACTGTCCTCCATCTTCCTCCTCTTCTCTCTTCTCAGCAGCCATTTCTCGCGCTCTTTTGCTCCTTTCTTCCTTTCCTTTCTCCTCAACAGCCTGAAGCTGTTCTACGGTGTGCAGCAACCATGAGTGGCCGTGCGTGCTTCTCTCTCCTCTCCTCCTCCTCCGCACTTTCAATGCCCAAAATCGCTAACCGCAACAAATGCAGTCCGCTTTCTCGACCTCATTAAACCCTTTACGCCCCTCCTGCCGGAGGTCGCGGCCCCGGAATCAAAGATCCCATTCAACCAGAAGTTGATGTGGACAGGAGTAAGAGCGAACCCAGCCGAGATCCACGCGACAATTGGCCACGCGGGACAAGCACCAGGAGACTAACAATTTGGCCGCGATGGACAGTGTACGCTCCTAATTTTCTTGGTCATGAGCCAAATGCCTCTCTACGGCATCGTCTCGTCCGACACGTCAGATCCCATCTACTGGTTGCGTATGATGCTGGCCAGTAACAGGGGGACACTGATGGAATTGGGGACAACGCCCATCATCTCCTCTGGGATGGTCTTCCAGGTATGTGCGAAAACTCCCCCAGTCGCCTCCGCAGTAATCGTCTAACGTGGTCGCCGTAGCTCCTAGCTGGTACTCACCTCATCGACGTCAACCTTGATCTCAAGTCCGACCGAGAACTGTACCAAACCGCTCAAAAACTCTTCGCCATCATTCTCTCCTTCGGCCAGGCCTGCGTTTTCGTCCTTACCGGTCTCTATGGCCAACCAAGCGACCTCGGTGCTGGTATCTGCCTCCTTTTGATTGTCCAGCTGGTGATTGCCGGTTTGGTGGTCATTCTCCTCGATGAACTGCTGCAGAAGGGGTACGGTCTCGGATCTGGCATTTCTCTCTTCATCGCCACAAACATCTGCGAGTCCATCATCTGGAAAGCCTTCTCCCCAACGACCGTTGACACGGGCCGCGGAAAAGAATTCGAAGGCGCAGTGATTGCCCTCTTTCACCTCCTCGTCACCTGGCCCGACAAGACCCGTGCACTCCGCGAGGCTTTCTACCGCCAACATCTCCCTAACATTATGAACCTTTTGGCAACCTTGACCGTTTTCGCCGCCGTCATTTACCTTCAGGGCTTCCGGGTCGAGATTCCGGTGAAATCGTCACGTCAACGAGGCATGCGCGGCTCCTACCCCGTCCGGCTGTTCTACACTTCCAACATGCCCATCATGCTACAGTCTGCATTGGCATCGAACATCTTCATGATCAGTCAGATGCTCTACACCCGCTTCTCCGACAACCTGCTTGTCAAGCTCATTGGGACATGGGAACCAAGAGAGGGCTCATCTCAACTGTACGCGAGTGGTGGAATCGCATATTACATGTCCCCACCCCTGAACTTCACCGACGCCCTTCTTGACCCCATCCACACCGTCATCTACGTCACTTTCATCATTGTCACCTGTGCGGTCTTCTCCAAGACATGGATTGAAGTCTCTGGCAGTGCCCCCCGCGACGTGGCCAAGAACCTCAAGGAGCAAGGACTCGTCATGGCCGGGCATCGTGAGCAGAGCATGTACAAGGAACTGAAGAGAGTTATCCCGACGGCGGCAGCTTTTGGCGGTGCGTGCATTGGGGCGTTGTCTGTGGCAAGTGACATGCTCGGTGCGCTGGGGAGTGGGACCGGGATCTTACTCGCAGTCACAATCATCTATGGCTACTTTGAGATTGCGGCCAAGGAAGGAGATTTCGGGCAGGGATTGAAGGGATTGATTGCTTAGAACCTTTGACAGGTTTGAAAAGTTGAGCTTTTCAAACACACGGGCTTGTTAGAGAAATTACGAGAACAAAAGTGTGCCCTGTTTCTGCATAGCAAAAGGTTTTTTTAAGGATCGAGGTTAGTAATTGCTAAGACAAGGTTCACCGAGGGTGGGAAGGCAAAAACCAAAGAGGAGGTATCTATCCTGTCTGGTCTCGTCTGGCTTTGTCTCGACTTGGTCTTGTCTTTGCTTGTATAGTACCATGTAGCCAAGCTGCCCTACTTGTACTGTATGAAGAGAAGACCTTTGCTGCCTTGATCAGTGCGGAGTACAGTGCTGCATTGTGTATGTGCGTGTGTATGTTTGGGAATTGTATGTACCTTTTATTTCGGGGGGGTTTTTTTTTTCGCTGAATGTGATAGCATATACGGTATATGGACCGCTAGCTATGCTCTCTCTCTCTCTCTCTCTCTCTCTCTGTATGTGTGTCTGTCTGTCTGGCTGTCTGTCTCCGTTCTCCGCTCGCTGTACCAATCGCATTCCATGTACTCCGTACCACAGGCGCTCTCCGTCTTACGTGCGATAATCCCCGTTGATCGTGACATACTCGTGACTAAAATCGCACGTCCAATAATTCCCCTCTGCGCTTCCGACGCCCAAGTCCACGTCGATGATCACGTCCTCGTCCTCCAGCAGGCGCGCGGCCCTTTCCTCGTCCACGGCTTGCGGCTCGCCGTTGACGAGAAGCCTCAGCACGCCCTCTGCCTTGGACTTTGAGGATTCGGCCGGGATGAACGACACGTTTGTCCTGGCGGGCATGACGGATCCCGTAGCGCTGGAGAGGGATATGTTGGGCGTGTATCCGATCGCGCAGAGGATGCGGCCCCAGTTTGCGTCCTTGCCGTACAGCGCGGTCTTGACCAATGGGGAGCGGGCGATGGTGGATGCGATGGCTTTGGCGTCACTCTCGGTGAGCGCGTTGCGGACGTGGATCGTCACGAATTTTGTGGCGCCTTCGCCGTCGCGGACGACTAGTTGGGAGAGGCGCTGCGAGAACGAGGTCAGGATGGAGGACATGGCGATGTAGTCTTCACTGGTCGAGGAGGAGATCGGAGAGCTGGATGACGAGAGGGAAGCGGCGGCGGCGCCGTTTGCGAGGATGGCGACCGTGTCGTTTGTAGAGGTGTCTCCGTCGATGGAGATGCAGTTGAATGATTTGTTCACCGCGGTGGTGAGCAGGGATTGCAGTGGCCCCGCGCCGATGGGTGCGTCGGTGCACATTATCCCCAGCAGCGTGGCCATGTTGGGATGGATCATGCCTGCGCCCTTGGTCATTCCTGCCAATCTGTATTCCACACCTTGATGCTGGGGGCCAGGCAGGGTGAATGTCGTGGAGAGGAGCTTGGGGAACGTGTCCGTGGTACAGATTGCCTTGGCCGTGGTCAGCCAGGCATCGTGGTCGCTGGCGAGGTTTTCGTAGGCGGCGGGGATCTTTGCGAGGATCTTATGGATGGGCAGTCTCTGCCCGATGACGCCGGTGGACATGACGAGGCTGTTCGGCCCATGAGTGTCTGGCTGTTGAAACTGGGCGGAGGCGGTTTGGGACATGGCCCAGGCATCGTCGACGCCTCCTTGGCCGGTGACGGCATTTGCGCAGCCGGAATTGACAACGATACTCCTCAAGCCTGTCCCGGCACGCTTCTCGAGCACTGCTCTGCTGACTTGAACCGGCGCGGCTTGGAACTTGTTGGTGGTGAAGACAGCGGCGCCAAAGGCGGGCCTGTCTGAGGCAATGAGAGCCAGATCGGGATGAGACTTGTTGGCCGGCTTGACGCCGACATGAGTTCCGGAGACTTTAAAGCCCTTTGGGTATGTGCCAGAAGTGGGCACGTATTTCACCTTTGAGGCTGGGACGGTCGAGTCAACCGGGGCAGAGTAATGTCGAATGAAGGTGCGGAGGGCCGACCGGGTTGTTGAGGGATTGAGCGACCACGCCATTGCCCTTGTTGACTCTCTGTGTCTCCTCCACAATATAGTAGATAGATGGCTGTTTGGAGTGAGTCCGTGAGCTTCAATTCATTCATAAGTCCACCCGGTCGGTGGGTGGCTTTGTTCTTATCGATGATCGGTTCCCAGGATAATGGAGCAGGAGGAGGAAATGTGCGACACTCGCTCACAGCCCATGCACCTATGTAGGTACTTTCAGACCAATTCCGTTTCCTTTCTTTTTTTTTTCTCTCTTTCTGATGACGAGTCAATATGGCGCAGTGTCTTGTTCATTGGGGAGAGAGAAAAGCAACGAGCTTGAGTCAAAAAATGCACATGAACTGATGGGCCAATCAGAGCCCCCGGTTTGCGGAGCGGCATCAATGTGGACAAAGTCGCGTCGCGCACACGGAGAGAAACAAGAAAAGCCAGAGAATCAAGAGAATCACCACCGCCCAACACCACCGCATTTGATGTACGGGCCAACACCGACGACCTCTCTGTGCCGGTATACTGCTCATCCTGCACCATGTCTAAACGGAAACAGCCCGATCCAACCCCAGAGTCCTTCGCCGAGGTCACAACCCCCTCGAAGCGCCGCCGGAAAACTACAGACGCAGTAGAAGCACTCCCCAACAGACATGATGAGGGCAGTTCAGAGGAAACACCTTCAAGGAGAAAAAGGAAATCTGCCGTCCATGGCCTACAGGACGAGGAGGATCAAGACGAGGGCAGTCCCACCCCGAAACCAAATGGTCGCAGCTTGTTCTCAACTCCCACTCGAGCCAAAGGCCGCCCACCAGCTGCTACACCCTCAAAGTCTGCAAGGGCAAAAGCAGATAGGTCTGCCAAGAGGAAGAGTGCCCGGCTGCTCGCTGAGGCACAGGACCCTGATGATGATGCCGACGACGACAACCTGGACGGGCAAGATGCACGCTTGGCGCGGGAAATCCTCGACCAGGTTGAGGGACAAGACGAGGAAGATATCGACGGAGGTGGACTAGGCCAGGATGTCGACGAGCTCGTCCCGGAAGGGGAGGAGGCAGCCACACCGTCAAAGAAGACGCCCGGCAAACGAGGGAGGCCCAAGGGCTCCAAGTCCAGGAGATCGCCCACGCCCGAGGGCGATATCCCTCCGGAAGAACGATACTTTTATCAAAACCGCCTTGGGCCCCCTCAAGTCTCGAGCAACAAGTTCAACTCGGTCAAATTGCTCACGCACGACGAATATTTCGAGCACATCTCGTCATGGAGGGACCCTCACGACCCCGAAAAGGCCTTTCTGATGAGACTGCACGCCCGGTCCTTTCCACAATGGCGCTTCGAACTTGCCGAGGGGTTTGGTCTATGTCTGTATGGTTACGGCAGCAAACAACCTCTAGTCAAGCAGTTCGCTGAGTATATGTACAAGAAACGCCATCATCCGCCCCCTCGCATCGTCGTTGTCAACGGCTACCTTCCAAAACTCAACCCGCGAACAATTCTCAACACCATTGCCTCGGCCGCGGCCGAAACGGAAGACGAGGCGATCCGCCTGGTAGGCCAGCCAGAAGAAATGCTCGACACCCTGCTCTCCCACCTGACAGACGCGCCTCCACCCTCGCAGCTACTCGTGATGATCAATTCCATCGACTCCCCTGCCCTCCGCCGGCCGTCTGTCCAATCCCTTCTTGCCCGCCTGGCAGCTCACCCACACATCTCCTTTCTCGCCACATGCGACACACCCACCTTTCCGGCCATGTGGAATTCGACCCTCCTGGACCAATTCAAATTCGTGTTCCATGACTGCACGACATTCGCGCCTTACGCGGCCGAGATAGGTAGTGTGGTGGACGATGTCCACGAGCTACTAGGTAGGAAGAGGATGCGGGCCGGCGGGAAGGAAGGCATTGGTTTTGTGCTGAAGAGTTTGCCGGAGAACGCCAGGAACCTGTATCGCCTGCTGCTGGCCGAGATCCTGAGCATTTTGGATGATGATGATGATGATGATGGCGGCGCCGGTGCCGAAGATGATGAAGACGATGAAGGAGACGGAGAAGGTGACCTACAACCGTCCCGGAAGAAATCACGAGGCATGACGACGACGAAACCAGCCACACTACCAACAACAACAACAACAACAACAACAACAGCGACACCAGACGAAGTCGGAATCGAATACCGCACACTATACCGCAAGGCGGCGGAGGAATTCATCTGTTCAAGCAGCATGAACTTCCAGTTCCTCCTCAAGGAGTTCCTCGACCACCAGATGATGACGACTCGCAGAGATCCCGCCACCGGCGCCGAGATGTTGGCCGTCCCGCTGGGCCGGGCTGAGATGTTGGCTGTTTTGGAGGAGCTTGTATGAGGTGTTGGCATAGGGACCAGCGGAGGGAGAGGACAAGTGTAAGTAGGCATGTTAGAAGTGGGGAGAAGAAGATAAAAGGCCGCGCCCAGGATACGTTGTGCGAGCGAGCGAGCGAGCGAGTGAGTGAGTGGGTGGGTAGGTAGCTGAGGAGAGCGAGTACACGTAACTACCGGTCCGACACGTATGATTGAGGTGCAGAATACCGCTAGTTATGTAACCGCCCGGGGTATCTTAGGTCGGTACACCGAGCAGCAAGCTATATTGACTGGTAGTAGTACTTGTGTACCTGGTAATCTTCGGTCAGGGCGTCGCTCGATCTGTTGGTCTGGCTCTGATATCATCTGGGACTACTCGCCAGGTCCCTTCTTACTTGCACAATACCTTCGGTAGCGTACGGAGTCTCGAGTACGCAGTCCAGACTCCAGAGGGAAGAGTTAAGAGGCGATGCTCCAGATCCAAATTCATCCGGATTTTAAAAGTTGCATTCAAATAGAGACAAAAGACGGGACCCTATGGACGAAGCACGTAGACGCCGACGCTCCCCTGATGCATTGTTTCCCTTCCGTGTTCCTCAGGCCCGGCCTGCCCCATGCTCGTGCTCATGCTCGTGCTCATGCTCGTGCCATCTCTCTATCCTGCGGCGCGTCTCTCGACTTTTTATGTCTTTGTTCGCTGTCTACCAACACAAGGCTCCATCTGTGTATCCACCCCCAGCCTATACATATGTGCCCATGACCGTCTCCGTCTACCATCCTCGGCCGGCCATCTTCTCGCCCTCTCCCATCCCGCTCACATTGATGCCGACCATGGCCTCGCCCAGGCCCTCGGAGCACTCCGCCAGGACCTTGGCGTCGCGGAAGTGCGTCGTGGCCTGCACAATGGCCCTTGCGCGCTTGGCGGCGTTGCCGCTCTTGAAGATGCCCGAGCCGACAAAGACACCGTCGCAGCCCAGTTGCATCATGAGCGCGGCGTCGGCCGGGGTCGCGATGCCGCCAGCCGCGAAGTTGACCACCGGCAGACGGCCCAGCTCGGCCGTCTGCTTGAGCAGGACCGCATCACAGCCCAATTCTCTGGCCAAGGCTCTCAATGCGCCGTCCCCCTCCTTCAGGGCGGCCTGGGCCCTGGCGATGTCGCTCTTGACCGTCCGCATGTGCTTGACCGCCTCGACCACGTCGCCCGTGCCGGCCTCGCCTTTCGTCCGGATCATGGCAGCGCCCTCGGCGATCCGTCGAAGTGCCTCACCCAGATTCCGACACCCGCACACAAAGGGCGCTCTGAACCCAGCCTTCTCGACGTGGTACGTGTTGTCCGCGGGGGTCAGGACCTCGCTCTCGTCGATATAGTCCACCCCCAGCGCCTCGAGGATCTGACACTCGACAAAGTGACCTATCCTGGCCTTGGCCATGACGGGTATCGTCACGGCGGCTTGAATCTCCTTGATTAGAGCGGGGTCGGACATTCTCGCGACGCCGCCCTGGGCACGAATGTCGGCGGGCACACGCTCGAGAGCCATGACGGCGCAGGCACCGGCTTCCTCGGCGATGCGGGCCTGTTCGGCATTGACCACGTCCATTATCACGCCGCCCTTGAGCATCTGGGCCAGGCCGGCTTTCACTGTAAAGGAAGGGAGGTCGCCATTGGTGGCGGAGGAAGTCTGAGGGACGATTGTGGTGGAGGACATGTTGGAGTTGTCGTTCATAACCATGATGGAGTATGGGGCGCCGGTGGGGAAGGATTGAGGGTGGGAGTAGAGCGAGAGACGATGGAGGCGAGGGATATATCGGGCTCGCGGTGGGAGACTAGGGCAAGTAGGAGAAAGTAGGAGAAAGTAGGAGGACAGTAGGTGGCAGGTCGGTCTGTCTGTACGTCGACTATGCTCCCAATGGAGAGAGAGGAACGATGAGGGAAAATTGCTCCAAGGTGGCCGTGGTTGATGGAGGAGGCAAAAAAAGTCAAAAATTCGATAGGAGATCCAGATCCTGAGTCAACCACCAGAATTCAATGGAGGACCCCACACAGACACACGCGCACACTCTCTCCCTCTGATGCCCTCCGACTGGCCACTCTCTCCAGCCAGGTGACTCGATAAAAAAAAAAAAAAAAGAGGGAAAAGGGAATAAAGGAAGATATCAAGTGCCGGTGAGATGTGAGATATGGATGTGTGACTTGTCAGGAGATATAACAACTGTACCGAGTATCTAAAGTCGGTAGGCACAACCAGTAAGTATTTGTACCAAGTAGAAACTGATTTCTGGCTGCGCCCTAGGACAAGCAAAGCGTAGCACTCAGTGAGTCGTGTGAGTCAATCCCGGGGTTTGGCTCTTCTACCTTCTGGAAAATTTCTTTTTTTTTTGGGGGGTTTTTTTTTTTTCAAACCCCGCGGCGATGATTGCCGTCGGAGAAGTCGCCCACTACTTGTTAGGTGAGTAGCTACTGGATGGGGTGAAAACGTGCCGGAGGAGTCGGAAAAGAGCGGGCAGTCATGTGATTTTGTTACGTGACTATAGATGACTAATGATGGGAGATGGCATGGAGTCACGTGAAAGATTAGTCATTGCGGACCTCCCCCCTTGCTCCCCCCTTGCTCCCCCCTGCTCTCCCCTCCGGTGCCCCTCGTCTCCGCACTTCTGGCACTTGCGCCGAGTATTGAGCGGAGCATCGAGGATAGAAGAGGAGAACGCGATCAATCAGGGACATGGGACCCGACGACAACGACCACCTACATACCGAGATGCCTTCCTCAGCCTGCTCAATGTTAACCCCAAGTCATCCGTACACTCCCAGGAGCTGACTGAGCGTGCTGCTTCCTCCGCCCGGTCTCTCACTTCCTGGCGGCAATGACCAGTATCTTGGGCTTCTCGATGCGTTGCTCAAATGCTGCCTCCATTGCCGTGCTGCATCCCCATCTTAAACCACCATACCGTCCCAAACTCGATCCCATCATAAATCAAGCATGCCGCCGGATACAGGGCCCGGCCAGCTCGACCTCGAGCTGGCTACCGCCACCCCTCCACCATCATCAACCGTCATATCCCTGCCCGACCTGCCCGACCTGCCCGAGGACGTCTTCCTCTTGGTCGTCACCAATCTCTCTGCGTGGGATGTCTTGTCGTGTCAGCGCGTCTCGAAATCATGGCGCGCCGCATTCTCCAGCGACCATCATGTCAGGTTCGTGCTGCAGTCCTACCCACGCGCAAGGGAAGTCCGCTCCCTTCCCTCCGGCACCCTCCATTTGCACTCTCATTGCCAGCAGCAACAGACCTCGCTGGACTGGAAAGCTCTTCTTGCCGCCGTGGCCTCGCGCTACCACAATCTCGCCCGTGGCACGGCCAGACGCGTCAACAGATATCCCATGGCGCCGGTTGAACAATTAGGCGACTGGTTTCCTGTCGGCCAGTGGGACTATCATGAAAGTCAGCCAGGAGGTCGTCTATACTACGAGACCGCCGCCAACCATCTGAGTCGCATGGGCACTAAGCCGTACTTGTTTAGGCCGACCTTGTGGTCCTATGACGACGGCCTTCTGGTATATGCCCCGGCCGAGTGCAACGAGGATGGCTATTTCCCGCAGATCCTGGCTCTGCTGGACGTCGAGACCGGCCGCAAGTATGCCGTTCCATTCGACATTCGAGCCAAGATCATCCGCAATCTGCGCCTCAAAGACCGGACCTTGATCGTGGAATGGGCCGAGAAGGACCCTTTCCACAACCTCAATGCCATGGAACAGGTCAACCGGCATTTCGCAAACTGCTTCGACGTCACCCGACAACATGACAAGTCCTGGAAGGTGACGTGGCGCGCAGAATGGAAAATGCATTTCCTCGGCTTGCCGCCCAACTACCACGACCGCTTCTTCTCGACGCACAATGCCACCCATTACGCCGTGTATTTCTGGCAGCCCAATCGGAGCATGTACACGGGCGACGAAGAGCTCCCCATCGAGTCGCTGTCGGTCTGGGACATTTCTGCGCCCTCGTGGTATCGACCTTCGACAGACCCGTCGGGAAAATTCCGCCCCGCCGAAAAAGCAGGTCCGTATATTGTGTCAAGGTTCTCTTTCACGCAGATGGATCTCTTTGGCATACGCCAGCGCGCCAGCGTCGCGTTGATGTCTCTCCACCTGGACTCGGAAACCTTGTCGCTAACGGTCCGCGAAAACGTGGGCGTGGCAGGCCAGGGTTATTTTGACCCGGCCGAGCGCCTGTGGTGTGCAAAGACGACGACGTTTCCTTTCCTCGGCCAAGGACCCCGCTTGTTCCGCGAATGGGACGGCAACCTCCCTCCCTACCGCGGCCATTGCAGCATAGAGACGGCCGACGTGGAAGAGAGCGAGCGCTGGTTCCTGCCTGTCATGGACGTGGTGGACGCCGAGGCTGGCGTCCGCTTGAGCCTGGTCGAGACTTGCTTCTCGGGCCAGAGCGTGGAAAACAGGCTGGTCGTGCGGCTCAAGGTCGAGGCCGGCGACGACAAAGAATCTGTCGTGCACGGCGACGAAGAAGCCTCGGCCGCCACGGGCCCCGCCTGGACCACCCTCGACGACGACTTGACCAAGCAAGTCTCCTTCATGGGCCGCATCGCAGGCGACGAGCGATGGCTGATAGGCCAGAACGAACGCATGGAGCTTGTGGTCTTGAAATTCTAGGGGCGGCTGCGCAGCCGCTGAGCCGGTGTGTTTTATCTGTCTCTACATTGTAAACAGTAAATCGTAAATAGTAAATAATAAACTCCCTTGCTCCCGCATCGTTACCGCCGTGGCCCGTTCTGTCCCTCTCTGCAGAGCAAGGCATGCGAGGCGAGGAGAATGACAGAGAGAGAGAAAAAAAAAAAAAAAAAAAAAAAAAAAAAAAAGGTTGTGAGCGATACGTCAGTCCACGTAGATGCACATATCGGCGGAAGTGAAATGGCAGTCTACAGAGCAGATGGCAGATGGTAGATGACGACCCAGGTATGTGACATGCCAATGGTTGCATCCATCTTGAATTCTGATTTGAAACAGAAGTAAATCCTTCCTGGCTTTAATTGAAAGTATGTACATCTTTGCTGACCATGAACAGGGGGATGTCCTTGCTGACCTCAAACAAACCACATCCTTCCTAACCTCAAACAAAAGCAGCGGACCGAGCCGACAATTTCATCCTTTCTTTTTTGTCCTTGCATGGGATTTTGGTTTCGTTGTGAGTTTTGCTTGCTTTTGCGCTTCCTTTTTTCCTTGACTTCTTGGTTTGAGGGGTCTGCAGTTGGATTTTTGGTCCTGACAGTTTCGATCTTTCAATTTTTCCTTTCCTTTTCCTGCCTTTATTTTCTGTCTTTTTCCTTTCCCCTTTCCCCTTTCTTTGTATTTTCCTTGCGCAAATAGAGAGTTCGTGGTTGATTAATTTAGTCCGAGCGATGCTCTAAGTTGTAGACTGCGAATAATAGATTGCAGCGTGGGTATGGATAAGGACGGTAGAAACATTTATTCATAAAAACTGGAGCGGGGTTGGTGTGTTGGTGTGTTGATGGTGTTGTTGGGATAGTGTCTAGTTGGATTGGCCAAACGATTGAATGCATTGTAACAATCGATAGTAATTTCGGTGGTCATGCAGATGGCGATGAAGAAGGGATATAGATGGTGACATTGTGTTCATGTATGCTGGAGACGAGCGGGCTTTTATGGTGGTGTTGGTGGGATGGAGTTTGGTTGAGTTGGACGAACGATTGAATGTATTGTAATGATCGATAGTAATCTAGGTGGTGGTGTAGATAGCAATGTAAGTGGTTGTGATATGTTGTTGCTATGCCACCAAGCGGTGTGCTGTGGACATATTGGATTGTGGATGGTTGATTTGGTTTGATTGAACTTGCAGTGGAGTTGATTTGATTGTGCAGGGTTGAGTCGACTTAGCATCGAGCAGGAATTGAACGATGAACAATTTTCAGGGAGCAGCTTCGCTGGCAGTGTAGACGGATGGGATATAGCGTTCCTCTTGTCACCTGAGACGTTGGTGTTGAGGTATATGGCGATATTGGGTTGGATTCGGTCGAAGAGAGTTGAATGACAGACCAGTTCGTGCAGCAGGGTAAATAATAACGCAAATGGCAGCCGATATTATTCTGTGTCACTTGTGACTGTTGATACGCTGATATGGAATTGTTGAGGATTGAGTTGTTTGCGAACAGAACACCAGTTGAACGATCGACAAGCAGCAGCGCGGAGGAGTCTGCGAATGGCAGAGATGTAATAGTCCTCTGTCAGCTGAAAGAGTCGGTGTCGGGGTGTATGGCAATGTTGTGTTCGCTTCGGTCGAAGACAATTGAACGGTCGGGAGCGTTCAAGCTGCTGCGTGGTTGGATCGCAATACAACGCCCGTCTGTCACATCACGAGCATCGATGCTAAGGCTGATGACATTGCCATTTAGATTGGAGTCGATATAGTAGACGTAGATCGTGTTTGAGATCGGCCTTCGCTTCTTGGTATTCAGGAAGTGACGAATGGTGGAAATGTCCTCCAGCGCAAAAAGTGAGAGATGAAGCGAGCGATAGTGATGTGCAATGAGCGGTGGCATAAGTGTAGAGCGAGTGTCGAGTAAAGAGCGCCGTCATGGCTTGGAAGGGTGCCGAAAACCCAGGGTGTGAAGAATGGATATGGCAAGCTCAGATCGAGTCGCACTGCCATGTAAAAGGTGCTTGGCAGGAAGGTTGACGTTGCTGCCGCCGGTGCTCTA